CAATTAGATAAAGATGTCGAACAACTAGTAAAGTGTTCTTCACTTAAAAAACGATTGGTACGATAAAAATTGTTCTTGATCATATAATTAATTATGATTTTTCTTTAGTTTGTTTTGAACAAAAATTTTAAATTTCCTTAAGCATTCCGCCCATTGTTTAAATTTCTTAACCCACCCATAGTTTCAAATTTTTTTAACCCGCCCACTTAAATGGGCGGGCGGGCCGAAACCCCGCCCAATGCAGACCTCTAGTTTAGATCGCCTATAATTATTATATTATATCTGCACGGTAAAGAGTGAATCGTATTTATCATTAAGTCGATGGAGCCTAATCTTTCATTTCTATATGGTGGGGCATAGAAATTTGCTATTATTGTGGGATTTATATATTCGATTATTTATTATGAATGATATCCCAGACCAGCTTTTGGAAGTAGTACTCGAGCAAAATATTTTAAAATTTGCAGTTTTATTACCTGGACAGTGGGTTTCTTGAATACCTATGATGTATACTTTCACCACATCTATTAAGAGATCCTCAAGTTTGTTTTTCACTCCATTTATATTAAGGAACGCAATTTGTAAGTCGCCTGTTAATTTGTTCTCGATTTGGTTATACTAACTTGAATCTAGGAAAAATTATAAAGATTCAGATAACGTTAGAAGGAATTATATTTGGTTTAGATTAAAGATTTGAAAAAAGTTATATTAAAGGAAAATTTAATTTAAAAGAATTTGCTCTTATCAGTTAAAAAAAATTGAAATATGAAAACAGCTGATTAAAAAATATAGGACTTTTTTTAAAAAAAATTCTAATTAATATTAAATTTTTCAAATAAATAAGTGTTTTTAAAATTGAACGAACGTTAAATTCGAACGCGTTCGTCAAAAAAAAAGAACGCCTTTCATCATTTTTTTCAAATAAAACGAACTTCGTTCACGAATGCGTTTAAAATGAATGCGTTCGTTTACAATACTATTTTAATCGGACTATAAATAAACAAGATGTCTTTCCGCACAAATCCTGAAATCTATACTAATTTTGATTTTATCATCACTAAGAATATTTATAATATTCAAGGATTTATATTTAAATAAATTGAAAATATTGAAAAATCTCATTTAAGTTATTAATATTTGTGTTTACAGCTATACAAATATCTTTATATATGATTTAAAATAAAAAATCTATTAAACCCGAATTCAAAAAAATTTCCGGGTTCGGTTCGAATTTTTAGAAATTTTTTAAAAGGTTTCAGGTTCGGAATTTTTTTCAAAAGCACGAGTTCGAAACCCTGATTCTATATATTATAAAAATTGGTAATACACTAAAGTGGAAATTAAAATACAAAATATTTTATGAACGCGTTCCAAAACAAAACATATTTTGGCTGGAACAGAAAAGCATAAATGACCTTTAGGCCTTTGATTATTATACAGACATATCCATGATTTTCGTAAAGAGGGGGGGGGAATGAATTTATTTCCAAGTAGTCTAAAATGATGATGGGTAAAACGTTTTCGGTAAATCGTTGTTTGTATTCGTGGTCAGAGTAGGCGAGCATTTTTTATGAATAAGCATTTTAACACTATCTGAGGATGAACTCAATTTAGATAAGAAAAAAAATCCTTCTTAAAATATCTGTAATTTTGTATATTAATTAATACAAACCCCATGCTATTCTAGACATTATTAGAACCCTTAAGTCGCCTTGAAGATGATGCCAAGTCTTAAAATTTTAAAATATTTTGAACTAGTTTTAATTTCTTTTAAATAACATAGAAAATGATGTTTTTTCTTGATTTATAAAAATAAAATAATAATTTACCTGTACGATTAGTAATTTTTAATCATAAATTTTGGAAAAAATTGAATTGGCTATTGAGCTCTATTCTTACGAAATTGTCGAAATGTATTATGGGATATTAATAGCAAAATTATCTTTCACTAGATTCCATTATAATATTTTGAATTTTTTTTTTAAAGTTTCAATAAATTAACAATCAAAAAAAATATAGTTATAAAATATTCGGTATCACAATTGATTTTGATGACAGTAAAATTGAACGTTACCACCAACTGATCGTTTTTAAAAAAGAAACGCTACGGATAATCATTTGTTTTCAGTAGTCTCAAATACTATATTTCTACAGTTTCATAAATTTTTATTGGTAGTAAATAGCAATTCATCTTTATAAATACTAGCAATTTTTTTTATTTAGCATTACATCTCAAGAAATGAGTTTAATTTAAAAAATTTAGTTTAGGAACCTAATATTCCAAATAAAATCGCTTATTTTTACAATTAATTATCCACTATAGTAATAATTATCCACTATAGTAATAAATTAATTATCGTTAAAATCAGAGCCAACGAAAGCGATACTTAGTATCGCCACGATCTTTATGGTATCAGGCACTTTCAATTTTAACCAACACCCCCAAAATGATAATTAACTATCAATTTTTTTTAGCTTACACGACAGGAATTTTTTTTAAAAAAATACCTACAAACTCTTAAAAGGATATAAAGAAAGGTCCTATTAATTCTTTTTTGTTTTCATATTTCTTTTTATAAATTAAAAATAATTTTTCTAATATCTACAATATATTTTTTACGTGCTGATTAATCGTTAAAAAAAGTGGCATCGATGCATCTGCTTAATGCATCCATGAGAGACATGAGATTCTTAAACGTACTAAAACCCGTTTTAATATTTTTTCCAAATATCATTTTATTAGTTATATAATTTATATTATAATCAATATGGGAAATTTATAAATAAAATAATATTAATAAAAAATATATATGTTTATTTATAAAAAAAATGGTGTTTTTCTTCAAAAATTATTGTTGATTAGTTAATAAAATGAATATAAAAAAGAAGGATGGGGGAAGAGGAAGTCTAAAACAAATATACTAAATATGATATGAAAAAATAAATATTAGTTTATACTAATTTAATATAAAAAAATATTGATCAAGAATTTTTCAAGACAACAAGATGCAAAAAATAATAATTTCGTTTAAAAAAAATTAATTTAAAAGTTGTAAACTAATTTTTGCACATACATTTAAGCATATCATATTTATTGTAAGCGGGAGGAATGAAAAAATAGTCAGAATAAAACCAAGTTTTCTTTGATAAATTAATGTTTAATATAATGGTAGTTTTTATGAGTATATTAATATTATATATAACTTTAGCCCTTAATATCCATTTTAAAAAACAGGGTAAAGCGGGGGGGGGGCAGGCAAATAAGGATATATACTTAATATTTTATTGTGATTTTTTAATTAGTAAAAAAAATTAAAAATGAATTGGATAATATAAACAATTTTAATATAAAGAATATTTCAAATTATATATATGGAATTAATATTCGTAATTTTTACTACATTTTTTAGAAATTTAATTATATATATATATAAGTTTCATAATTAAATCAGCATAAGGGGCTACATACTAATAAAATAATATATGTAGAGTAAAAATTGGGATTTTTGCGAATGAAGAAAAATGATAAAACAAATAAAATGTTTCTCAATTCTAAGTATTTAAAGGAAGGAAAAAAGATTTACAAAAATGGACTAAAGAATAACAAAAAAATTTTAAAAGGGTAATTTGCACGTGTTTATAAATATTTTTAAAGCATCGGGGAGAAAGGAAGAATAAAATAATAAATACCTTTGTGTTTAATCTCATAAAGGTACTCCTTAAAAGTAAAAAAATATAATAAGGGAGTGTGATATATGCTGATGAAATATTAAGTTTTCCATTACTTCGCCGAAATACACGTTGCATGGTAATATGGACAAACTTATTTATTAAGGTCTTTGGTAATTAATAATTTTGTTTTTTTGTGTTATGATTTGTATTTAAGCAATTTCGATGTTATTGTGTTCCCTCAAATATCAAAAAATCTTTTAAATTATTAAAAGGAAGAGAATTTATTATTATTAATGCATTGTTTGTGTGGGTTTTCACAGATCGATTTAGTTTATTACACAATATTTGAAAAGCAAATCATACAATCATTTCTCCCAAAACTGGGATTTTAAAAAGACAAAATAGGCTTTTAGTTGATGTAAATTTGCATTCGATTCAAATGAATAATTTTTTAAATATAAATATTTGAGATTTAAGGAGAGAAATTATTAATAAAGTATAAAAAAATTTAATACTATTGTCGGGTTTATGCAAGAGGAAACAAAAAATAGAATTTTAATAATATATTATGACTTTTGAAAAAATAACACTTAAAAGCAAGAATCAATTGTAAAACGAAAAAAAGAAATTTTTTCTTACTTGAAAGCACCTTGAAAAATCAAACTTTAAAATAAATTGGTAATGCAATATTATCGATAAAATGATGAAAAAAAACAAATGATTTTGCATAAAATATAAAGCCAATAGTGTAAATGTATGTTTTGGAAAGGGTTGGGAGGGGTTTGACAATCATCCAATGAGAAATTTAAAGACAATATTTTAGGTCTCAATGAATGAACGACAGGTGTATAAATGAATGAGGATAAATGAATGCATTGAAAAGTGAGAAAAATGGGAATTTTCGTAATACATTCATCCACCTCATATATATTTTGTTTATTTGTGGACTAATGGCTAATAAATCACAGAGGTTTTATTTTCAAACCTTTTGAGGAGAAATGGGACCATTTATGGATAATTAATATAATAAAGATGTAAAATATTGTAATAATGCATTATTAATATTTTTAACGTAATATAACATTGATTTATATAATAGTGTAAATTATTTTTAATTATGAATATTTTTCTTTTTTTTCAATTTTTTTAATGTTTTTTTCAATTTTTTTCTCCCAAGGGATGTATATAAATGATTTTCAAAAAATAATATAATTTATAATAAAAAATATAAATGAAAAGGGAATCCATAACTGTTAAATTATAATTATCACATAAAACATATAAGGTTGTCATATGGGATCTAAGGAGAAAATTCCAAGTGAATAAAAAATGATAATCTCAAAATATCCTATTCCCCACTATATAATACATATATATATAATATACATAGTATATATTAAGTAAATTTACATTAATGTTTTTATCTTCTAATATATCGAATATAAAAAAATTAAATCTAATACAGGTTTAATATATATAGAAGGACAAAAATTAGACCATAAGGTTTTATTATGATTAGAATAAAAATAATAATTATGTGTAATACCTTTTTTAAGAGATAATATTCATTTTATAAAAAAGATCAGTTAAAAGGGCTAAACATTTAAAATTAGCATTATAAATCAAATATAAATATTTTTTATGTTTTTTTCAATATGTATTTTATCTTATTTTTTGGGAAAAAATGAGTTTTTTAAGCGAAATTTTATAAATGCAAATAGTATTTGAGATATATAATATAGCATTCACTGTGAACGGGGGAAAGGGTAAAGAAAAGGGGGAATAATCGGTAAGGGTAAAAGGGTCTCAGAGTAACAGATTGAGCAAACGACTTCTTTATAAATGAAAAAAACAGGGAGGATATATTATATAAAATAATAATAAATTATATTCGATAGTTTGGAAATATTATTATTTTATACATAAAAATAATAAGATGAAAATAATTAATAAATATATTTTATTTTATAAAATTCAAATTTTATAGATCAATTTTTTTGCGGAGATGGTATTTCATTTTTTTAAAAAGAAATTAAAAATAAAACATTTTGGTTTTGTTTCTTTTCCCGTTTTATTTACCTACATATTCTTTTGTTAAACAAAAATATGAATTTAAAAAATATATATATTTTATAAGTAATAATTTTTTTATATGTTTTTCTTTTTGATTGTTTTTTTAAACATTTAATTATCATTATTAAATATATTAAGAATATTTTTAAAAATATAATATATAAATATATATATTGTATTTGAATAGAAAATAAGAAAATGGGGGTGTGTTTGTCTTTTTGGTTGGTTCCAAAAAAAGAAAAATTGCATGTTAATTTGGATTTGAAATTTTATAAATAAAATATTAATAATTAATTATTCAATGAATTTTTTTAAAACAATTATTAAAAGTAGTTGATCGGGTATGAAGGTAGTGGGTAAAGGACTCAATAAATTGAGAATAATCGCATGGAAATGTTTAGGTTATGGTACACTTCCTTCCTAAAGGTTTTTACTTTGTTCATGATAATCATCAAAATCTAAAGGAAAAAATTGGATGTGAGTAGTTGTTTGAAATTTTTAATATAAACCTCTTTTTTGAGATTATATAAAAAAGTTTTTCTCGTGAATCTAAAAAATAAATGATTTTGAAAATTAATTCTTTATTGGATATTATAAAATAAAAGTCGGCAAACCACGACCCAACCCGAAACTAACTACCCGAAAATTGGGTCGTTAAATTGGGATTATTTTTTATTTTGGGGTCGGGAATTTTTCTTCAGGTGCGTCAAGTTGGAAGTATATTTTTGTTACCATTTTGAATATCATCAGTAATATTAATAAATCATGGTTTTTTGTCAACTATTTTACAATTTTGTATTTTAAGATTATTTCTTATATTTAAAAAAAAAGAGTATTTGTTTTTATATTTTAATTTTTGGGAGAGGTGAAAATATATGTTCGGGTTAGGTTGAGAGAATGTGTATCTTCCTATAAGCCAGGTTAAAAAAAGTTGCCTTTTGCAATCTATTAAAAGTATATGGATGCAAAATTGTGATATTTATTAAAGGAGATAGCAATAAGGTTGTCGTTTTGATAATATATATGTAAATAATAAAGCAATTTTTAAAATATCTGTTACCATAATAAAAAATGTTTTTATTGAACCAGGTTCATATCGTTCGTAACCACATTAGCCTTTATGGGAGCGTTCCAAAGGACGAGTGAATCAAAAACCTTGCGGGCCTTATCAGCCTGAAGGTGAGAAGAATAGAGGACAAGCGCTTCACCAGCTACTTTATTAAGATAAAATTTTTTGACAATGCCATGCTGAGAACATAGAGTTTTTAATGTAGTAGCTTCCACCTATATTATTGTTGTATTTTGCAAAAAAAGGTTTAGGAAAATCATTGATATATATATATATATTAAATTTATGATCAAAAGTCTAATCCACATATATTTTAAAAAATATTAGGACTGGTCTTTGCAATCGGGTTTCGGTCCAATTTTATTTGTCAAAAAATTAAATTTTTGCAATAATGATTAGTGTAATGTATTTATTTTCGCATTTAATATTTTTGCTTATAAAATCAAATAAATTGTATCATGTTTAAATTATTTTTTACCAAAATGAAATAAATGAAATTTTTTTTAAAAATGATCATTTCCTTATCCTGACGCCTTAATGTTTAGAATGGGGTATATAATACCCCAGGCGTGTTACTGGTATAGTATAAAAACGGCTAATTAAATCTTCAGTTGCTTATTAAATTTATCATAAAATATATATTTAAATTTTTTTATTTCGTTTCAATAGTTTTTTTAGTATATAAACGTATTTTCTTATTAATTTTATTTAATATGTGGGGAAAAAATTATTTTAATCTTATTTTGAAGAATAAACATTAACATTATGCAATATATTAATTATATTATAAAAAAATTATATATTTAATATTTTTAGTTTATATAGTTGTACAAATTTTATAATTTATAATTATTCTCGTAATTTTTTTAAATCTATTATCTAAGAATAACAAATTAAATAGCTTTGAACATAAATATCTTCAAAAGTATAAAAGTTAAGTGGGTAAAATTTTGCCCAAATATAGATTACAAGAACCTTAGTTTATATACATTAAAATGGGTCGGCCGAGAATCATATTTATATTGATCGATTTGGCTTGGAAATAAAATCCAATAGGATTTAACCCTTTGACGTCTCCCGATTTGTTTTGACATCATATGATATAAATACGATAAAAAATACTTTCGTATTTTATTAAAATTATTAGCTCATGTTTTATTTTTATATTTCCATCCAATCATATTTTCATATTTTTTTCTTTACCATTTTACTGAATTATATGATTTTCAATATAACAAATTCTGTATACAATATTTAATAATGCAATTTTTTTTATTCATTATTAAAGATAAGAGTATTATTTTATGAATAATTAATTTATTAAAAATGAATATGCTCTTTTTTATATCAACTTAAAGTGCATGATGCCAAAATAGTCATTGGGATATTAGAATACCTTTTTTAAACTTTATTTTATTTTATATTTATAATAAGGTTATAATTATATTTCACCATAAAATGTATTCTAAACTAATAAGACCACACTATTTTTGAATTTGACGTTAATAAGACATATTTCCTCTGACTTATATTATAATTTTACATTTATTATATTTTTTAAATGATTCTGTATAATTATAAGAAGAAAAATAATTTAATTCGAAGGAGACATTTCGGAAGTAGACATCGATGAATCAGACAATGAAGAAGATATTGCACACTCTTTACGCTGATTCTCCTTCAACTTCATAAACTCCAACATCTAATAATCTTCAAGTCGAGATAGAAGATCCAGAAAATAATGATAATATTATCATCCAAAATAATATGAAATAGAGAGCTGGTGATATCCATCATTTAAACACAAATTATACTAATGCATTTTTCACTTCAACCAATATATTTACTCCATATCAATACTTTAAATTATTTATTTCAGATAATATACTAAATAATATATGTGAACAAAGTAATTTATACGGTATTGTATATGATTTTAAGATTTATGCGGAAAGCAAACTAATCCAACATCATCAGAATTAGAGATAAGTGGTGATAGAGTCCTCCAATTGGCCAAAAATTTTCCGAAATTTTAAAATCATAAACTCTTTTGCGATAACTACATTTCTTCAATAGCATTGGCTAAAAAAATTTTAAAAATCGGTATATTTGGTAAGGACTATTAAAGTAATCGGATGAATAAAATGCAATAGAGATTTTAAAAAAAGGGTGCGGAAGCTATGTATGTAAAGTTGATAAAAAAAAGGAAATATATTAATTGTCAAATGGTATGACAATAAGTTTGTGCACGTCATCTCATCCTTTATCGGTGGTGTTCATCCGATATAAAATGTAAAAAGATGGTCACTAAGTAGCAAAAATATATTAAAGTGCCAACCAAATATTTTAAAAACATATAATGAAGGTATGGGAGGAGTCGATTTACATGATATTTGTTGAATGCTATAGATATTAATAAAGGTAAAAGGTTCTACCTGAGAATCATTATCTCATTGATAAGTATGTAGTAAATTCATGGATTTTTGTATAGGCGGTAAATATGCCATGAAAAAAAGAATAAATGAAACTTATCAAATTTAAAACACATATTGTCAACGCATTATCGGCAGGCAAAATTAGTAAAAGAAAATCAAAGAGACCTTTGAATGAACAATAATTTTTAAAAAAAGTTCTTCTATAATGGCCCCTATATCTGATATCAGATATGACAACATTGGTCATTGGCCAGATTCCTGCGAAATGAAGCAAAGTGCATGTTATGAATACTCCAGAACAAAATGTGCAAAATATAATATATATTTATGTTTTAATCAATATAGAAATTGTTTTGGTGATTTTTATAATAAATAGATATTTGTATTTTTTTGTATTACAATATGCCTGATGTTGTCAAATTGCATCATGATTTTTTTTTACCTGTGTATTTAAAAATTAAATTTTGAAAACATTTTGGGCATGAAGTAGTGTTGTTAAACGGCTCGTTTTGAGCCTATTATTAAAAACGACTAACTCAATATTTCATTTAGAAAAATATTGCGCAAGCCTGAAGATTTTGCTCATAGAAGGAACAAAGATTTAGACATATATTCTCAAAATCTCGAGGCCTAGGCAATATTTTCCTGGCTAAAATATTAAGTTAGCCGTTTTGAAAAATCGGCTCAAAACGAGCTGATTAACAACACTAGCATGGAGTGTATATATGAATAATTTATAGAAAAAGAATTTTTTTTTAATTATTAAAAAGTTGAGCGTCAAAGGGTTAAAAGTAAATTAACAATAACCAAAGAGATATAAAGGGTAATAAACTCTTCAAATGATATTTTTTGTTGTTATTTTACCTTTCTGAAAAGTGAGGAGAAAATCAAACCCCAATTGATTATAAAATCACTATTGTAAAGCAGTATTCCATAAATGTGGGAATTGAATAAAATCATTTTTAAAAAATGGAGAAATATTTAAATTTTAAAAAACAAATATAGATTGTATAAAAATAACTTGAGAAGTTAGATTTTTAAGAACCAACCATGTTGGCTTATCTCCGAATTGTTGCTTATTGATTCCTTTTAATAAAAAAATACAAAATAATTTATAATTTTGAGTAGGCATTGTATAATTTAAACTGTTTATAGTGAATTTTTCTTCTTCGTATATAATATTAAGCAAGAAAGCTTAAGCTACAATTTCTGTTTAAAAAATTACCCAAATCGTTGACCGAGATAGTGTTGGACCTCCAGCCAATATTGGCGGCAGCACTATTAGCAAACACATTGTTTGAAATATTGGGAAGATTCATCATGTTGTTCATATTCAGGTTCAAAGTATTATTTATGCTAGAGAAATTTTTGTTGCCACCAGTGTTGTTTGGAAATGTTGAATTATTTAGGTTGAAGCTGCTGGCAGAACTGCTAAAATTTTTGGTGGTATTAGATAGGTGCCTTAGTACATATATCAAAAATAAAAATAATCATACTTTTAATCTATGAAAATATTTTATATTGATCTAATTTGCATATTCTTATTGTGTTGTCATTTTGGTGCAGACAATTCAGCGCTGTTATTTTGGCGCGTATCAATTAGGTGCTAGACAATTTGGCAAATAAATGATAAAATAAAACTTAAAGTGGGGAAAATATGCCCTTTTGGGAGCTATAACAAATCGGTATATATATTCCGTATATGTTGATTCGATGACAAATTAATTAAACGCGTAGAGTGGTCAATTGAGCTCATAAGTGCCAAAAAATAAGTAAATCGGAAATTTAATTAAAGATATACAAAATTTATATTTTAAAGAAAATCGGCAATATCCACTGTACCAAGACACATGATAAATTATCGTGCACCTAATTAACGTAATATAATGTTTTCCTCGTTTGCCCATTAATGGAGTATCAAATATATATTCACTATAATTGGTAAATAGAGTATATTTATAAGGACGAAAATATCCCAGGAACCTCAATTATTTTTGGGAAGTTTCAAATTAACAAGAAAAATTTTTAAAACCTAATTGATTGACTTGTGATATTAAAAAGTTACTATAAGATTATATACAGATACAATTTAAGCGAACCAAGAAATCGAAAATAACTTTACTAATATAAAATTAACTGTCCTTCTGAATATCCTGTAAGACATGATTATTTTTATTACATTTCAAATATATATTAAGGTAACAAATATAATCTACATATTAGATAATATACTATGCTAAAAAAATGATTAAATTTATTATATATAAAACATAAAATAAAAATTAGGAAAAATTTCCAAAGAAATAATTTGCTCTATGAAACATCATTAAATATAAGAAACGTAGTTATTTTTATTTATTTATTTAAGAGTCAAAAAGTGAGGTAATGTTAATTTATTTATACTTATTGTTTCCGTTTAGTTTGTAATTTGGATTGATGTAGTTGGAACCTTGATTGTTGTTTAAGTTGATGTTTTGGTTAAGATTTAAGGATTGGTGGTAAGGGAAAAATTGAGGATTAGAACCAGAATCGTAATTAGCTATGTTGGTCACGGATAAAAAAAACATATATTATTGTCGCATAATTAAATAAAATATAAAATAAATAAAAGAGTTTATGAAATGTCTATCAATTATATATTTTAATCAGTTAAAAAAATGAATATTGTAAAATATGAAAATGAATTAATATAATTTGAAATGAATAATGAAAATTTAAAATGATTGACTCTATAAATCATTTAATTTATTCGTGAGGAATGAAGACTTTTAAGGCTGAGAAGATGGAAGCAATTGTTAAAAATTGTCTCAAGAAAGCTGGAAAAGAAAAAAAAGACAATTATATATCTCAACTAGAGCTGTGCCGATATTAAATATCGGATCTGATCAGCACAGCTATTTAGGGTTTTCCAAAATTATCGGATCGGCCCGATACCTGTAAAAACCGATCCGATATTTTTACTTTTCTTTTTTTGTTATTTTATGTTATGTATATTTATTTTACATTAAGATAAGAAATAAAAAAATTAAATGCATAATTCGATTTTTTGCATAAAAAATATTGATTTCTTAATTACATTTGGTTCAAAGGGGGGTGGTGAAAAATCAGTATAAATATCGGATCGGGTTTGAACCAATATCGGATTGGTGAAAATATGAGGATGGATCGTCACAGCCCTAATCTCAACTTTATTAACTTAATTCAAGTAACCGAGAAGGTATTACATCTTCAGAGTTGTTTCTGGGTTGAATAATCAAAGTTCAATTTGATTTAAAACCCAAAAAACTAATGTTAAAACCTCAATGAAGATTAAAAAAACCAAATTTATGATGGGAGAAATAGTTTGAGCCCGTTTATTTGATAAAAAAAAGAGATGTGGGAAAAGTAATAGACCACTTTGGTAAACATTTATATAAGGTATTAATGAGCACCGAAGTTATAATTTGGCTTGGTTAAAAATATATCTTAAATTTTAGTTTAGAGGGGTTGAAAATGAATTATAAATGATTGTCTAAATTAGGAACAACTTAATTTATTTCAGATTTGAACTGGTATATATTTGTCTAAATTAGACAAGTTATGAACGTACTTATATAATATTGGAAATGTACATATAATAATTAAAGATATATAGGAAATCGAGGTTAATTAAGTAATTTTATTTTATAAAATATGGGCAGATGCCATGTAATATTGTTAAAAAAACTTATATTTAGCATAATCATTTTAATTTTCGAAATCGGTGTTTAATTAATTCAGGGGATAGAGAAAAAAACAGGAAAATTATTAATTTAGGTGTTTTATGTTCCAATATATAATTGCCGCATTCGCAAGAAGAAATTAATTTTAAATAAAGTTTACCTTTACACACGAATTACTACTATTAAAAGAAAAATAAATTGAAAGCTTATTCCGAGTAATCAGATTATATACTAATTAGGAATGCTAAGTTTACTAATTACAAATAAAGATTTTTTGTAAACACATATTATGACAATAAAAATTTTTTTTTTATAAATTAAATTAGTTTATATTTTACTACCATGGAAACGAAGCCTTAATTGTCAAACTTTGGTACGCACTATGTTCAGTTGATCCTAATTCCAATTGAGATACAATCTTTTCCGAAAGAAATGACCAATAGGGCAATAAAGAAAAAAATATGCTACAACTGTAAGTCAGAAGACCACATAATGGGACAATTCAAGAAAAAAGAGGACCAACATGCAGATCTCCAATAACAACGACATTGTTAACCATGAATAATAATGATCAGGCCTCCATTAAGTAACCGATATGCAAAGACCCACAAAATTTCAATTGGTATCCAATATGCAGGGACCATCAGGATCTCAAATGAATTATAAAGAAGTCTGTCAGATAAAACCTATAACTGAAGACTGAGGAAAGGTTGTCAGACACTCCAATAGTGAAATCCCACAACAAGTGATGCTTTGCTAATAATATTCGTCCAATAAAGATATCATTCCTGGTATATTTTTAAAATTTTTAGTTATTTCTAAAAATAGATTCATAATATTTTTGTATAATAATAATATAAGCTGGGCATACTTCTGGCCCATAAAGAGATGACATGTCGAACTATCACAAATATTTTTTGTAAAATTTATATTACATTATTGAATTTATGTCAATCAAAGCCTATATATTTTTGATTAGATGGCGTTATAAAAAAATAATAATATTATAATTATTATATTTCGGATGAACTTAGAATAAAAAAAAAATTGCTTACCGAACAAAAAAATACTATATCATAAATTCTATAGATCATGAAGACTAGAGAAACGAAAAAAAACTAAAGCAAATTTATCAGTGAAATGAAATATTAAGGATCAAAGAGCTAAGAAATTGTGACTAATTGAGATTTTGAGGGTCTTTATATATCAGCCACTAATTGAGATTTTGAGGATCTTGGGATATCAGGAGCTATTCCACGCATTAGACGTTTATTTGAGGCCCAGTCGTTAAAAATAATGAACGAATTCAATTTTTAATATATTTAAATTTTGATATTTTTTCTTCTTACATTCGTGGCAACAATATATCGGAATATAAAACACTAAGATTAATAATTTTCCCCCCTTTTTTTATCTATGACCTGATCGGCAACATTACCACTTCAAAAGCCAAATATACAAATTAATTAAACATCGAATCACGTTAAACATAAATTTTACACTATATGTTCTGATAGTGTTTAACAATATTATATGGCATCTGCCCATATTTTATAAAAAATTACTTAATTAACCTTGCTTTTCTAAATATCTTTAATTATTATATCATGTATATTTTCCAGTATTATATATAAGATTATACTAACATAACAGCATAAAAATGAAAGTACGTTCATAACTTGTCTAATTTAGACAAATATATATATACCAGTTCAAATCTGAAATAAATTAAATTATGCCTGACTTAGACAATCATTCATAATTCATTTTCAATCATGCAAAATAAAGTTAAAATAACATATTTTCAATCCTTCAAAACTAAAAGTTAAAATATAATTTTAATCAAGGCAAAACTTTCCCTTGAGTGCATATGATCAATGTATCGAATAATGATAACTCCAGTGTTCAATAAAAACTTATTTGTAAGTGAGCCCACGTGGTCTATTACTTTGACCGGGCCCTTTCTCTTTTCCTTATTATCAAATAAACGGGGCCAAACTATCTATTCCATCATAAATTTGGTTTTTTAATCCTCACTGAGGTTATAACATTCGTTTTTTGGGAGTTTAAAAATCAAATAAAACTTTCGTTCCTTAGACCCAGAAACAACAGTGAAGGTGTGATACCCTCTCGGTTACGCGAATTAAGATAATAAAAGATATATAACTAACATTTTTTTCTTTTTTTATTTAATCCGTTTTTTAAATTTTATATGATCAAATAATATTGGATATTACCTTATAAAAAATTTATATATTAAACTAATGAATGAAATCACTATTTGTTAAATAATATCCAATTACATAATAATCGTAAAAAATTCACCACTGAAAACCAAATTTAAATCAAAATGTACGATTTTATATTTTTAAATTGACTATTTTAAATCTTGATTTATTTGGAAAATAGATTGACATACATCGTATTAAGATAGATAATTCCCATTAAAATATTTGTAATTTGATTTTAATGGAGGTTTTAAAATGCTGAGCCAGAGATGGCAGCCAAAGGAAATGAATGGGGGAAAAATTGGGTTTCGAAAATAGTTTTTGGATCATCTTAATAGGGTAATACAAAAATTATATTATAAATTAAAAAAAAATTAATACCTCCAACGTTCAGGTGATTGAAACCAACTAAAGTAGCATCGAGAGAGGAAGATGCGTTAATGTTATCAATAGTTTCTTGGGTAATGGTGTTGTTAATATTTGCATTATCACCTGTTATGTCTGTGTGGAGATCCTATAAATATGATAATTATAGGAATATTTTTTTTGATATATAACTTTCAAAACTGTTAGAAAGACTACATGTTATTTCTGTTATTTACTGATGAATAACTAAGAAAAATTAAATGTAAAGAGCAACTTTAAAGAAAAAAAGTAGATAAAAATAAGAAACGAATAGTTATAAAGAAAGAAGGGAAGAATAAAAAATAAAAGAAAATAATAATAAAAAATTGAGGAAAAAACATTGAAAATCAAGACAGAAGGGGGGGGTTAAGATATTCAACCTTCATAGCTGTCAAATGGCTGATGGTATTCCTATTATTTGCAGCCAATATACCAGGCGTAATATAAGGGTCATTTTCGATATCCGGTTTAAAACCGGACCAAGGTTTGCCAGGTCGGAACTCGGCTATTTTGAGCACTTCGGCGGCTGAGCTATCAACAAAACCCGTCGAATGTGAGCGAGTTGTTAAAGAAATGGAATCAACTTGTTCATCTTTTTTGTATGTAAAGAATCTTTAATTTATGATAAATCTCGAACTTTTATTTTAAAAATATCGTTATTTCATGAATGCTGTTATTTATTAATTGTCTCTAATACTGTTCATGTTGCGCATAATGTGTTAATTAACTGTAAAGTTCAACAACCAAAAAATTTAACAGTTTATGGTTTTATTAACAAATAATTTCATGCAATTTGATTGAGACTATCTATAAACATGGCATGTCGATACTAATTTAAAATGATAGGAATGACCAATACTTAAAAATGATAATTAACTTTCATATATTTTTAAAAAAAGAGAGAAGTAGGTATTGCTATTAATCTTTTATTTCTTTTAATTTAATTTTATAAATTAATTATAATGATAAATAAATAAATAAAATGATAATATATAAATTATATCTGTTTTTTCCAATTAATATACACTAATATTTTTGGAATCATTGAGTAATGGCTAAAAAAAGGTGGTACTGGTACAACCCGAATCGAAATAATAACTAAATGATGCCAATCTAAAAGCTATACAATCATAGATCAGTTTTTTTAGAACGGTTTATACTTGATTCAATACCTAATATAGAAAATTATCTTTTTTAAAAAAATTATAATGACATTTTTTGTTATTGGTACACTTCAATGGGCGGACATAATACAATGCAAGTTATATGTTATTTTTATATATCCCGATATGGCATTTAAAAATTCTTTTATCAATATCAAAAAAAAATTAAAAATATTTACTTAGTTACAAATAATAAAATTAAAAATTGTTACAAGATTAAATAAGATGTAGAGATGCATCAAAGATCCCCTCTTAATTTAAAATTTTAATTGCTACATCTCATGGATCCTGGCATCGATGGTGGGATATGTTTTACATGTGATGACATAATTTTTTATATTGGAATTTTATATTATATTTATATCAGAGGCCTGCAGAGATCAAGCCCGGTCTAGATTTGACACATTTTCTTTTCTAGCCTGGTTAAAGGCTGCATGGGTTGCCCAAAACCGGACCTGAGTCTCGAGCTTTTGGACATAACATAGGACTCGGGTCAGGACGTAAGAGGTGTCCAAACCCAATAAATAAATATTAAAATACAAATATCTTTTATTTCATAAAAATGTCAATCAGAATAACTGATGGTTAATTTAATTTTTAAATCGGCATAAACCGGATAATTTTGTATAGGCTTAGAATTTTCAAGCATCAGGCTTGTCGGCCAGTTCTGGGCCTGACTTGCAGGTTTCTGATTTATATACATCATACCTTTTGACTTCTGTCCGAGCCTTATATAAAAGTATGATTTATAATTTAAAAATTGGGCACATTTTGTTTATCAAATAAATCTTGAATGATTGACATATAAAAAAATTGGCTTTTTTAGATTACAATTTTATCTATCAAATTGGATTCTATCTTAGGCAAGTAAATTTATAAAATTTCTTTTAAAATAATGCAGTTAAATCCTTACAATATTTACGATCAAAGTTAAAAAGAGATAAGAAAATTTAAATTGACATATTAAATGCAACCAACATAAATTTAGCAAGACTTTACCATCGCCATTATTTTCACCTCCATTGATAACTTTTTCTGGTGGGGAAGGCAATTTCCATTGAGTTAGCCTAGATTTTTGGTGGTAGGTTGGTGATAAGGGGTTCATATTGTTGTTTGAGACTAAGTCTATTATTCATTGATTAAAAGAAATTTGTTAAATTTGTTTTCTTACACAACAAAAATAAGATTAACTATCCTTTTCTTTTATTTTCCTTTAAGAGCCCTCATCTGACATATTTTTCCAGTCTGGCCTAGCCTAAATAAAATTTTCTCTTTATTCCAGTACAAATTTACTGAAGATTCGTCAGCCCAATTTTTAGAAATATATCTTATCTGACTTGGTCAAAGTCCACCATGAAAAAAGATAATAATAAACAAATAAAAAAAGTATCAAGAGAGCAAAAAAAAATAAAAATATATAAAAGAAAACAAAATATAATGCAAAAATACGATTTCTTTTCTTCATAAAAAATTATTATAGGGAAAATGTTTATTTGGCCCAAAGACAGAGATTTTTAAGTGCCTGGTCAAAAATAAAAAACCGGAAAGATTTTTAGGGGTCAAGCCAAAAAATTAAGATCTTGAGTCATTTAAGTCGGGCCATGCTGATAATCTTGTTCAGCCTAAATGTAAAATCAGGCCTGATTGAGTTGATGAGTGTCATTTATGATTAACCTTTTGTGCACTAAAATTTTAAATTGTAATAAAGATATCTTTTTACTCGATACCCTTTGCATATAAAAGTTTACCTAAACTATTATCTTGTCCAATGCCTCCTTCCTTGACAGAGTTTTCGGCATTTTTGGAAACAACGACAGGGGTAGAGGTCACATGCTCATTAACGGCTACTGAAATAGCGTTTTGAAGTTGAGTTATTTGTTGATTGACTTGTTCCAACTTAAGTGACAACTTATATATTTTTTTATGTTTTAAAATTGTCTTTTGAGCATAATATAGATTGTTTAGAAAAATGGGAAGTCAATAATTTTTGGATTACACGTCTTTACCCCTAAAACCAAATAAAAACACTTAGTCTATACTAATTCATAATCCTATAAAAACAAATAAGATAAAAATAGATCAGAATTCCTGATAAAGTGATACCATCAGTTAAAAGCAAAAAATATAACAAATAATCAAGGAAAAATATATGTACTATATCAGCATGCTGTTTAAAGTTCCCATTATTGCTGCTGCCCATAACACCTAGACTTTTAATTTTCCCGGCCAGCATTTTTTGAGAATTCATGATGGACTGTGAATTCTTGTGCAAATTCAGCAACTGTGTTAACATGAGCAAGATATGTGGCGAGAGCTTAAGGTTCAGTATTGCCGGATCTATGAGACCTGAACTTATGGCCATATTGAGTTGATCTAACTGTTGGTTTATCAAATTTTCTCCTCCAAATCCTACACCACCTATATTGGGACTGCTATATAAAAGCATATTTTTTAAATTATGAATAGCTTTAAGAATTTAAATATCTAATCTTATATAGTAAATTACAGATGCATTGATACCAATTTTTTGCTAATAACTATGATATGGAAATTTTTTTGGATAATTCACAAAAAAATTTAATAAAAATATTTTGACTATTAATTTAACCTTTTTTGTTTTGTCAAAAAAGTTTATTTTAATCTATATAACTAAGATATAATATAAATTTTTCAAAAATAGTGGTATCATTTCGATATTACATCCTCCCAGCCATAACAGAAGGCATAGCAATTTTAAAAAAGATTAAATAGAACATTGATAAAGATTCATTTTTTTTAAATTTCGCCGCTTATTTGTTGCCAGATATTCATTTTTTTTAAAAAAAAAATATTACCCTTCGCTAAGACCTCCCTCACTATTTTCTAATAAATTTGATGATTGCAAGTTTTTGGAAGGATAATTAATACTGGTAGTTGAAGAGTTATTGAGACTAGAAATTGTGGTATTATTGAGGTAAAGAGATTGTGTTAAAGAATTGTTTGTCGCACCGGGATACTGTAAATAAAAAATATAATTTTATAAAACTTGCAGGGTTGTATGCCTTTAAATAAAAATCTGTCAGTGCAAAAAATAATAAAAAATAAAGTGGTTGCCTTATGTTAAAATCACTACATTAAATGCCAAATCTTAATAAATCAGTAGATTGAATTAATAAGGTTTGTTATAAATCATATTAAATAAAATTAATAGCTTGAATTGATTTTAAAAAAATATATAATGTAGTAAACTTGTTTATTGGCATTTCTAAGGGCGTTATTAGCATTAAACGAACTAAATTTGTCTTGAGTAAGGTTGGAAGAATTTAGGTTATTATTGCCTTACAGGTAAAAAAAAATAAAATATAATAGATTTAATATAAAAATAAATCCCTTTTCTATTCTATTTTTTCATCACTTAATTACTGTTCTTTGTAAGTAACCCTTTAAACCCCTCTAGAATAGATAATTGATACATGGTTGGATGCATGCATTAATTTTAAAAAACAATTAAATAAAAAATGTAAACCATTAGTGCTATTATGCGATTTAGGGTTTGTGTTTCCAGTAATATTTTTAAGTTTATATTGGTTGAGCATTTTGATGATAGAGGTATTCAAGTTGTTTTGTTCATTATTAATGTTATGGTCATTGGAAGATTTAAGGCTTTCAGTGTAATATTCCTCCAAGAGTCCATTTTGAGTCAATAAATCTTGTTAATTATAAGAAAGATTCAATAATTATAATGCAACACTTTTTGTAAGGAAAAAAATAAATATATGTCCATTTTATCAAATGAATAAAATGGGTATTACAAACATTAAAACATCTCTTAACCTTTGCTATATATCTTTATTTTTTTAAATTTATTGCAAATTTTATAATTATGTTATTTTAAAATCAAGTATATAAACAATAAGTTGTGATAGCTCTCAGAAAATTTAAATATTCCAGTTTTAAAGCAACTAATTATCCCAAATTCGATTGAATCGAAATTAGATGTTACACTTTATAATTCTTTTTAAATTCGCACACCAAAAATTATATGCCAATCATTTATTTTTCTCCTAAAAAAATAAATAGTATTTTTAAAAAACCTAAGGCTTCTTTGGGTAACAGTGAATGAGCCGAAGACATGAAATTATCCATTTCTTCTTTTTGTTGCTTTAATAATATGATATAAATTTAATTAATAAATAAACAATAATTCCCATGTGTCATTCCAAGTCATAACCCCCCTAAGATTTAGGCAAATTTTGTATAAAAGTTAAAGTGAAGCTAAAGCAGTGTTATAAATTAGCATTATAGTTTATATATTTTTGGAAATATCAAGGGTCATGCAAATCGTGAATGAATTAAAATTTTACTAAAAAAGGAAGTATTTATGCAATATTTTAATTTTTATATCTATTCGACCATAATACTCTAAAAAATTCAAATCATCTAACCTTAGATTTTTTTAAAAAATTTTTGTATGTCGATTCTTTACTATTATAAAAAAACATATAAATACATTTTAAATAATAATTGAACAATTAATTTTATATATTTATTGAATAAATAAATATCTCGGGTTTATTTAGTGTTATTATCTATGTTCCCCATAAAAGGGAAATCTCGGCATTTTAATATATTTTTATATAATATTTGCTTAAAAATCTAAGAAACTTATTATTTTAACAAGGATTATAAACTTTCGAATGATGAATCGCCATATTGTAAATAAAATTTTAAAATATTTTGATTTTAGGATCATTATAATTCTGTGGTATTTTTAGTATAACTTTAATACTAAATACCAAAAATGGATAAATAAATCTTATTTTCATATTTTAACCCTTGATATCTTCATAAATATGAGGTCTAGGAATCTAATATTTGAACACTGCTTAGGTACTAGTCATAGTTTATATACAAAATTTCACCCAAATAAAAAGGGGTATGGAGAATCTTGATCGGTTTAACACGAAATGAATGACCTCCTTTCCTTTAATTACATATTTTGTTTCTTCATAACATTTTAGACGAAAATTTTAAACTATGTATAATACAATCATTCTAAAATTTAAAAGCATTCTTAAAATCAAATTCCTTAGAAGTAAGTTATCGTCTTTGCAACGTGAAGACAATTATTTTAATAAAATCTATCCCTTCCTCCTTTCTTCCAATAAAAATATCAAAAAATAATTTAAATATAAATAAATCGTTTTTCTACCATGAATCCCAGAAAGTCTAATTTTTCATTGCTCATACCCCTCTATAACAAAAAATAAAATAATTATTACAAAATTTTAATCACATTTTTTAGTTTAATTAATTTAGCTTCTAAATAAGATCTATATCCTTTTTTAACATAGTGGTTAATAAGGAGGAACTTAATGGAATAAATATAATGAAGACATAGAAATAACAATAAAATTATCTTAAAATATAAAGACCGGTCTAAATATGCTTCCATCTAGTTCGATTTTTGTATTTTAATAAAACTTTGGTAATAAAAGTTAACTTAATTTATTTTCGTTTATATATATAATATTTCAGAGACCTGCAGGCCCGGCCATGAAAATTTTTTTTAAAAATTTATACAACATGAATTATTATATTCGTCAATTAGATGTGGTTATGATTATATATAGTTTTAATATAATGTTGGGTGAATGTTAACTAACACTCATAGTATCTATTACATAATATAATTATAGTTTTTCTGCCATGAAAAAATACGCAAATTATTATATAATATATGTTATATTTTTATTAATTTGTTATTTTTATAAATACAATATAGTATATTTAGACCGGTATTCACGCCGGAAAAGCTCGCGCGAGCCGGCCGCCACCGATTTTTATTATGGCGACGGCGCGGCGTGTGTAATTTTTAGAAAGCATATTAATTATATTTATATATTAAATTATTATAATTTTAATTTGAATACTAAAATTAAAAAAATTAAAATATGAATTGTATTCTATAATAGAATAAGTATATCATTTACATTCATTCATACATCATATTTGATTTCCACAAACAATTCATATTAATTATTTTTGTGGACTTCCACGTTTTAAACCACCCTTTATACAATTATGAAATAACAACTCTCTCTACTAATAATAAATCAAGTTATGTCTGGAGATACTTTGGAAATCTTATTTTGAAGAATGAAAATAAGAAAAGCACAATAATGCTTGTTTTGTGAACCTTGTTTAAAATTGGCGAAAAAAGATGAGGAAGATTCGAATAAATATAATTCATTTTCACAGTAATTTTTTTTAGAGTTATATTTATATATATTTTATAAATAAATCCATTCAAAGTCTAAAAATGTTTTATAAAGCCAACACCAAGATGCAGCAAAATGGCTCTTAGGTTAGTATTATTGTTTATTATTATTCATTTAAAATTTTTAACTGGTTTGTTAAATTAATTTTATTAAGCTTTATTTTGAAAGTTCAAAACAACTAAATTTTTAGTTTATTTATTGCCAGCTCTATTTTGAGTTTTAATATATAAACTTAATATATAATTTATTAAATTAATTATGTAAAACTTTATTTTGAAAGTTACTACTAAATCAAATTCATAATTTGTTAAATTCCAACTATAATTATTATGTTTTTTAAATGTCATTTTAATGCATAGCATAAACTTAATATATAATTTATTAAATTAATTATGTAAAACTTTATTTTGAAAATTAAAATTAAATCAAATTTATAATTTGTTTCATTCCAGCTCTAATTATTTTGATGTTTTTTAAATATCTTTTTAAATTATTACTTAATATATAATTTATTAAAAAATTATTTAAAACTTCTGTTTTAAAAAGTTATACTAAATCAAATTTATAATTTGTTTCATTCCAGCTCTAATTATTTTGTTTTTAAATATCATTTTAAAGTATAAACTTAATATATAATTTATTAAATTAATTATGTAAAGCTTTATTTTGAAAGTTAAAACTAAATCTAATTTATAATTTGTTTCATTCCAGCTCTAATTATTTTGATGTTTTTTAAATATCTTTAATGTTAAAAATAAATATGAAATCTAATAGATGTTTTGATGTGCTGCTTAAATTTAATGCCATTTGATTCTATAAACAATAAAGGAATAACAGATTTTCTAAAGGTTTATAATTTATATAAAAAATAAATTGCCTAAAAAATAGAAATATAAGAGAATTGATTCCTCGTCAGAATTGCCAAATAGGACAACCATTAGTCGGGGTGCACTAGAAGATGTATATTTATCTATAAAGGCCAATGTTTTAAATCTGATTGATTCTGGACCAAAATTTTGTTCTATCACTTTTGATTTATGGACCGATCATTTCAAGCGTCGAAATTATATCACATTTAGTCTTCATCATTTAGATGAAAATTTTGATTTAAAATATTTTACCCTAGCAACTAGAAAGTGACTCAAAAGCATACTGGGGAAACAATATTATCTGAGATTGATAGTATTGAAGAAGAGTTCCATTTAAAAGCCAAAATAATACAAATGGTAACTGATGCTGGGGTCAATGTCAAAAGAAGCGTCAGATTAGGGAATTTGAGCATCATTTATGCTTAGGGCATGGACTTCATAATTTGGTTACAGTTGATGGCATAAAAAAAGTTACCAAAAGCCCTTATAATATCGAGTAGATTTGGAATGTAAAATTGAGGCTGAACATCGTAAATATCTGCAGTCAATTTATGAGACAGGTAATATCTTGGATATTGATAATTCTGATCCATACCATGATGACCATTTTTTTTGATATGTCTGATGAATCGGATAATAGAAATGGCATTGCACCAACCAATCTAATTAATGCAAAAACTTAAAATTAAATTGCTCTACCCGCTGGCATAGCATATTAATTATGCTAGAAAGTGTTCAGTGTAAACAAAATTCCTTAAATAATGTTCTAAATAAAATAGGAAAACAATCTTTAAAACTCTTTAATAATGAATGGGATGATTGATGAGCTTTAGGCAGTATTAAATCCATTCCGAGTCGGTGGAATTTCTTTCCTCCCAAAAAGGATAGACAATAAACTTAGGGTTATTATTTAGCAGTGAAATAAAAGCTCATATACAAATCAATAAATCTGATTGCTCTGATATTATATGCTTAAAAGAAAATATGAAAAAAAAGCTTGACCTCCCATTACTGAACTTCAAGTTACTTTATATTTTTATTAATAAAATTATATTACTTGATCCCAGATTTCAAAATCTTAAAGTTGTTTCAGAATATTTAAATTCTAATTCTACGACATCATTGCAATTTTTAATTCGACATTTAAAACTTTTAGAGCATGATAGAAATGCACAGAGTGAAATTCAAGTTGAGGATTATTGTCAAACATCAAGCTCTTATATAGCTAAATTAGCTCGTAAACATTCCCTTCCAAGTAACCATTATAACAATATTAGTAATATAGAACAAGAATGCCATATTTTGCTCAGCCAAAATAATATCCCAGAAGAGGACACATTAATCTTTTGGAAGGAAAAGCGACTGGAACTTCCTATGCTTGCTAATTTAGCTAGGAAGGTTCATTGTATATCTGCACAGCTAAGAATTTTTTTCATTGCTGGATTAATACTCAATGCTAAAAGGATTTCTTTTTGTCCCACAAATCTTGATAAAATACTGTTTATTCATGACAATTATAATTTTGCAAAATCTGAATTCTGACTTATTATATTCCATACTTTATATTTTGCTTGCATTCCAAATTTATTTCAATTATAATAAAAATCAATAAAATATTTCTTATATGTGTTGTTGATGTGACTCTGATCTGAGTAAAAATGCAGTTCCTTAGTCTATTTCTGAGAATGAGAAAATATAAAAATTTAAATTGGAGTGAGACAGGAAAGTAAACAATTTATTAAAAAAGATCGCCCAAAAATGTAATACATTAATTTATAAATTAAATTCATTAAAAAATAAATTGATTTATAAATTAAATTCATTAAAAAATAAATTGATTTATAAATTAAATTCATTAAAAAATAAATTGATTTATAAATTAAATTCATTAAAAAATAAATTGATTTATAAATTAAATTCATTAGAAAAAATTTAAAATAAATATAGCGCCGCCGCCGAACGCCGATAAAAAAAAATTTAAAAAACCGCCGCCGTTGATTGAGACACGGCGCACAGATTTAAGTATATTCTCAAAATATTATTTACACTTTTATAGTATCAATTTGTAATATACTAAATATCTGTTTAGAATATAAAAAAAATATGTAATATTATGCTTGCTTATTAAATGATAATACTCGCCGAAAAATATGATAAAATACCGAATAGGTGAATTTTTTGTATATCCCAGGTCGAATATAATTATAAAAAATTTCGAGCCGTGCCTAAAAATTTTTTTTTAAATATTCGGGCCGAGCCTAAAATTCTTAAACCCAGGCCGGGTCATAAAAAATTATAAAAAAAAAATCCGGGCCGGGCCATGCAAATGATACCTCTGCAGGTCTCTGAAAGTAGAGTTCGAATCCAATCCAAGCCCGATCTGACTGAACTCGATTTGGTTTAACTCCGAAAAACATTTTCTTGAACTCGGTCACATTCGGACCATAAAAAGTAATGTTGTCTCATTTAATGTTACTTTATAATAAAAGTAACGTCGTTATTGTTGCCCTCTTAAAATCGATATGGTTAATAAGAAAAAAGAAAAAAAATTCTTAAGTTGTTTTCTTTAAATAATTGTTTTTATTATTAATAAAAAATTCTACTTATGATTTATTTTGATGAAAAGTGATTCCAAAATTTTACATTATTTTAATAAAATGTGTTAATGAAAGTATATATTTATAAAATATGTTAATGAAAGTGTATATTTATTTAGTAGGTACCTTCAATATGAACAATATTGTAACATATATGAAAATATATTATTTTTCAGGATATCGATTTTAGTGATCTGCAAGAGTAGGCCCGGAGTAATTTTTTTTAAGGGTTAGTTTTAAGAGTAATTTTTTCTAGGCCAGTTATTTTTTAAGAAAATTCGGGCAGGGTCGGTTTTTAGAAATTTTTTAAAATATATCTAAATTTAACAATTTTATGTTGAATTTTTCATGTAAAATAAAAATATGTGATTTTATTTATAGAAAGTAGGCGCCATATAACAAATATCGTTTATTTTGAGTAATTATAAAAATTAATTTCTATATTTAAATAAATTCAGGCTGGGCCGGCAAATTTTCGGGTTCGGGCCAGACATAACTTTATAAAATAAACTTCGGGCCGGGCCAGGCTTGAAAAATTAGGGCCGATGCAGATCACTTATCGATTTCTGATCGCAAAAAAGCACAATAAGATTTGGACCCGGAATGAACTGTAACGAATTGTTAAACCATTATAAATATCTGAACCATAACCGTTATAATTATTTTTTAAAGGAGTAAAAAGAACCCTTATAAAAAAGATCAAACCTGTTTAAACCGGTTCAGTTTTTATATTTTAGAAATGGAAATAATTTGAATATCCAGAATTATATAACTTGCTCTTATAGTACTGGCGGTTCCCGCAAAGAAAGGGCCTTTTCTGGGCTTAAATTAGTGTTATCGTCATAACGAACAAAAAGGAATTCATTTATATTAGAAAATATATTACTTATATGTTCAAATAATATATTTAAAAATGAGTTATTTTGAATCATATATATATTTTTTATATAAGATGCTTATAATAAAAATAAATTAGACGATGGTGTTGCTTCAATAAAAAAAATTTCTAACCGTAATGAACCTTTATAATTAGCTGAACCGAACCTTTATATTTTTTCTTTAGAACCGTAACCAAAACGTAACCATTATAATTTTTTACATTCTGAATCGTAACCAAAATGAACCGTTATAAATAACGGGTCCCTGGCATTTTGCATACCTTATTTACGATTTATTATCGCTCTAAAAAACCTTCACCTAGCAACAATCATAAATCACAAATACAAATTTATAAAAATGCTATTGAAAAGATTTGTGCAATTTTTAAGATATTATATATCGGTATCTTAAAATGGCACATTTTCATATATGCTTTACAATTATTTGTTCATATTAAAGGAACTAGATATATACTTTCATTAACAGATTTATCAAAATAATGAGAATTTTGGAATCACTTTTCATCATAATAAAGATAAATTTCAGATTCCTGATTCATGCCTCATAATAAAAATAAAATAGACTATACGTGTTATATAGTTAAAAAAGGTATACACATTATCAAAATACGCCGGTTTTACATTTCGTCTATTTTAAAGATCTTATTTGCAAAATTTTATATGTAGTTATATTTTGACTAAGATGATGGTAAATTATTTGTTGATTAATTTTGATTTAATAATTTTGGATAATTCGAAATTATGGGATTTATAGGAAAATATTTTAATTCAAAAATAATCTTCAATTAGTTTAGTCATTGTTTAAATGGTCATAACTAACGCCAGAGTGAAGATAAGATCATCTGCTTTTAATGCAAAAACATATTTAAATTTTTTTAAATTAATTTCAAATACTCAGTAATTTGGCAAAGAAATATAAGGATTGGATTTTTACAGAATGGTGAAAAGTTGTGACAACGGGTCTAGTATTGGAACTTTAGAGTATTCGCAATAATATGGTACGCAAGGCAAATAAAGAATTACATTCTGATAAATTAAAACTGTTTGGAAAATGAAGTATCTAAGCACCGCCAGGCAATGTTCGAGACAATGCCTAGAAAGCTTTAATTCGTTATTAGAGCTAAAAAAGATCTTCTAAATTTCCATACATATTAGTATGTTATATAAATCAAAATAATTTTTGATATACTTTTAAAATGCAATCATATGTATATTTAATATTATAATTATGAGAATAAATATAATATTTCATCCTAATATTGAATTGTATCGCATAAGAAAAAATATAGTAATTCGGTTTTGGGTAGTATACCAAATTAAAAATAAAATTAATGTATGGATTGAACTGTTACAAAAATATTATTATTTACCAAATATTTTGAAACCGAATCTAATCAAGTCAGATCAGATCGGACTTGGTTGGTCCGGTTATTATATAATATGTAGCTTAGATTGTTTCCTTATTTAAAATTTTTAATAGTAAATATTTTTTAACAATTCTCTAAACAAAATCGCTTATCAGTAAGACCCGTTCAATAGGGGCTGAGGTAAAGGTGTATTATATTTTATAAACAAGGCTTTAATATTTAGAAATTGTTTAAGGTTTTCCAAAAATATAGTTATTCTTAAAGAATTTTTGCAGATCTTGTCTGAATCATCAGACACATTTTCACTAAAAAGAGTTTTTACTTATATAGACAATGAGTATAGGCACTAATTTCTTCCATCAATGTCTTATATTTATGGATATCTCTCCTCAAAAAGGAAACTAAATAAGGTTACTTTACAGTTAAAATTAAAATGAGATAAGATATAATTTGTTTTAAAAACTTGATTTTTTCCGTTTTTATATTTTTAAATATTTAACTTAAACATTAAATAATAATACTTTACTTTTTGATGATAGTAACGCTGCTTACCTGATTTTTTGTAAAAAAAGTATCAAGTAACGTCGTTGTAAAATTTCACTAATTTTTACGAACATTGTTTTTAATAATATTTAAAAAATTGTTTTTTATCCATTAACGCTTCTAATTTTAGCGTACTTTTTCAACAGTCCAATAAAAAAATTCGGATAAATAATAAATCAGATAGCTTAGAATCTTTGAAAAAAAAATTTAAGATGGATCAGTTGGATAAAAATTTCTAAATATTTTGCATGCAGAGGTCGAGTTGATGAAAAGGTAAATGTTAATAAATTGAATATTATCATAAGATATTTGAATATAAATATTTATGCAATTCAAAAATGATTTAAATTAGGGATGTGCCGATATAAAATATAGGATTGTAACCGGTAACTACCACTTTTTTTTAAATTTGACCAGGTCCAATCCGATATTAACATTGTTTTTGATTATTTATATTCTCTATTTATGCATAATTTCTTTTAATTATAAAAAATGACTTAAAAAACCAAAATATTTATTTGTAATTGTATTATAAAAAAGAAATCGAATTATTTAAAAAAGTAACTAAAAATGAGATAATTTTTTTTACAAGAAAACGCTTTTAAAATATTTAAGGAGTTGTAATCAGCCATAAACATTACCTATATTTTAAATAAAATGATTAACTTTTTAGTAATAAAAAAATTCACTTAATCATTCGTGATAATGTACTTAATATCGCCTTGGCCATAAAAAATGGAAATTTCAAAACCTAATTATGTTATGCTTATAGCTACAGTTAGTTATTTTTTCGCACAAAAAATATCATGGTTAAAAATTAATAGGATAGATTTTGTATGAATATCGGATCAGGATCAGTGATAAAAATTTGTAGATTATCACAAACAGCCTTAATTTAATTATTAAAAATTTAAGAGAAATCCAGGCTTAAACTAGAAGTAAATTATTACAGACAGCCTTAATTTAAATATAAAATTTTTAAAGGCGTCCAGGCCAAAACTCAAATTATGATTGACTCGTGGTCTTCCCAAAAACGTTCTTTTATCTGTCCAGTCTAATTTTGTTCTAAAACCAAGACTTGACCATCTCTAAATGCAGCTGGTGTTATAAGAATTGAATTCCAGCAAATCTGAACCTTTTTGAGGAAATTTCAAATATTTTGGTTGATTATATCGACCAGGCTAAATTATTAAAGAGTCCTTAAATTCCTGAAACTGAACTGCATGATAAAATGGATTGTAAAAGGGGATCTTTAAGTTAAATTTTTTTTATGATAAATATGATAAATATAGATAAATTAATGAAATAATTAAGTGACAACCCAAAACTCAATAACTTTTAAATACCATAATTAATGAACAATCGATAGATTAACCAGTCCTCATTTAAACAAAAGAAAATATTCAAACTTCTTGAAGTAATTTTTGGCCTTCTAGTAATTTGGTAGATCCACCACCGTTATTAATTGGAACTGAGCTATTGAATTGTTTGTTCATAGGGGTGGAAGTAAATGCTAAAATATGATAATTGATTAATTTATAATGACTATCTTTTTTTGTAATTTGAAAGGTTTGGATCTTATCATAATATAAATTGTAAGTAACCTTTAAATTTGTTATTCATGCCAGCATGGTAGGAATTGTAATTGCTACTATCCTGATTATTAACACCATCACAAATTCCGAAACCGGTTTCCTCCCCAAATACCGACATATTAGTATTCGATGGATTATTTGAACCTGTATTCATGGCCCATATGGCTGTCCCATCGTCAATATCATTGTTATTATTGGTAAGATTTTTTGGAGGAATCGACATACTGCTGTCAGAATTTCGAGGGCTAATCAGATTATTTTGATCTGGGTTACCGTTATTTTGAAGTGCTAAGTGGGGATTGTTATTTTGGGGAAAAAAATGTGCCTTTGAGAGATCGTCTTGTAAATTCCCAAAATTATTCATCAAGGGATTTAAGGATGGATTTCTGAATTTGTCATAAGGGATAGTAGTAGATTGATTGTTTCGGCTATCGTCTCCCCAACCAGTCATACTCATATTCCGATTATGGATAGCATTCATCTCAGACTCATCTGATAATGAGTTGAATCTGTGGTTATTATTCTTAATTTCATTATTATTTAAATTAGAAGAGCTCAGACTGGAATTAGTATGGGTAGTCAAGTTAGAAAAAGGGAAAGAATGATTGTTAGCATTAAAAGAATTCAAATGGGGTGGTGGTAAGGTGTCTAATACACTGAGTGATTCACCACTTTGCATGTTGTTGATAAGGTTTGGGTTCCAGTACATGGAGGTTTCCTATAAAAAGTTATTTTATAGTATTAATGGTTAATTTACAAAATCATTATATATATATATACAAAAGGCAGGTTCAGCCTGGTCCAATTCCGCTGAATTACCATACTGGGCTCTATTACATATACCTTAATTCAAAAACGGCTTGTGTAAATCTAATAAAAACTTTATTTATAAAGCTGAAACGGTAGACAGGAATAAAAAAAAAAGGTGGACTAGGTTTGTTAAGGGTCGACAATGGACGAATTTTTGCCCACCTATACTATGGGCAGAATTAAAATTTTAATAACTGAGAGGGAGGGCAAAAACTTTTATAAAACAGTGAGCGAGTAAATTAGAAATATTTATTGGAAAATGAGCAGATGGTTTACATTTAAATAAAATTACTTATTTCAAAATATTGCATATTATATTTTATAAGTTTAAGTAAAAATAAAATAAGTATGGAGTTAAATTAACAAATTTTTTTTACACAAATAGGTGGTTGGGCGATTGAATCTTTATTCTATCATGGACAAGCAGGTTCATTACACAATTCTAGTTCAAAACATTGTTACAAAAAATTTACATTGTGGAACTTATAAGAATAAATTAATACTGATAGTAGAAATCTGCAAAGTAAGCCCATACTGTATCCATCTCAAGTGGGGTTTGAGCCAGGCATATTTAAAAAAATTTGGTTTGGGCTGAATCGAGCCTAATATTTTTCAAAAATTTTGAGCCAGGCCAAGCATATGAAATATAATAACATAAAATTGATATATTTTAATTTTTCAGGAAACAAGATGCCAATTTTTTATATTTCTAAAAACTAGCACCAATATCTTTTATTTTGGGTATATGAATTTTAAAAAAAAGTTTTAACGTAAAAAAATTATACGAGTAAAATATAGAATAATTTTAAAGATAAAGATCAAGAACTTTATTATGTTCAGTGTAAAACTAAATTGCAATATAAAGTATATATGGTAATTTTTTAAGACACCCCACTCGAAATAAAGATTTATCTCTTCCTAAAGCAACTAAAAATATTTGTGCTTTAAATTCGAGCCCCAGATTTTACAAAATGAGAGAGATACAAGATCACTATCCAATATTTTCGTAGTATTATTTATCTTTCTAAACCTGTTTAGCTGCCTCCACGCTTTTCCACACACCTATACCCCCTTCATTATCGTCCTCATCCAAATTATTATTGCCATTACCATTATCTAGATGGTTGAGAGAGGATTCGATCTGTTGACCTCCAAATTTTTGGCTGGCTTGATTAGAAGTAGCATATAAACCTTTTGAATGAGTAAAAAATTAAAAAATAATATATTATCTATCATACATCTAATTTTTTGGTTTAGTATAAACGTTTCCATCTCAATGCTCTAGCTGATGATGAACAAAATTGTTTTAACTGTGACCAGGCGCGTACGCAGGAATTTGGTCTGGGGGGGGATAATAAAATTTTTTAAGAAATATTATTGTTAATTAAAAATACTCTGCCTAAATTTATTAAAACTAATAACTTTTCTAATACACAATTTAAATTAATGTGAATTATAAAAAAATTATATATATAAACCGGCATCGAAAAACTATAAAATAAATGTGAATTATAAAATATAAAGTCTATAATCACGATATGAATCACTTAAATGACCGAAAATTGAAATTTGAATTTTTTGAGCCTTTAAAATATATAAAGTATAAAAAATTTAAATGTTGTAAATATAAATTAATACCGCAAAAAGTTTCTTAGGAATAATTGTATTTTGTATGTTTTGAACTAATTTTACAATTATCTATCCTTACTTGGCGTTAAATGCCTATGAATATTCAAAAGATTTAAATCATTCAAACTACTTTCAGAAGTTGTATTTCATAGGTATGTTTTTCAGAGACTTCAGGCCTGGCCCCCGAGCCTGACCGTATTTTAATTTTCTTTAAACATACCCGGGCCGGGCCTTTAATTTTTTAAAAAAACACCCGGGCTGGGCCTGAAAATTTTTTTAAAAAAAATATCCGGGCCGAGATGTATATTTTAATACCAAATATTTGAAATCGCCATTATTAGCTATAAAAATCAAAAATAAATATAATTTATTTTTAAAAAATTCGGGATGGGCCTGAAAATTTTATAAAGCCTTGGCGGGCATAAAAATTTTTTTAAAAAAAACCCGGGCCGGGTCGTAAAAAATTTTTTTTTTAAATCTGGCCCATGCCCAGCAAATGGATGGTACCTCTGCATGGCTTTGTTATTCTTCTTAAAAAAGAGAATGTTCTCTCTAGTTTACTAATGGGAAGAGTTGCTAATATATATATAACCATTTTAATACAGAATATAGCCTAAAATGTGTTTGAAATAATGCAAAGCATCCATAGCATTTTTTGGGATGTATCAACCATAGTCAATCTTTTAATCATAGTTATTAAGCTAATAAGGCATCATAAGATATTTTAACATCTTCATGATAAAAATCAGAGACCTGCAGAGGTACCATTTGCACAGCCCGGCCCGGTTTTAAATTTTTTAGGCCCAGCCCGGCTTGGATATTTTTTTAAAAATTTTTTACGGCCCGGCCTGGCCAGATTTAAAAATTTTAGCCCGGCCCGGGCTTAGGGCCGGGCCTGCAGGTCTCTGATAAAAATCCAACAAATATTTTTTTATCACCATCTGAAAAAGGTTGGAAAAGCTTTTGTAGAAGTAATAATGCTGCATGATGAATTAAAAACCATTTATTTATATGGGTTATAAATGTATCTAAGAGAGGGGACATTTGTTTTATAATACTCTTCTACTGATCCTATATTAATGTTTTGACGATGAGCTTGCTTGCTGCAAGTCGAGGGGGACAAATATTAAATATAGCTCTGCTTTTGACTCATCAATAACATATAAAATATGAAATTCTTCATCATGAGCTATTTCCTTGAGTTATAATAAAATGCTTTCCAATATTCTCATCTTCTTAATCAAGTCAATGTCATGTTTTTGAAAAGTATTACATAAAATAGTTGTATAATTAAATAATACATTCTAATGAGAAAAAAAATTTGGAATAAGTATTGAATCCAATAATTTTCTTGCTTCTGAGGAAATATTTCTTTCAAGCCATTGTGATATTTCAGTAATAGCATTAATAATCGGCTCTTCTAACTCCATAAAAGCTGTTACTTATTGATGGCGGAGACTCGATCTCGTTGGACAAGCTTGCAATTTCTTTCTCCCTGTTTGACAAGGAGTTTCAGAGATGATTATTATTTGACTAGAAATTTAGATAAATAATATGCCACTAAAATTTGAAAATAATAGGTAAATTACGCCAAGGAAAACTTGAAATCGAAATTAATTGATAAAATAACTTAGTAGATGAATGTGATAAATAAATGTAATTAAATATATATATGAGATAGGAATAAACATTAACAAATATAAATTAATATTAACAATAATATTTTTGAAAAATATAATCAGGCATCTGTATTTTTTGGATTGGGGGGGGGGGGGATTTGTCTCCCTGCCTTCCTCCGCTGCGTACGCGCCTGACTGTGACACATTTAGTCCAATCCTACCTATTGGGTTGAGTAAATTGAGATTATTTTCTATTTCTATTTGTATCGAGTCAATAATATTTTTTACCATTTTGAATTTAATCTGTAATACCAATAAATCATGATTTGATTCACAATTTTGTTCATTTTATTTCTTATAAAACATACTAAAAAATATAAATAATTTTAAGTAAATTTTTTTCATATTTTAATTTTTAGATCCATGTTGGGTCAAAAATATGGAATTAATTCTATGTTCAATTATGTTGGGAAATTAAATGTTCGATTGTGCTGGAGTTTTTTTTTAATTTTAAGGGTTGAGAAAATGTTTTTTTATTTTTGGGTTAAGTTGGGTCAAAAATATGCAATTTTTTTATGTTCAATGTTGTTGGGATTTTTATTTTAATTTCTAGGATTGAGAAAATGATTTTTTTATGAGTCAGGTTGGGTCAAAAATATTGTCTTTTGCAAATTCTAATTTTGAACCTTTAGCCTATTTTTATATTTAAATTAGGCTATTTCCAAACAAAGCGTTTTCCGATGCACGTTTTTACTTAAAAACTAAATTATTTTTAATAAACGATTTTTAAATTACAAAATATTTTAATAAATACTTAGGGCAAAAAGTACTATGTCCCCAGAAAAGGACTCAATGTTATATTAAAGCTAATATTAAAAATATAAAAAGTATAGAAAGTGCATTCGATTTGTTATAAAAAATTAAATGGATTCCGCATATCAGTGTAATAAATAATTTGCAAGGTTATTATTTATATGTAATTGTTTATAATATATCAATTAATATATGTTGTATTCCATATCAAATTTACTGAAGATTCAACCCAACCCCCTTTGATTTTTTTTAAAAGTATGATGGTAATGTATATATACTAATTAGTAAAAATATAAAATTTTAATTCTCAACTCAGCTTACTTCATGAGATATGGCCATCTTTAGAAATGCGGAAATTCCAAAATACACTATATTTAATTTTAAATATCTCAAAAATTAATTAAGCTAAAGACATGATTTAAACTTTATTAAATAGCTCTTTAATAGACATAAAATATATTTTATTGAAAAAAGTCTTATACAAAAAACCGGAAATGGACATAAAATAAAAATTGCTCTTTTTTTCATTTAAATTTTTTTACAAATAGACATTATACTTCTTAATATTTGTACAAAATCCTAGATTGGGACGAGTACTGGGTCAATAGTTATTACACTTTAAATATAAATAATATAGCTTAAATCCTATATTATACCAAATATAGAGTAATTATTTTTTTTAAAAGTGAGCAATATATGTGAATAATAGCATTAAAACTAAAATCCTAAAAAATCTTATTATTTTGCATTTTTTAAATGTTAAAAAACTCAAAACAACATTTACCAAATTGTATTGCATTACTTTAAATAAAACGCAAAACGCCTTAATTTAGAGGCATTATAAGGAATAAATAATAAGATTTTGTAAAAAGTAACAACTATGATAATAAAAAGTGAGGTCAATAATCTCTTTAACCCAACCTAAAGGTCCCAAATTTCATAATCGAATTTGAAAGATGGGGAATATTTAATAATATCCTATTTTGCAGAGAACTACGCTTTTGTAGTTAATCAGGCAACACTTCATCCATTTATGATTTATTACCGCGAAGGTGATATCATTAAACATTTAAGTTACATGATTATATCAGATTGTCTCAAACACAATTACATGTTCCTTTTTATTTCAAATAAAATTAATTCTATTCTTGAAAGAAAGATTTGATAAGATTTCAATAATATTTTATTTTTCTGATGGAGCTGTTACAAGTATAAAAACAAAAAAAACTTTGTAAACCTCTACAACCATTATAATAATTTTGGGATCAAGGCAGAATGGCATTTTTTTGAAACTGCACTTGGCAAAACTCCTTGCGATAGTTTAAGGGGAATTACTAAGAGGTTGGCGGCTAGAGCAAGCCTGCAATGTACTCATGAATATCATATAATAACTTCTATTGACTTAAATAATTATGTGAGAATCAATTATATATTTGTTAGCAACGTAGGATATTTAAGAATGGAAATCAATCTTGAAAATAGATTTTTAATGGCCAAACGAATTCCCGGGACAATCATTCATTTATTCTAATGGAAGGAAAAATGAAAGTCAAATTTTATTCTAATTCATTAGATTATTTAATGTATGATATTATATTAATATGTTTATTAGAATATTATTTCCGATTAATTAGCTAAATAAAGTTATAAACATTTTTACAATTATTTTCCTTCTAAAATAGAATCGCTAAACTTATGAGCTAAATATGACACAATGTCTACTAGTAATCTGCATAGGGCCTAATTTTTCTAACACGGTCAGAAAGATTTATAAAAAAATATATCTGGCCCAATCCCAAACGAATTTTCTTTTTATTTGTTTCGTAAATTACTATACATTTAGTATAATATAAGATTTAAGAGCCATACTACTTATATTTAAAGTGTAATAACTTTTGGCCCAGTACTCTCCCAATCTAGGATTTGTACAAATATTAAGAAGTATAATGTCTATCTGTAAAAAAAATTTAAAAGAAAAAAAAGAGCAATTTTTATTTTATAGTAATTTCCGGTTTTTGGTAATAGACTTTTTTTCATTAAAATAAATTTTATATCATAATAAAGAGCTATTTTAAAATTAAAATCTTGTCTTTAGCTTAATTACTTTTTGAGATATTTAAAATAAAATATAGTGTATTTTTGAATTTCCGCCTTTCTAAAGATGGCCATATCTCATGGAGTAAGGCGATTTGAAAAGTAAAATTTTATATTTTATTAGTGTATATACTACCAACATGCAAATTTTTAAAAAAATTGAAGGGGGTCGGGTCGAGAATCGACTTTTTTTGGTTGATTTAATATGGAATACAACATATGTAAATTGCATATTTCTATAAAAATTTATGTGAATTGTAAAAAATATTTCATTATCAACATCTAAGATATTCTTGGATAAATATCATATCTGCAATAATTCAATTATCATAATTTCCTTAAATTTGATTTAACAATAGAAATGTAAATTAATACATTTATATGAAATAATGATGCTTTAAAAAATCCTTTGATTAAAAATTATAAATAAAAAGGTGTTTAGTATACTTAACAAAATATGGTGCAATATCAAAGCAAGCATATAAAATCCAATTCATCTAATTATTTGAGTAAATATGTTTAAGCTGGTGTAAAATTATTGCATAATATAATATTAATAAAACAAATGTACACTTCAATCACATAAGACGCCATTTAATCGTTAAAAAGTATCAAATTAGTATATTTTAAAAAACGCAAAATCGAATGGAAATGGCCTTAGTCCATTTTAGTTTTTGCCATTATACAGAATTCAAATATAATTTTAAATAAAATAATATTTAAATAGCTCTAGTTTTACCTTTAAAAGGTCTTTGGGGGAATGCAGAGGAAGGCTCAGTGGAATTGTTGAAATTTTTGATTTGGTTATTAAAGTTGGGGTTGTTATTGCCATTCAAATGAATTGAGTTATTGTTGTTGGATTGCCATCCAATATTAGTTTTGCTAGAGTCCAAGTTGGGCAAAGGGGTCATGGAATTTTCGTCATTGGCATAATTGGAAAAACCTTTTCATAAAGTATAATAATTTATACCGTTTTTGACCAGAAATAACAAAGAATTAATTTTTCTAAACCATATCAAAAAACTTTATTAAAGTGGCAAAGGCTATTGAAAATGACTTTACAAAACAGAGAAAATGGACACTTTGCATATAATAAATAATATAACATGATGTAAATGCAAGAATATGGTAAATAGAATCATCAACTCTTTATAAATATTAAGGACACACCTAAAATCAGTTCAATATATTAGGCCAAATATGTAAGGAAAATAAATTGTTATAAAACTATCAGAAAATTGTTATATTACTCCCAATAACGATATTTCCATGTAAAAATTCGGGTAGTGAAAAGGGATAGTAAAATTATGATTAGAAAGTTAAAAGGAATAAGTGAAAATATGATTCGTTACCTCCTTCCCTAGGTTGTTTATTGTAGTGGTTAGAGGGTTCATCTTCTTTTTTCCAATTCCAGTAATTGGAAGAAGTAGCCGAGAGAGGGGAGGATAGACTAGACAGGCCCTCTGTATCTTTATTATTCCCTGAATTATATGGGATGTTATGTCCCTGCAATTGCAAATGATTGCTGGAAGAATAAAAATCTGCACTGCTCATGTTATTATTGCCACCACCTGACAACAATGGCTTAGTATTGACACTAGAATTGCCACTATTTAAACTATTTTGAGATTTCCATAAGTGGGTACCTGAATACATTTCATCATAAAATATTTTTATTTGGATTGTAATGAAGTCCTTTAAAATAAAAATATAAGTATTTTTTTCTTGCATTCAATCTACTTTCCATAAAAGTTAAAAAGCCCGATTTTGGTCAATTTTTAAAAACAATCCAACTTAGATTTTAGCCAAAATAATATTATGTAAGCCTCGAGATTTGAAAAAAATAATGTCCAAACCTTTCTGTCATCTATGAGCAAAAGCTCCCAGCATTATTTTTGATTATAGTCCTAATCAGGTCGTTTTTAAAAATCGACTCAAATCGAGCTTTTATGCTTATGAGTTAACAAACAAATCTATGATTAATATTTTAGAATTATTTACCCAGTGTATTAGGATCAGAGGGATCTGGGGTGACTCTATCATTTCTATCCCAAGCAGAATCCTGCTTGATAGGCACTTTGCCCCACCCTGTAGGAGCGTTGACATATCTAGATATCAATTCGTCTTCACTGCTCATCACCTGGTTATTACTGTTTAGGATGTTGTTTATATTGGCCTGATTTAGATATTTTTTTTATTTGTTAAAACAAATATAAACTAATCTTGCCTATATAATAATATCATTATTACAATCAATGACATGTCAAGGTTATAAAAAATAGTCTGAAAAATCATACATCTAATCAAGATGGTCATTTACACAATTTTAGTGGAATAACTCTGTTGTGCATGCTGTATTTAAAGTAAAAAGTATTATCTATATCAACATTATGGTAATCTATAAAAATTTAATCACAAAAAGTTAATTATTCTCAAAATGACCACTTGATATGATATAAACAATATAAAATATACAGTAAAAGTTGGGCAATAGCGAAATACTCTTTGCTAAGTTACTGCATTAAGCTAAGTTATTTTAAGGCATTTTGAAATGTAGATTTGAACAATTGTATTGAACATTTTTAAATTATTAATATGGTCTTCTAGATCATTAATTCATATAAAGAATTTGCCATTCTAAATGACAATTTATAAGATAATTAATAAAAACGTCAAGAATGATAAAGTAAGGGTGAAATATATTCTATGCAAACCCAAAACCATTACCAAGGAGCGTTTTATTCCACCTACAACAATTTTTTGGCCCAAGATCACCTGCAACCCAGTGATAAATTTTAGCAAAAAAAAGCATATAGGGAAGAATCTCAAATTAAAAATATTTATTTTATTCTATATTTAATATTATACTTTACTTTAAAGAGTAAGCAAAAACTTTGATAATGTATTTTATTTATTATAAAATATGTGAAAATGAATAGTAAATATTTCTCACTTCCTAAATTTTTTTAAATTTTTGATATTTTTAATTGCAAAATAAGTTAATAATCAATAGAAAAAACATTGCAAAATTGGAAGTCCTAGTCATTGTAAAAATTTTGAACTTTTAACTGGACATAAGATGAATTCCATTTTTGTATTTCCCTTGATGATCAATATTTTTTATAGAGTTGCATGTTATTTTTACCAAAACAATAAAAATAGAGATTTATTATGTGGTATAGAAAAAATGTTTGAAGAAGTACTAGTCCATCATATGAAACACAAAAAAATTTTAATTGTTTTTTCAAAATTTTTAACCATATGAAAAAAAATTTCAATATAACTTTTTTATATTAAATTTCAACATTGAAAAGAAAATATTTTATCTGATAATACCAGTATAAGAAACTCACTATTATTTAAAATCAAAATATTATAATGAATTCATCATCCATATGTTAGATAATATAATACTTTTTCATCCAATTATTCTATATCAATCCCATCATTTTCACAATCTCCTATAAGAGCTAATGATACAGTAAATGACCCTTAACACCTCATTAATTTTATCTGCAAAAAGAAAATACAAATGCTGGGTTAAAGACAAAACAAAAAATTCTTATCAGTACCTGAATTAGATAGAATAAGATAAAATACATAGCTAACCATATTGATATGCATATCTTTTCAGTAAATAAATTGATAGGAAACCTTTCCTGAATTTATAAGGGACCTGTTTAAGAATATTCAATTTTTTTAAAAAAAGATGCAAGAAAAAAAGATTCCTTGGACATTGAAAGAAAATTTATTGATATTTTAATAATTAATCACATGTTCACAATTAAAGATATAAGAAAGTCTATGCCCAGGTTTCCTAAAATGAAGGAACAGTAAGAAAATATATTAAAAAATAGGATGGTCAAAAAAAAGGCTGAAAAGCTCGATCCATAATAAACCCAGGGCAATCAGTATTTGCCAGACATATTGCCTAAAGATGTTCAAGAGAAAATGTTTTTCCTAGATGAAACAGGTATAAATCTGTATGTAAATATTTATATCAGGGCCCCCTATAACATCACACTAACAGTGAAAGTTCTACTTCTAAGGTAAAAATACCAGTCAGACAATAGGAATTAGTGGACTTGTGTCTTATTGAATTATTGAAGGACCTATAATGAATTATTTTTCTTGATTATCTTAGGTAATTAATATCAAACCTTCCAGGTGATGCAGTTATAATCATGGATAATGCCCTAATCCATAAATGTCATCTTATTGATGGCTACAAAAATTGAATAGAATATCTTCCTCCAGAAAACTAAATATGAAAATGAGAGCTCAAAGAATAAATAATGTTAGTTTGATATTAGGTTGGTACATACAGTATGATTTTACCAACTTTATAATCATCGAGGACTACCAATGAATTAAAGGTAATATAAATTTATACTTATGAATATTTTAATTTTATAAATATTCTTATCTTTTCTCTATTTATATTAAAAAAAATAAGAGATGTAAATTTCAGTAGACGCAAGCCCAAATATGAATTTTATTTCTTACATATTATATTATTCCTATATTAAATTTATGTTTATTTATATTATTGTAGTTTTACTTATAGATTAAATTATTGTGTATAAAAAAATGAGAAATAAAATATTCATAAATTTGAAAAAAAAATTGAAATAGTATTTTTAAATTTAATAAGGCAATATTATATTGGTAGATTAATTTGGTTTGGGATTCATGAAAATATTTCTATAAGCCATTTTATTATCTTACTTATAAATTAATTTTTACAAATTGGTTTATATAGATTAAAAATATACTAATTATTTATGATTTAAGTTTCATAAGAAATGGTTAACAATGCAAGAAAAAAATTAAAAAATATATATTATTAAAAATTTTTTTGTCTAATTCATATGAGGTATAGTTCAAATTTACTAATAATTATACCACAATTAATCTTTTTTCACTATTGATATTATATTGGAATAAATAAATAATTGTCAAATATGGCCAGATTTTAAATCTTTTAGCTAAATATATAAGTATTGTGGCTTTAAGCTACAAGCTTAATGTATGGTAATAGATCAATTTGAAAATATAGCTTAAAGCATGTAAGAAACACATTTTTATAAAAGTAAATGTTGTAGTTTAATACCATACACTTATAGAAATTTGCCCAACTCTATACAAAATATAAAATATGTTGGAAATACAATTGTTAAAAATACCTTATCATTGTTATCAGCCCCACTGCCTAAATGGTTTGAACTATCTGGGGTTGAGCCTGAAAACCGAGTGAAGCCATCCCCAAAATCCGAATCATTATTCATTTGTTCTTTGGTATTGGAGGCCCAAACAGAGGTGCCTGTCAAGTCCTTGTTAGCTATATTATCAAAATCAGGTGGTGGTTGATGTTCAGAAGAAATTAGCTTATTGTTTTCATTTGAGAAGGTTGGAGGGAAATGAGAAAAGAGAGAGGATGAATTATTTGAATTAGAAAGTTTCTGTTGGTATATGCTACTATTGATTAGGTGATTGTCTTCAAGCCTATTTTTATTATCCAATAAGTTTGAGGTGTAATCATGAGTAGGTTCTCTCGAATCAGAACTGGAATTATAATTTGTATTATTGTAAGGTGGAAAGAGGGAATTTAAAGTGTTAGGATAGCTGATCCCACCTAACTCATTAGTTGATTTGGCTTTGGGGGCACTTTGATGAGTATTATTCATATTGGATTGCTGCTGGGCTCCATTCATCCATTCCTTGTCAAATAGGTTAGAGGATCTCTCAATACCATTTTTGTTGGGGAGTCCATTGATATTAAAATCATCTCCAATTTCAAAATTATTGTTGTTCACAATAGCATTATTAGTATTATTATTGTCTGATAGTTGGTTATAATAACTTGAGTTAGTGTTAGTACTGTTGGTCCATATGTTATCCCTGTTGGATGGAATACTAGAATTGACATTGCTGCTACCATAATGATTTTGATTATGGTGTTGCAAAGATGAAGGAGCTCGTTCATTACCAGGTGGGTAATAAGTAGGCTTGATCCCACCTGTTGCTGATACCCTTTTGGTACCCCAAGCCCCTCCAGAGTTTAGCGAGTTATTGATATTATATGGTTCTATAGGCTGTGCAGATGCATTTGTGTTATATGCCCAAGCAGTGGCAGCAGAGGTTTCCTTGTTCAAACTTGCATTGTGGTTTACATTGTTATAAGAGGATTGATGAAAGTGGACAGCACTGTTACTGAAATTGGGCTGGTTAGGTGGGTAAAATCCAGTGTTCCCAGATTGAAACTTGGTACCTCCTTCATAGCTATTCAGTCCTAAATAAGCTGGGTTTGACGATAAGGGGTGGTTATTACCTGAGTGAGTAGATGATGGGATAAAGCGATGATTGTTAGGATTGTAATTATTTGGGTAATTCAAGTTTAAGTTGGGTTCATAATGATTGAAACCTGACCTTTGTGCAATTCCAGGATTGCCACCTATGATTCCACTATTGTTTGTAGAATGTTGGTGACTGCTAAAATTATTGTAATTATGAGATGACTGCCTTTGCTGCAGCAATGCAGATGAAGAACAGGGCCACATTTAAATTTTTATTTTCTGATTAGTGAATATAATGGTTTGAATGATTCGAGTAATGTTTGTGTGACCATATATAAAGTAGTTAATAAATAAGTGAGTAATTTTGATAGCATTTTTTAGTATCCAAATAAAATGATTAATTTGATTAGATATTGACAATTTTTTGATAAAGGCAGTTTATTTGGGAAAATATTATTTTGCAATATAAAATGGAATCTAGTGATTTCACAGTAAATATATGAGGATTAGTCTATTTTCTGATCCACAAAATTAAATATTTTACATTAATAAGATGATATAAAATTGAGCGTATAGTTGTGCTTTTATGATAGTTTAATTTTTTTTTATTTTTTTATAAAAATAAATGTAATCCCTGATAGAGAAAATATTATATTAAATATATCCATGATGGGTTATGTAAAGATAGATACTATGAGTAGTGATGATATTGAAGGAATTATCACCTTTTTAAGTATTTTAATTGGTGAATTTGGATGACATAGATGGAAGATCCTAAATAAATAAATATGTATAAATAATTAGATGTATATCCAATTAATAATTGTTTCAATAATTAAATGTTGGTAAACAAAATAACATCTTTTGTTAATGTAAAAAGACTGATAGAGTGCAGACCATTTATATAGCCAGGTTTTAATATAATAAAGCTGGGATTAAATATAAAATAAATTTGAATTATATCAATTAAGCAATTGAAAATATCATTTAACATTCATTTCCTTTTTATATTTTTCTTTTAACGATTTACAAATAAAGATTATAAATCTCTACAAGTTCTGGTACAAATATTATGTATATATATTATGAAATTTTATGGCAAACTTACATATAATTTATACAGGTAGGTTTATGAGAATGCTATTTCAAATTTTTGAAAAAGGTATACATATATTTAAATATCAATTTTAAGTATCACAGAAAGGAACTTTTGCTTGATAATAAAATACATAAATATAGGACTTTGATTTTTTATATTGTATTATAAATGTAGGAAGGATTATTTAAATAAAAATTATTTGCTGAATAATATTGGCCTGATTCAATAAAAGAAAGGTGAAATAGAACAAATGATACTTTATCATAAGGTAAAAAAATAAATACCAGTTGAATCGTTGCTTTGATTTTTTAATCACTTTCAAATTGTTAAGATCTATTTGAGCAAAAAATACTTTTTATTGGATGAATTAATGCAGGTTTAGGAATATAAAATGTTCCCTTGTATCCCTGTGATAAATTAAGTATCGTAATAATAATGAATATTTTTTGGAATATACAAGGATTGAATAAAAAGATTTCTTTATAAAAATAGCCTTTATAATTGAGTTTTTATTCGTTGAAACATATATTCCGATCAATAAAAATTATTTAAATTTTTTTCAAATAAAAATGGCGACAAAGGATAGATGAAATTATTTTTGTAAATATTTGTTATTTTATTATTTTTGGTACAAGTTTTCATACAAAAATTTTAATTGATCTCTCTTGGATTAAATGATTGAAGAGAATCGCTCTGAGAATATAATTATTGTTTTTTTATGATGGAAGGAAAGAATTAATCTTGAAGTGAATTGACTAGAAGAGGAAAGATAATTATAAAAATGTAACATTTTTTTTAAATCAATAGTTTTTTTTAGTTTTATTTTTAAAGTTAATTTATAATCCCAAAATAATATAAAAGATAAACTATTAATATTTATAGTTTATTTTTTATATGTAGCACACTAATTTTATTTTTTTTAGACGAGAAGCAAATATTTTTTTATTATAATGTTTATTTTAATAACTATTATTTATTTATTTTGCTATTTTAATTTGTTTCTTTCTTGTTTATTATTTTTTTCTTTTTTTACTATTATTTTTAATGGGGTAAAGTGGGGGGTTGAGCTTCTTTTTTTAATTTGTATTTATAAATTTAACCCCCTTTTCCTCAGGCATATTTTTTAAATTAATTTTTTTTTATCGATTGCAATAATAGTTTTTAATTTTATTGATTTTATTTTTAATTTATAGGCTATCAAAAATAGTTTAAAAAAAAGAAAGGTCAGAAAATTTTTCGCTATATAGGTGAGTGCAATTTTTTGAATATTAATAGTAAATAAATACTACAAATATCTATTTTTTTGGAAATTTTGTTTTTTTTCTATAATCAAGTTTTAGTCAGCTAAATAAGCTAATTTACCTTTCTAAAAGTAATAGGATTGCGAAGTCTAATCCAATAGGATACATTCTTTTAAAATAATTTTTTTTATAGGTAAATGGAAGTGTTAATCTTGCTAAGTCTGGTTAAAGCTTAGTTAGGATTACAACTTTCTACGGGCTAAGAACTTGTAGCTATGGGTAGTCTGTCGTGAGATTTAAATCGAATGTGGGCAAGAGCTAGTCAGTTATTAAAAATTATCTGGAAGTTTTTTAATAACGGGATCAGAGTTGTCAGATCTCCGGAAGATCGCGCAATTTTTGCCATAACATTGCAATCCCTCACAGCGATGTCTCACAGTTCTTTTTTAAAACCACATTAAAAATTTTAGCCCTTCATTATTAAGATTGCGTCCAAAATCTATTTTAAGATATCAAAAGTTTCAAAAATTTTAATAAAATAATCCTTGAAATTTTCTAGAATTATATTTTGCATGCGTTTTTATTTTTGTATTAAAAAAAGTTAATTCCTTCTCTTTCAATAGAGTTTCTAAAGTTTGATATTTTCGACACAGCCTAAATGATAAATAATAATTTTTACTTTTTCGTATAATTAAATTTAAAAATAAATTATCAATAAACTTTAGAACCCTCCTCCTTCTTTCTATTAGGAGTTTAGTTTTTAAATTATGATAAAAATTTTAAAATGTATATTTTATCTAGAAGAAATTTAGAAATTGGTCTCGCTAAAATAGTTAATTTAGTTTTAATGTTGTTAAGCCCAATTTGGGTCGATTTTTAAAAACGACACGATTAAGATTTTAGCCAAAATAATATTATTTAATCATGGAAATTTTTCACATAGATGGCAGAAAGGCTTCTACCTCTATTTGCCAAATCTTGAGGCTTACAAAATATCTTGGCTAAAATTTTAATAGGGCCGGGCCGTTTTAAAAAATGGGCCATTTAACAAAGCTAGTTTTACAAACAAAAAACCAGTTGATTGATTTTTATAATAAATAATGCTGCTCTACTACCAAAAAGTGTATATTAAACTATGCATAAAATATTAGTGGCTTCCAAATTGAAAATTTATGTTTGTAAAACACAAGAAACCAACATAAAAAATGCCTTAATAATATGGATATATTTAGTCCTTGGCGTCCACTGATTTTTTCTTTCGCAATTTTAAATGAAACCTCTTTCAGGGATCTGTTAAAATCTTCAAGCATATTATAAACAAGAGTTCTTCAACGGGCAGGATAAAAAAAGATTTAATTATTTTTAAATGAGGGCTAAACATAAAATATTTTTCGGCTTGTGTATAAAATAAATTCAAACGTTTCTAAATTCTAAAATAGAGGCAAAGGTAAGTTACAACTTTACATTGTATAATATATAAAAAGTAGGCATCTTACTAATCGAAATCTTTATATTGCAACCTAATTACCTTGGCCTGACAAGATTCTTACGCTTATAAATTATATAAAATTTATTCTTTCTCCAATATAGAAATAAAATAATATATTTATTTAATTTATAAATAAAAAAAATATTATAATTTATAAAATATGGAACAACAAACAAAAAAACATCAAAAAATAATTACGTGATATTTTGATATTTATTTTAAATAAAAATAATATAATTAAAAAATTTTATATTGTTTGTTTTATTTATTCTTTGTTTGTTTTTATTGTAAAATCAATATGGTGGATTTTATATTTTATTATCAAGGTTTATTATTATTAGATTTGGTTTATGTCACGTGATGCTGATTGATTTTTTTAATGTTTATCGATTTTTATTATTAGGGAAATTTTTGATTTATTAATTTTTTTTAGAAAAAAATATGGGAAGAAAGAGAAAGGTATAGTAAACTAAATTTTGGCTGAGTAAAATTTTAATTTATTGAATTTTCATCACCCACATCAGGATTGCCATTGCCAGGTCTAAATTTAGCGCAGTCAATTCAGTTACCACAGCATTTTCCGAATATCACAATCTAATATTTTTTCAAACAATATATGGTGTATTTTACTCTTTTTGGTTCGTTGGGTCTTTCTGATATTCATTATTTATATATAATAAGCTATTTGAATTCTATGATGCATGCTGTATTTGTTTGATTGATTCAAACGGTATCTTAAAGTTAGAATTCTGATAAATTTTTTCTTATAAAAATAATTTTTTTAAACGAAGCATTCGTATTTGACATCAAATTCCTGAATTGCGACATTTATTATGCTTGTAACATGACATCTTTTAGATATGTTTTAATTTTATGGGGGAAAAAAATTAATTAAAATTTTTACTAGTTATGTTAAAACGTAACGAAATGTTCATTGTTTTCTGTTTTTAGTTTTCATTTTTGGAATAAATAATTTATCTTTATGATTCATATAAAATTAGGGTAGTCCATATTCATAATCATACCCAAAAACTCTTTCTAAGTTAATTATGAAATTATTTTAAAATAGGGATAGAGTGGATTAGAGGTCTGCATTGGGCGGGTTTTTGAACCATAAATCCGCCCACCAATCCCGCCCAGAGTTTTCAAAAAAAAATATACCCACCCGCCAGCCCATTAATCTAAAACTCCTTACCCGCCCGCCAGCCGATTAGTTTAAATTTTACCCGCCCATCCATTATTTATAAAAAAAAATTTAACCCAAGCCCATTATTATAAAATTTAATTATGGCCATTCTTTCAATTTTTTAAGCATCTAATAAAAATATTTCAGCATTACACCTCTACAAGAAGTTTTATAATTATGGAAATTACTATATTAAGCATAAAAAAATATTCAATTTATATTATGAATAATTTATTTGATCAAATAAAATACTTATGAAAAAATAAAAATACAAAGATATTATATGTAATTATAATGCAAAAATAATAATGAATCGACATTTTACACGTTCTCCTTTGTTCCAAAAACCTTCCAGCAATGCTAAATTATCGTTCAGAAGAAGCACTAGTTGCAGGAATTGCCAATATTTTTCTTACTAATCTTGATAGTTTTGGCAAATCTGTTTCTTGTTGTTTCCACCAAAGTAGTTTTAAATATACAAAAGGGTTTTTATGATACCAAAAAAGGACATTTTAATATTTAATATCCAAAAAGTTCATAAGAACCATTTTTTATTAATATTTACTTAAATGATTTAAAATTTTTTTGGCCCACCCGCCCATTGCTTAAATTTCTCAACCCGCCCTTCCACCCACCTGCTCATAGTTTAAAAATCTTTTAACCCGCCCACCTGTCCGTTCTTAAAAAAATTGTGGGCTGTGCCGAAACCCCGCTCAATGCAGACCTCTAGTATGGATGAAAGAACCAACCTTAGCGAATATATCGAATAATTTTAAGATTGTGTCCTTCTCTACTATCACAATTGACGATAAATTATTGAATCAGTGTAACTATGAAATTTATTCTCGACATATTGAAATCTAATAAAATTATTTTTCAGAAGCTTTGTAAATTTTTTATAAAATATAAGGTTTGGAAAAATATTATTTAATTTTAAAGTGATGACCATTTAAATTAATTAATCCTTATTTTTACTAAGATTAGTATTAACTTAACTCTGTATCTAGTTAAGATGATCCTCTTCGTTTTTTCTTTTTAAAAATTTCATAGAGATTTTGAAAACATTTTTTAAATCTTTCCTCGAAAATATTTTAACCACGTTCAACTGGAAATTAGCGCAATTTCCTGTAAAAATATGGGGTATCGTCTTAATATCTCCCCATACCCTGTCCTCTTTCCTGTATTCCCGTTTAACAAATAATTCACTAATATCTAACTTCATATCTCCCAACGATAATTTCTAGATCAAGCTCTCACAATGTGGTAAAACAGTGTCCGTCCTGTTACACCTTTTCCCACAATAGTCACCCAGAGTTTACAAATTTATCTTCCTCTTCATCCCTTTAGGACATTTAAATATTTCAAAACGATAAAATCAGAGACGAATGGCTGGAAGCCCTGCCTAGAAAAAATCTGGGGAATCTCTTAACAAATGAACAACTAAGAGTTACTTTAGGATATAGACTCGGGTGAGACCTAGTTAAACCTCATCATTGCATGAACTGCAACCTTCTAGTAAATGCCAAGTGAAGTCATGGCCTCAACTGCATTAAAAGTCAAGGACTCACCAATGCCATTCATCAATAAACAAATTATTAAGCCTCCTATTAAAAAGGCTCGTATATTGAATATTCTAGAACCATGCAACCTCTCAACAGATGATGACTTAAGATCCGACGGTTTGGCCACTATTCCCTTGGACATGGACGAATCCCTTATTTGGGATTATATATGCGTCTTATTCTTCCCCGCTAATATTATATGAACCTTTTACTCAAGCAGAGAATAAAAAAATAAACAAATAAAAAAGCCTTAGCAATTTTATATTCTCACCAATAGCATCATCTGCCAACGGACAGCTCGCTCCTTTAACTTTTAGCTTTAAAAAAAATTTAGTTCACAAAATCAAATCGCAAACATCTGAACCAAAGGAATTCCTATTCCTCAGACAGAACATACAAATCCATATTTTAAAATTTACCTATTGTTCCTTTTTAGGAACTCAATTATGTTTTTCTTAAAATTAAATTTTTTTTAAAGCTTATATTATTTTATTTTTTTTAAACATTTTTATAAATATTATATATAATAGTTTTAATAAATAATTTAATAGATAAAAAAATTCATTAAATTAGAATAGGGGAGACCAGGGCTAGTCGGTGCAAAGGGCTTGTCGGTTCAGCGGATTTTATTTAAAAACCAAATATGTTTACAAATTAAAATTTAATTATAAAATAGCAATGTATAATATGTATATTTGAGGCAAAAAAATATTTTATACCCTCAGTTATTACAATTTTTTTAAGATAAAATGTTTTTTAGGTAAAAAAATCAAAATGTTGTTTTTACACAACAACGCTAGGTGACATTAAAATATTAAGAGTTTAAAAATAATAAAATAAACATTACATAAAATTTAAAACCTTCTTTTAGCATTTTAGAAAATTTCATAATCATATATCATGTTTGAATATATTTTTAAAAGGTGATAATTGTATTAATAACGGTTAGTAGATAGTCGAACCAATAAAATTATGCTTACAAATATGATATATTATAATATATTTATATAATAATATAAAATAAGTATTCATTGGGTACTATTATATATTTAAATCAATTCTATATGATAATGAAATGGAATTAGTAAAAAATAAAATTTATTAAAAATTTTATATATTTTTTATAATTCATATAATATTATATTTTATCAACCAATTAATTTTATGTAAATGGTATATTTATCAATAAAACATTATCCATGAAAATAATGGAATAATAATATTAATTAGAGAGACTTAATATTTAAATCTACAAGCCCCAGGTTTGGGACTTGTCGAGATGGGACTTGTCGACACAATTGACTTTAACTAGAATCAATCTTGAGAAAAAAGTATAAAATATCTAAAATATTTATCAATGTATAAGTTTGGTAGTTGTTTGTGTTATCTTATGGTATTTTTAAGATTCAAATACAACAAATATATTCGGACCTATGATGATTTTGACAAAAATTGCGCTACCTAGTCCTGGTCTCCCCTACAATGTTTGTATTAATGAAGACATTCGATAATTTAGAAAATGGTTCTTTCTTTCTTTTTTAAATAAGTTTGTACATATATATTTTAATTAACTTCATAATAATTCCAAATATTTTAGGTTATATATTTATTAAATCATTTGCTAATATCTAATACAATTATTTCCACGAGCTAAAGATCATGATAAACAAGAAATACTCCCATTCCCATATCGTTTAAATAGAGTTATTCATTATTATTTTATGCATAGCATCTACATATACATATAAAGTAAAAGATTATCTACGCATGTTTCTATACATAAAATATTTTTTATGATTTTATCCCTATATTTTATCCTTTGTTAATATAGTTTATTATTTTATTTAAGGTTTTATTTCTTTAATTTTTTAGGCTAACTCTTTTAATTTAAAATCTATATTATAAAAGTTCTTTTGGTAGAAGCAAATATGTATTTACAAAATCATCTATTTTTGAATCCATTAGAAAATGAGGTTTTATTTATATTTTAACATTCACAATAATTCCCAATAATTAGGGTTATATCTTCTTTAGATCATTTGCTAATATCTAACGAAATTATTTCCATGAGATAGAGATCATGATAATCAATATTAGATTACATTTTTTTTAGATTCTTTGCTAATATATAATGATTGACCATCATTTATTAAGGAGCTGAGCCAGATATTAACTCCTTTGTTTATTTAAGGTTTTATTTCCTAGGCAACTCATTTTATTTTTAAAAACTAAATATTACAAACTTTTTTTAGCAGAAGCAAAATATGTATTAACAAAATCATCTATATTTATTAAATCCATCAGAAAATGAGGTTTTATTTATATTTTAATTTTGTTCCACAAAAATTTCCATTATTTTAGGTTATATCTTCATTTTAATATCTAATACAATTATTTCTACGAGCTAAAGATAATAATAAACAATAAATATTCATATCTCGAGTATAAAAATTATCACATTTTTTTTATGAATAAAACATTTTTTATTTATAATTTTTTCCCTTATATTTTAGATTGCACCTTTTTTAGATCCTTTGGTAATATATAATGATGATTTAATAAGATGCTGCATCTGATATTAAATCCTTTGCAGTTTGGTTAGGTATTTTATTTAGTATTTTATTTCTTTAATATTTTAGACTAACCCTGCCTTACTTTTTCATATTGCTCAAAATCATGATGATTCCATAGATAACCGAAGAGAAAAATGACGCATAAACAAACGACTTTACCGTTCTAGACACACTGTTAGCTAAGAAAATTCCATGATTCAACAAAATAAGGTTAGCTCTTATTATATAGAAACAATATAGTATTAAAGATCGGCAGAAATCAATTCTTACTTTTTAATAGGCCGGGCCTTTTGATGGGCCGCCTAACGTAAAATTTTAACGGACCAAGGAGGAAAATTAGTTTAAAAAAAAATTTGGGTGCAGACGGGCCAGAAAAATTTTAATAACTGGTCAAAAGGCCTGACTCGTAATTTGAACGAGCCGGGAAGTAAATCTTTTACCGGGCATGGAAGGGCCTGAAAAATATTTAAATAACCTAAGCAACTTTTGCAATAATCTTTAACAGGCTGGCTTGCAGATCTTTGATATAAATAAAACGAAGCAGGTTTAAATTTTTCTTCTTCTTGATTTTAAAAAGAAAAAGATGTGTCTTAACAAGCTACCTTCTTAAAATTACAATTCAAAAGGTAATAGAATTACAGCAAGTTAAAGTGAAAAATTGAAATGGTACATCGGTAAAAAAAATTTTTGTTAAATAAAAATGGCATTACCCATTACAAACTAAATCATATTACAATAGTGCCTCTTGCATGATTAACGGGTATTGCTGCACTTTGAATAGGAAATCATACGTTCTTGGTAAGCTAGAAAGATGAGATCAAGTTCCTTATATTATTTATAATCTAGAAAATCTTGATAAGTTTCTTAATTAATGGATAAATACTTTTGATTCAAAGCAAAAAAGAACAATAAGTACTAATCTGTTTTTTCGCCATATCTGCCACGTTCTACAAAAATTAAAGGAGTGTTTTCTATATAAATACATATTTTAACCACATATAGGCATTTAACTTTTATGAGTAAAAAGATATTGGAATTTACAGTTTTGCCCGAATGTGGGAATACTCCGGTCTTTTATATTAGAATAAACTGCAAAAGTTGTGGATAATTTATAATATTCTAATGATGTTATTAGCAAAATCTTAATAGTTAGTAACAAGTCGTATAAAGCGCACTTTAAAAAGCCCCCGACGTTGTTATAAATATAATATACCAACTAGCTAATTATTGGAATGTTACTTATTATTTTAGAAATACCGTTTAATATCAAGTTCACATATTATATATGTCGTAATTTTTAAAGGGATCATGACTATCCGGGATCTTCACGGGTGTTTAAAGGGATCCCTTTAAAATTTCAATTTTTTAAAGGATAAAGAACTATACTGTATTATCACGTTTTAATCGTGATAAAGAGGAATCTAATTTTAAAAGCGTTTTCCACGAGTTTCGTTGCGTTTTTTAATTTTCAATGTTGTTTTTTTGGCCTTATGATATAAGATATGTCTAGTATAGGGTATTAATAGCTAATCAAAAGATCTATTCAACTGGAAGTCAATCTCTGCCCCATAATGGGCGGTCTGGAGGGGGGGGTGTAAAAAATAATTTTTTTGATATGGGTATCAATCGATAGCTAATCAAAAGATCTATTCAACTGGAAGTCAATCTCTGCCCCATAATGGGCGGTCTAGGGGGTAGGGGTGGGGGGGGGTGTAAAAAATAATTTTTTTTGATATGGATATCAATCGATAGCTAATCAAAAGATCTATTCAAAAGAAAAGTCAATCTCTGCCCCATAATGGGCGGCCTAGAGGGGGTGGGGGTGGGTGTGTAAATAATATTTTTTTTTGATATGGGCATCAATCGATAGCTAATCAAAAGATCTATTCAACGGAAGGTCAATTTCTACCCCATAATAGGCGGTCTGGGGGGGGGTGTAAAAAATAATTTTTTTTGATATGGGTATCAATCGATAGCTAATCAAAAGATCTATTCAACTGGAGGTCAATCTCTGCCCTATAATGGGCGGTCTTGGGGGGGGGGTGTAAAAAAATTATTTTTTTTGATATGGGTATCAATCGATAGCTAATCAAAAGATCTAATCAACTGAAGGTCAATTTCTACCCCATAATAGGCGGTCTGGGGGGGGGTGTAAAAAATAATTTTTTTTGATATGGGTATCAATCGATAGCTAATCAAAAGATCTATTCAACCCAAGGTCAATCTCTGCCCCATAATTAGCGGTCTGGGGGGGTGGGGTGTAAAAAATAATTTTTTTTGATATGGGTATCAATCGATAGCTAATCAAAAGATCTATTCAACCCAAGGTCAATCTCTGCCCCATAATTAGCGGTCTGGGGGGGTGGGGTGTAAAAAATAATTTTTTTTGATATGGGTATCAATCGATAGCTAATCAAAAGATCTATTCAACCCAAGGTCAATCTCTGCCCCATAATTAGCGGTCTGGGGGGGTGGGGTGTAAAAAATAATTTTTTTTGATATGGGTATCAATCGATAGCTAATCAAAAGATCTATTCAACCCAAGGTCAATCTCTGCCCCATAATTAGCGGTCTGGGGGGGGGTGTAAAAAATAATTTTTTTTGATATGGGTATCAATCGATAGCTAATCAAAAGATCTATTCAACCCAAGGTCAATCTCTGCCCCATAATTAGCGGTCTGGGGGGGTGGGGTGTAAAAAATAATTTTTTTTGATATGGGTATCAATCGATAGCTAATCAAAAGATCTATTCAACCCAAGGTCAATCTCTGCCCCATAATTAGCGGTCTGGGGGGGTGGGGTGTAAAAAATAATTTTTTTTGATATGGGTATCAATCGATAGCTAATCAAAAGATCTATTCAACCCAAGGTCAATCTCTGCCCCATAATTAGCGGTCTGGGGGGGGGGGTGTAAAAAATAATTTTTTTTGATATGGGTATCAATCGATAGCTAATCAAAAGATCTATTCAACCCAAGGTCAATCTCTGCCCCATAATTAGCGGTCTGGGGGGGTGGGGTGTAAAAAATAATTTTTTTTGATATAGGTATCAATCGATAGCTAATCAAAAGATCTATTCAACCCAAGGTCAATCTCTGCCCCATAATTAGCGGTCTGGGGGGGTGGGGTGTAAAAAATAATTTTTTTTGATATGGGTATCAATCGATAGCCAATCAAAAGATCTATTCAACTGGAGGTCAATCTCTGCCCCATAATTAGCGGTCTAGGGGGGGGGGTGGGGTGTAAAAAATAATTTTTTTTGATATGGGTATCAATCGATAGCTAATCTAAAAATCTATTTAACTGACTGTCAATTTTTACCCCATAATGGGCGGTTTGGGGGGGGGGTGTAAAAAATAATTTTTTTGATATGGGTATAAAATAAAAGCTAATTTTAATATGGTTTGACTGAAAGTCTTCATTCTTGGTCTTGATAGGTATGACTTGGTCTGGGGGGGGGTCAACATATTAACAAAATGTCTAGTTGGATAGAAATTACAGAAATAAAAGAGAATGAAAATAAAACAATTTTTTAAATCTTTTTTCGGTTCCAATCCTGAACTTGAAATATATAATATGCAGTGTTCTATATTAGCACGATATTCCATAGCTATTTTTTTTAGTATCGATATCTTTAGCTTACAACATTTTTTTAAAAAGAGAGATAACGGTAGCTCGTTACTAAATAATTAGCAAAAATTAATATAACAATTTTATAATTAATTCTAAAATCATAATCTTTTAATTTTATTTTATTTTAAAATTTAAATTTACATTTAAAAATATGCAAAATATATTTTTCAAAAAAATAAAATATTTTAAATGTCGACAGTATAGTATGATAATGAAAATAATTTTGGTACAGATCATATCGACAAAGGAATATCTCTTGAAAATGATGATGATATGGAATTTCCTTTTCCTTAATTCACAAATTATTTTAAACTCGATAAAAAAAATTAACACAATATATATTTGCTGTAAGATGTGGGAGGCTTTATCCTCAAACAAAACTAGTTGCTTCAATTTGAGAAAACATTTAAAGGTAATATATCAACTAAAAATTAATATCAATGTATAGCTCAATTCTTAATCTTTAAAAAAAATTAGAGCATCTATAATAGTTTTTGAGTTAGATGAGTTAGGTGAAAGTTGATTTTCTGGCCTACTCTAAACATACTATATTTCAACTGGCCATAAGATAGTGAATTTTTATGGATATCTAATAAATAGTAATTAAACAGAACATAAACATGGGTATTAAATAAAAATTAAATACATTTAGACTTCATTATTAAATACAATTATAAGCAGGGGTTAAATATAGTCATTGCTATTTATAAACTCATTGTAGCCTAATGATAAAATTATTTGCTAGCAACTTAATTTAATTTGTAATATTTTTAAATCTCAAAATTTCGGCTATATTTGAAACCATCGATTCACAATATTTAAAATGACATTATAAATTTTTCTTATTGCAGTTATAAATTATTGCACTTCTTTCTAAGCAAATCATCTATATTATAATATTTTTTTTCAAGCCATATAATCAACAACATATTTTAATGATTTCGATAATTAATTTAAAATATATGAACAATTATTTATTATTTACACAAATAATATTTAAGTAACATTTTGTGGAACAATTAATGCCATTTTAAAACATTGACACCTCTTATTGTTGCAACTTTTTTGGCAATTGCAAATTGATTCAAAACTACCATAAGAAGATGTACTTCTTGATGTTGTTATTATGGAGATCGTCTTATTAGGAATGGTAAAATTGGTAAATTTTATTGATTTATGAATGTTCGTTTTTAAAAATGGGCAAATTAGTTCCAACCCATAATTTCTCGCCCTCCATTTGTATAATTTCGGCCTAAATATTTTTGGGGCATAGATTAGATCTATCATTTTTATTTATTGGGATCAGTGCGTGATCCCCAATGCAAAATTTTATCTTTTTAATTTTATTCTTATAAGCATTCTCTTGCTTCTTCCTATCTATTAAATATGAAATGAACGAAGGTAGTCTGGTTAAAATATTTTCGATGCTGTTGCCAATCGAGTTTGTAGTATAATTATCTTTCCATAATATTATATTTCCAATTTTCAGACCAAATCATACCCATCAAGACCAAGATTAAAGACTTTCAGTCAAACCATATTAAAATTAGCTTTTATTTAATACCCATATCAAAAAAATTATTTTTTACACCTCCCCCCACCCCTACTCCCTTAGACCGCCTATTATGGGGCAGAGATTGACCTCCAGTTGAATAGATCTTTTGATTAGCTATCGATTAATACCCATATCAAAAAAATTATTTTTTACACCCCCAACACCCCCCCCCCTCCCAGACCAAGTCATACCCATCAAGACCAAGAATAAAGACTTTCAGTCAAACCATATTAAAATTAGTTTTTATTTAATACCCATATCAAAAAAATTATTTTTACACCCCCCCCCCACCCCCCTAAACCACCCATTATGGGGCAGAGATTGACCTCCAGTTGAATAGATCTTTTGATTAGCTATCGATTGATACCCATATCAAAAAAAAATATTTTTAACACCCCCCCTACCCCCTAGACCGCCCATTATGGGGCAGAGATTGACCTCCAGTTGAATAGATCTTTTGATTAGCTATCGATTGATACCCATATCAAAAAAAATAATTTTTTACACCCCCCCCCCCCAATCCCTACCCCCCCCCCCCTACACCGTTTATTATGGGGCAGAGATTGACCTCCAGTTGAATAGATCTTTTGATTAGCTATAGATTGATACCCTATACTAGACATATCTTATATCATAAGGAAAAAAACAAAATTGAAAATTAAAAAACGCAACTAAACTCGTGGAAAACGCTTTTAAAATAAGATTCCTCTTTATCACGATTAAAACGTGATAATCCCATCCCGTATTATCATTCCTTAATTTAAAACCCTAATTTTTTAGTTATCCCTTAAAATCCCGTGAAGATTCCGCATAGTCATGACATGATCCCTTTAAAAATTACGACATATATATTATTCACTTGTTCATATTGCCCTTTATCTTTATCAACGAACGAAAATTCAAAATAACAAATTCCAAAAGAAAACAAAATCAAATTTATACCTTTAAATTTAAGTATGTAATTGTTTATTTATTTTTTGTAAATTTAATATAGTTTAAAAAATAAAATAAGGTTTAAGACTTAACTAAAATTCAATCTATCATTTAGAGCTAATTTTACATTAAGTTTTTTGTTTTACATTAATTTAGTTTATAAAAAGCATATATTTTTTATATTATATTTATATATATATATATACATAATTATTAAATAATGAAGCATATTTAAAAAAAAATATATTATCAATAATTGCCAAAGAATTTACTAGACTTTCTATTTATATTAAAAGATGGATTCAAAATATCTATTTACCATTCTTGTATTGAATATTATAATCGTCCTAAATCAGTTCAAAGCTCAGGATATAAGTCAGTGAATTTTTTCCTTAAATTATACATTTTTATTGATAATTAATTTATAATAATATATTAATTGATGTCCTTTCTTAATTTTTCTTTTCTTTTTCCCATCTTGTCCAATACTATCAGATTTAAGGATTCTAGTTAACCTTATTTTTTTTCAAATTTTCTTAAAATTTTTCAAATTTATTGTTTCAAAAATTACATAAAATGCCCACCTAGAATTAATGAATCACAGATATATTGATTAAATTTTTAGAAAAACAAAACAATATTTCATTCTCTTTCTCTTCTGAAAAGTTGGTTTTGTGTTTTTGTTTCGATTTTTAAATTTGACGCGTTTCCAAAAGGTTTGGTTCTGCTCCAAACTCTGTTTTTACCTCGATTTTTTCTTTTTTTAAGGGATCCAAACTTTTAAAACCTAAAATACGAAGGTTATAGATAGATACAGATTTTACAAAATTTTTTTATTAAAATCTTTTCCAAGTTTCCAACCCTGATATAGGAACTACTTAAAAAACAAATTTAGTTCATTAGCTTAGAATTGACAGTTTTTGCTTGAAGGCAAATCGATCAAAATATTTTTAATTTGAAAAAAAGGTTAATATTTATATTTATCAGTATATAATCTCAAAATATTTTTTATCGGAACAGGTAACTCTATAGATAGCAGTATAAGTAATTCAAAGGGTCTGCCATCTCCCTGCTTAAAAATAATAAAAATTCCGATCCAAATGCCAGTAATAACTCTATGGCTACAATAAAATCGCAAATACCTGCACCTCCTTGTCTGATGCTTTAATAAACCAAATTTTTTACTCTACAATTTAAATAGACATCAATTTCTAATATTCCTTAATTATCAAAATTTTTATCGCTATCTCGTTTAATTTTTGTAAATTCGGACCGGGCTAGCTCTGGCCGGAAAAAAATTCTCTGGTTTTAAATGACATTAATGAACTAAAATAAGAAACCGGTCAAAGTTTAAAAAAGGGCATAAATGCTGCAATATAGAGGTTTATAAATTGTATTTCTAATATTCACCATTTAAAAGAAGTGTGTGTGGGGGTGGTATCTTTAACGTCCATTTTCACTAAAAGCAAAAATGAGGTATAATTTTTTTAAATCTCTAAGAAAGGTCTCTGTCAGTTTATAACAAAATGTTCAAATTTCTTATCAAAAACTAAATTCAAACAAAAAGTAACTGATTTAAATCAATTTGATTTAATCATGTCAACTCTAATTAGGTTTAAACTACTAAAGTTAAAATGTTATATATAAGAATATGATAGTTATGCAATCTTATCTTATTTTCAAAGATTCGTTAAAACAGTAATATTAAATGTAAGTAATTTTAAGTAGTTCACAGTCTATTCTACAATAACATTATTTCATTGGATAACTTAAAATTGTCAGTATATATATTGATTTTTTTAAAAAATAAATTCTGTTTTACCCTCTTTTTCCTTCTAAAAAGTAAGCACTCAAAATGAGCATCATTTTCTATATGAAGTATTTATTAACAACAGTCTTACGATTGTTTTTAACAGAGTGGCCACCTCTAACTTTAAAATGTTGTAGGAAATTAAAGATTATAGATTGGCAAGAAATATTCTTCTGAATGTTAAGCAATTCATATGTTGGATTGAGCCCTCAAACATCAAATTATAAAATCATTTATATTTTTCTTACTCATAAATTTTATAGCAGTAACTACAGATGCGGTTGTCCCAATAAATCCATTGAATAACGGTAAGATCAATTCAGATGTCACCGTACCAAGTAACACTATCTCAACTAATTTGAATATAGATAGAACATTTTGCTTTTTCAAGACTGATTTGTGTCCATGCAACATTACTTTTAGAACCATAGACGGTATATAACTTAAAAAATATTCTCAAAACACTATTTTTTATATCTAAATTAGGAAAGAATAAGAATAAATACGTCCAAACTCAAAAAAAAAAATAGAAAATTTTTATTTTAGTATAATCCGTCTGCTTAATTAAGTTTGGACAATTAATGCTAAATACCTAAATCTTTTATTTTTTAAATTTGGGCATATCAATTTCCAACGATTTTAGCCAAAATAATATTAAACCTGGAGATTTTGCTCATAGATGGCAGAAAGATTTGGACCTCTATTTGTCAAATCTCGAGGCTTGCATAGTATTATTTTGACTAAAATCTTAATCGGGCGGTTTCTAAAAAATGACCCAAATCAGGCCGCTTAACAACACTAGATTATCTCAAATTTTTAAATAATTATTCGAAAAGATTACATATCAAAAAATATTTATAATTTTTTGTTATTTTATAGACGTTGTTAAACGTAGTTATAGTTAGTTTCCTAAACGAAAGAGTTATTTCTTTTATATTAATTAGGCTAAAATTTATGACTTCTTTGTAATTGGATGATTTTTTAAAGTAAGAAAATGGAATAACTGATTTTTTTAGAGGGGGGGGGGTTGAAAATAATTTACTCTATTATCACTTTAAAAGTTATTATTTAATTTAGAATTAAATAATAAGTTCTTAATGGAAACTCTTATTATTTGCTTTAATATACTATGAATATATATTTTTCTATTTAGAAAATTATATAATAGTTGCAATTATTTTGATCTGGTAATTTAAATAAAAAAAAATTCAATTAAATTAGGAAGTTGTAATAATCCTTTTAATGCCGAATGGGGACAAGCCGCAACAGCCCATTTAAGATTCCTGGAAGCCGATTATGATGATGGTATATTTAAGAACTATATAAAATAAACACGTCAATATTATTAAAGAAATATGAAAAGTGAATGAGGGAAGGATAAATAGTGAAATAAAGATAAAGAAGGAAAGAAATAAATAATAAAAAGGAATGAATGAAGGAAAAGGAAATAAATCTTAAACTTTTTTCAAGTCAACTCGTAACTTGAATAAATGGTTTGCAGAAGCAACTCGGTAATTCATTTGGTATTAACTAAACGATGGACGTTATATACCATGAAATTAAAAAATAACTGATGAAGCTTAAGTTTACCACTAGAAATATATATTTTTTTTTGAATCAGCCTTACCATACAAGATATTACGATTTATAAATGAGTGGAATTCTTTTTTGTTTAGTAAATGGCGTAGTAATTTGTAAAAGTTATTAGATTTTTAATTTTTTATAATTTTTTTAAATTCTACATTGGATTAATCGATTTTGACTCATTCATTTTTACAATAAGTTTTAATCTTTTTAAGAATAAAAATCTTCCTTCAGCACTGATTGTTGGAACCAAAGTTAGGGTGAAATGTCATAATTCTTTTTTCAAATTATGTAAAGTTATTGTTGATTTTCTTTTTACCTTAATCAAATTCTTTACATTAAAATTTATTGCGCTAAAAGATATTTTAAATAAATTTTCAACATAATTCATATTAATTTAATTAATATTTATAAAAATAATTACTATCAAAATTCAATTTTCCTTTCACTTTTATACATAATAAAAAAAATATATTGTTTTATTTGCTTCCCCAATGCTTATATTTTAAAAGAGCACAGTTTTTAAATCAAAAGGCATGGAAAAACAATATATATTTTAAAAAAATGCAAACTCCAACAAGGGTAAGGCCTGATACCAAGCTATTTAACCACGTTAGCGGTTATATTATGGTTATGCAACAATTATAAAGGTTAGTAATTATGTTAGATAATGATAAATACTAACTTTATTAAACACCAAACCCACTACATTCGGTAAAATATAACAGATAGCGAAGCAGCCAATAAGTTTCCGCTCGTTTTTCCCACACTACTCGGTCTAGATTAAGGGGTGATAAAATTTGTGGACCGCGTTTGTGGTTAGCTTAAGATGCAAAAAAGGGGGTTAGTGTTTGTATTACACGAGGAGAAAAATTTTATTAGACACCAAACCCACGACATTCTGTAAAATTTAACAAAACGGAAAAATAAAAATTATTTGAAATTGTGAAAACATGAATTAAAAACTGATCTAATTGATTTAAAAACTGCGAAAACAATTATTATAAAACTGAAACTAATACTAATAACTGTTTCGATTATTCTACTGTGCAATTAAATGGTATCCTTTTTTAAACGTAAAATTATACAACAAATTCTTATAATTCTTTTTATTTATTAAAAAATAAGCAATTTTATATTTGGTTCCTCACCCTGATCTTTATTTTTACACCTGTAAGAAATAGTACAATTTTTCTGGTGCAATGAAAATAGTATTCACTCAGTTTGATATTAATTTTCATTTGAAATTTATTTATTGAGGCTAATATAAATTTATTAAACTTTTTTAAAACATATTTAACAAGAACATTAGCTAGTGTCTTACGAATTTTTAAATAAATGCGTGAAAATTGAACAGAATTTGAAGATAGAAAATAAAAATCTGTGCTATAATTTTGATTTAAAAAATCTATGAATTGATCTCTAACTTATAAACTGTTTATTTTTTTAATAATAATTATCCAAAATTTCTTCAACAATCTATATAATATTTTTCAATTTATACCTAATTTCCAAATAATAATGAACATTAAAGAACTAAGATTCAAATTAATTGTAATGTTTAAAAATATCAAATTTTTTTTAAAGAAAAACTAAAAAGGTGATATAAATGCAACAAGAAAAGGATTTAATTATTTAAGGCATCACACCTTTCATAGCCATATTGCCCATTGAGATGGATCATTTTATTTATTTATTTTTTTTTGGGGGGGGGGACTTCATTATTCATGGTATTTATCAAATATCGTCTTGTCCATCAGAAACGGAAAATTTTATTTTTCTTGTTTTGCCCATAGTTTACATTTATTTATCATTTTTGCATAGAAAATATTGCTTTTATGACATCGGTTCATAAATAGATGGCAAAAAAAATCAATCTAAATATCGGATCAGTATCTATAATCGAATAGGTTTTATATTAATATAGGAAAATATTGGATCGGAGAAAATTTATGAATCGGCACAGTCCAAATATAAAGTCATTAGAGATCGACTCGGTAGAATCGGCCCACCGGTTGAGGTTCAAAATATTTTTACAAGCTGAGAGTTCGGAAACTCATTTTAAAGATGAGAATTTATTATATGATTAAAAATATTTATTTAAATTAAAAAATAGATACAATATATAAAACTAAATTAAGATGTTTATATCTTCCTAAAATCTCCCATCTCTTCCACTCATCCTCATTCACCTCCTTAAAATTTTTCACTCAACACAATATTCGCTTAATCCTCAACCTTTTATTATCCTTTAATTGGCACCTAGCCCAATTACCCGTTAAACTAGGTGGTATCGACTTGATTCTCTTAGAAATACTTTCCCTATCTCTATTTATCTCAAATCGCCTATCGCTCAATTCTGCGATCTCATCATTCATAACTCCCAATGATGATCTTCTAACAGCAGCAATCGAAAGATAGAATTTACTTACCCCAGACGGTTATACATTTCCAACCGAAATCTCTAACAAATCTATCATCAAACCCCTAATAAAGAAATTACAAAATAGTCTTAACCCAACCGATATTAGCTATATACAACTATTACAATTCAACGATAAATACGGCGGGCATGAATGGCTCGAAGCACTTCCAAGCCAAACCTTAAATAATCTCTTAACCAATGACCAACTGAGAGTTACTATAGGATTTAGACTTGTATGTTCGTTTACACAGTCACACACTTGCCGTCAATGCAGCTTACCCGTTCAACCTAACGCCAGACACGGTCCAAACTGCACCCGCAGCCAAGGTCGCCATCTCTTGTATAAAGCAATTAATAAAATCATCCATAACGCTTTTAATAAGGCTAAAATACCCAACATCCTTTAACCAACCAATCTCATTACAGAACGGCCTCAGACACCCGACGGTTTAACCTGCACCCCCTGGTCCAATGGAAAATCCCTTATTTGGGATTCTGCGTCTCCTCCTTTCCTTCATCAATTAATTCAAACCCTCTTACTTGTGGGGAATTAATAAATATTCAAAATTAAATAACTTTATAATCAACTAACGGCAATTTTTCACAGTCTACATATTTTTTTTTAAAAACTTTATCACGAAAAATTTTCAACATAACAAACGAAAATCGCGAATCCTTATTTCTTAAACAAAAACTTCAACTAAAAATTTTTAAACACAATTATACTTGTTTTTTAGGCACATATTCATTATTAAATTAAGCTCTTTTTAGAGCCTTCAATTAGAGGTGGGCGCGGGCCGTGAAATTACGCGTGACCCATCGTGTCACGGTGGGTCACGGCGTGAGTGTGAATAAATTTTAAATTCCAAGAAGTGACTGGGTGTGACGGGCCTTCCCAAAATTTTCCCCGGGCGTAATCGGGCGTGAACATAAATTTCCCGTGAATCACGGAAATTTTAATTTTTATAATTGTTTTTTTATAAATATAAATTTGCAATTTTATAATTATATTATATATTTTATTATTTCATTTAGTTCTTTTTTAAAAAAGAATAATTTATGAAAACTAAAAATCTTCCGCATTTTATAAACAACATCCGGTAACATTTCGTTAGTTCTATTTTCTTTTTATGTTTAGGTGTTTTTTATCTCGAGACTTTATGCTAAATTTTGCTTAAATTTTTTACAGAAAAGTCAGTTATATTTTATTTGTAAAGATCTTCAATCTTTAAATGCAACTGAAAGTGAAGGATTTTACAAGCTAGGCCAAAAGATAAATGTTGGTGTTACTATGGATAACAAAATATAAAAGTTGTTAACCGGAAAACTCTCATGAATACTATAGGTCCTAAAATATACCATGAAATAAAATTTAAGATTAAAAGCATGATCAATAATAATTACTTTTCCATAATCACTGATATTTGGACTGATAACTATAAAAATATAAGTTTTTTAACCATTACAGTGCATATTATCATTAAGGATTTTAAATTAAAAACATTTGTTTTGGCCACAAGGACATTGGATGAAAAAAGTGTAGTCAATTCAATTTTATAGAATATACAGAAGTAGAAAATTACTTAAATAAATGTATAGTTGTGAGTGATAACGGAGCAAATCTTATAAGTACATTCAAAGGACGAAACGCTATCATGTATATGCCATATACTAAATAATATTATGCATTATATTTTTGACAATTGTTTAACTGAAATAGCATCAAATATAAATGGTGTAAAAAAATAGTACAATATTTCAAACAATCTACAGCTAATAGCAAACTAAGCCATACCCTTAAACAAGATTTAATAACTAGAATAACGAGATGGAACTCTGTATATATCATGATATAGAGTTTTAAAATCATAGAGCAGATTCTCGTCCCACAATAAATGACGTTTGTCTATGGAAACAAAAATTAGTAAAATTTTGTTAACCTTCTGAACGTGATACAATAATAATCAAAACCTTAAAATACAGAACAAGATTTCTTTTAAATGATTATTATGCAGCCACTACATAAGGTAGGCTTAATTCTAGATCCGAATTTCAAAAGACTTAAGTTTTTAATACAAGAAGAAAAGGATGATATATATATAAAACCATCTTAAAAATTCTAAATGATATAAAATTAGATGATATGCATAAGGCGATGCCAACTATCATTTATAAAACTCATAAAAAACCTTATATTCTAAATGATCAATACCAACTATCATTTATAACTTTCCTAATTCATCCTACACTCATAAAAGACCGTATATTCTAAATGAAAAATTTAGAGAATTTCTAGATGATTCTGATGAAGCATCAACATCACCGATGAAAGCTGTGAGGATGAACTAGTTAAATAACAAGACAATATTTTGAAGTTTTGGAAGCAGGAATATTCATTTCCTTTTTTGAGAAAATTATCGAGTAAAATTTTGTCAGCTGCAAGTTCGGCTTCTAGTGAAAGGTTATTTTCTGTAGCAAATCTCTTAATAGAGGAAAGATGTACACAATTGAAATAAAAAAAGATGGACATTCTTCTTTTTCTTAATAATTTCGATTTATAGATTGTATTTATTTTTTGTTTAAAATAGAATGAATTCAAATAATAAAATTATAGTAATAGTTTTGAAAAATTTAAAAACCGTGAATTTTCCGGCGTGACGGGCGTGAATCAAAATATTGCTTTTCATGAGCGAGCGAGTCGGGTCAAAATTTTTTTAGTGGTAAGCGTGAATGGGCGTGAATTTTTTTATTGCTGGCGGGCCGTGAATAAAAAATTAAGCCACGCCCACCTCTACCTTCGATACTTATAATATATATTTATTTTTATTTAGTAATTTTTACATATTTTTATATACTTGTTTTAATATTTCAGTGTTTTATCATTTATTTAAATAAATAAAAAGTATCATCAAAAAAAAAATGTAAAAAGTAAACAATTTAAAGAAAGACAAGAATAAGAACTATATTTATAAAAAACATAAGTGTGTTGGTGGGCGGGGGGGGGGGGTCTAAAAGGTTCTTATTGAGATCCGAGAGAATAAAATAGTTGCATGTGAACATAAAAATATTATGGGCTGGATGACTTGTATAAATATTTTGTGAGCCGGGAAAAATAAATTACAGACCGACTCGGAAAATATTTTCAAAAATGTTCATGGGCCTTTTCGGGTTGCGCCGAACTCGACGGTATCCATTTTATAATTATATCATTTTATATGTTAGTTCATAAGGGGTCTCAGTGTTATTGGCTTGGGGGAGGAGAGGGTCTGCTTTTAACGCTAGTATTAACTTGGTGTCATTCTTAACTTAGTTCATGTACATCAAGTCCATTTTTCTCTATGCCCTCCCTCGAGATCTTTAAAGTAACCCCCCCCCCCTCAGGAAATACGCCTATGACACAGATGACCCCTCCTAAAAAGCTTACGTGCGTTTGTCACTTTAGTTAGAACATCAATCTTTCAACTGTGCATCGAGAGATGGCTAATATGTATTTATATGAAATTCCGTAAGCCAGATGGTAAAATAAAATAAAGTTTAATCCAATTTGCGATATCTTCATATTCACTACACTATGATGTTTAAATAAATATCCTTAAAATGTACAATTATGCAAATTATATTGGCCATTCTGTAAATTTTCGAAATTTAATTTCTTTGAATAAGAGTTTACCTTATAAAAGGAGATCTTCGATGTATTACATGTTTTTTCTTATATACCTTTGAAGTAAAATAAATAAATAAATCAGTTTGAGTTACATCATTAAAACGTTCCACTCTTGTATAGACACTAAATCTAATACAACAAAAAACAATATAACTTTATAGCTTAAAATGAAATAGAGTCAAAATCATTGTGGGGTATTTAATTGGTTGGTAGAAATCATTATGATTTAATATTTTTATTTGGCATTGTAGTTGCCTCTTTAATTAAAATTTACTTGAATTTTATCAATAATATAATCTTTAATGTATTTCTCAAGTTGTTAGTTGCTACCAAAGGCAGTGTTAAACGAAACGGTATTTTTATTTTTTGGATCGACAGTGCCACATGGCTATAAATATATTTAAAAAATAATCGTTTTCGGGAAATTTGTTTTTGAATTGTTTCTTTAAAAACATTAATATATTATTTATACAGGTTGGCAAGTCGGTCAATTGACAGAAAGAGTATTTGACATGGTCACGGTCAAATACTCTAAAATGTTATTGGTGAATAACTATATTTATTTAATGAACTAATATGTATTTAAAGCATATGTATCAATCTAATTTGTTTACAAATTATTTTAAAATATATTTGTATCATCAAGGCATCGATTTAATTATAATTTTATATAAAAATATAAAATTTTTTTATTAAAATATTAGAATTTCAATTTGAAATATATAAAAAAAGAATTTTTCTCATTATTAATTTGATTTGATCTAGATATATAAATAAATATAAAAATTTTACTTAAGCATGGTTTGAGAAAATTACTAATTGCCAATTTATATTACATTATGTACAATTATCCAAACAAGATGGGTATCATAAATAAAATGTAATGAGCAAATATAAATATGCAAGAAAGCACTGAAAGCAGCTGTTGAAGAAGTTGGACATTTGTCCGTGAGAAATTATCAATAATATATTAAATGATATTTTGGACAAAAAATTTAAAATTTAAAATTATTCATAAATATTTAGCTATCTTATTGACCTTGGCTTACATAAAAAACGAGATGCTTAATTTAGAAAACACATAATGCAATCATGTCCATGATTTTATAATTTAGCCTAAAGAAAAAATATTAAAAATAAGTTTGAAAAAGAAAACAATCCAAATACATGTGCTCTCACTGCACTGCTGGTTATCTATTGGATTCCCAATATAAGGGGAGCATCTTACTTTAGTTTGATGAAGCAAAAATTTGTTGTTTCATAAAGAGATGATCATCAAATTTCAGAAAAAAACGGAGTATTTAATAGCCAAAATATGTAGAAACCAACAATCAGATTCTGGGCTCAAGTTGTTGGAATGAACTTTGTTCACATTGAATATTAAAAGAAGTGTCTAAGAAATTCGATTGAAGATCTCGACAACCAAAAAATTGATAAGAGTATATCATAACCTAAGATTGATTAAAAAATGTTAAAGAAAATGATAAGATTGAATATAAATTAGAAAGGCTCTGCCATAAAGAGCGAATAGAAAATAATTTAATATACATACATTTTTTACTATTATATATAAAATAGAATTAATATTGTCTTAAAAAACATTTATTTGAATTTGACCATATTTGACCGTATTTGACCGGTCAAATGCACAACCCTGTATATTTATAAATAATTTGCAAATCATGTATAAAAATATCTACTTTGGACCATTGATAAGATTTGTTTTTTACATCTATACCTTCATACTTTACAATTCTGATGTCATGCTCCCCCCACCCTCCATTGATAGAAGGCACTAACTAAGTCTAACCCTAGCACCCTAAAATTCTACCCATATAATTTATTTTAGAAATTGTACTAACGATAAATCATTTTAAAGATAATGATATTGAAAAGTGTAAATTCTTTAAGGAATTTCAAAGATACGAACCTCGGTGATAGATGGTGGAAAATTACCTAATGTCCGAGATATAAGTAATTCGATACTTGGACAATTTATGGATAGGGATGCTCCACAACTATCTGTTTTGACCACTATTTGGGGACAATTTATTGATCACGACATGACTAAAACGATGCTAGCGAGTAGTAAGTATTGAGTAGCAGTTTTTTTGTTAAATTTTTTAAAAATATAATTTAATTTTATCTGTTATAAAAATGATATTTATTAGAGATTTAATTGATCAAGAGATGTAATTATATTAGGCTTGGAAATATCTCAATTAAAAAAGAATCATTTTAATAAAATAATTGATCGTTTAAGGGAAATTATCAATATAAATATACAAGAAATTATGTTTTATATATTTTAAATGATATTTATTAAGAGCCCGACGGGAATGGTATGGATTGCTGTGATGAAGACATAGATAGCCAATTGTGCGATCATATAAACACCACACAAGATTCTTTCTTTCATAGTTTTAACGTTAAATGTTTGGGTTTCACTAGGTCTCAATCCATGGATGATCAAAGTTTGTAGAAGGAAGGAAGGAAGGGAGGGAGGGGGGGGGAAGAATTTATGTATATAAAATATTTATATTAAAATTACATTAGAAGCTAGTGAACAAGTGAATGAAATGACTTCATTTTTAGATGCCTCCCCTATTTACGGCGTAACCGAGCAACGCATAAAAAACTTAAGAACTTTTGAAAAAGGTTTTTTCTTATTATTTTAAATTAATAATAATCATGTTTACTTATTTAAATATAAAAAAACTAATATTTATGATAAATATTAAGGCATGATGAAATCCACTCTCCCCATTAAACGAACGGGTATGAAAAAGTCTATTTTGCCGCTTTTAGATGATGAGGAGGCTTGTGCTGATCAAGCGACAAACTCAAAAGGCCAATGCGTTTTAGCAGGTCTTATTTATATAATATTTTAGCCTATGTTTTATCTTCTTTTCTAACTAGATTGCAATCTAAAAAAAGTAAATTCGAGTGTTTTTTAAACCTATAAGCCTTTTTAGAACTTAATTATAATGTCCTTTTTAATTTAAATTGATCAATTTTATATAAAAACATATTAATTTAGTTTAAAGGACGACTTATTTGATTGATAAATTTTGATTTTTAAAAAAGGTGACGATAGATTTGCGGAGCAGATATCATTAACCTTAATGCATATCATACTTTTACGCCAGCACAATGTGATAGCCGAAAAATTAGCTAGTTTGAACCTTAAATGGAATGACGAAAGAATTTTTCAAGAAACTAGGTTATAGATTTTTTTTTTTGAAAAATCATCTTGAATGTATGAATTGTACTACCTTAAATCATATTAGAAGTCGAACTACAATTTTTCACACTATTGAAAGTATTAACAATCGCAGGGGACTCAAAATTAAAAAAAAAAATTATTTTCAAAATTACCTTTTTTTGTGAGGGGGCTCTTCAAATTTTTCAGCGGGTGAAAGTCCCTGCTTCCCCTCATCCAGTGACGCACTGTATATTATACTATACTATATATTATATTATGATATATAATAAAATTGATTATTCAAAAATGTTAGTTTTAATAATTTTGTATTGATCAAAAATCATGCTAAATGTGATACATTAGAAAAGTAATATTTAAATTAAAATGGTGGCCATTACAACTTTAATACTTTGTTACATAATGAAGATCAACGGTCCGGTCCTATCTGGCTTAGGCCATAATCGGACCGACTATGGGCACAAAGGAGAGTGAGGAAAAGGAGAACATTCAATGACTGACGAAAGTAATGCAGCGGAGTCAGGAACTACAATAGAGCTGGGGAAATAGCGACCTCCTACGAGGTAAGGACCAAACCAGTCTTCTTGGGGATAGATGTTATGTAAATATTTAAAAGATTATTAATCCTATACAGTGGCATCACTAGCTTTTACAATCTCTAGGTGTTCAATTTTAAAATATTTTAAAAATATTTACTTTTATTTTAGAAATATTTTTAAAATATCCCTTATTATTTTTATGGGGAAATATTTTTTAAAATTACCTTTTTTTAAGAAATATCTTTAGGCAATTTCTAAAAATTATTTAAAAATTATATGGGTCTCTTCAATTTTTTTTTTTTGGGGGGGGGGTGCAACTGACCTTATAGTCTTATTATATTTTTGTTAAATATATAAATATATAAATACTTAAAATAGAGAATTTTTATGTATAAATAGTTTTATTTTTCAATAATAAAATGGTTTTTTTAGTTATTTCTAATACAAAGTTATTTACAAAAATAACATTTTACTACAATTACATAATACATCGAAATTAGCGCCCAATGTTTAAAAATTATTTGACATGCCTGTCCATGGTTTTTTAAAAATTTACCCAGGCTACCCATTGTCCAAATTTTTTTAGTCTACGCCCGTGATTTTTTAAAAAATGACCCATTTATTAAAATTTTTGTTTTAGTTCATCTCCCCAATGTTTAAAAATATTTGACTGGTTGGTTTGGTTCTTTATTTTATTATAATACTAACAAAGAGTCCATGGAAGAATGAGGGTTAATCAATATAACCTTTATTTCATGACAGTTAAATCATAAATTTGCCTTATTTTTATACGGAATGAATCAGAAATATACTTATATTTTGATAAGAGGAGATACAAAACTTTCCGTTATTTTGATAAAATATGATAGCGAAGTATGTATTTAGGACTTTCAACTATGCACAAATTATTTGGAATATATTTGTAAATTATTTTATTTTTATGGTATCAATTTAAATGTAACGAAAATATTTCTTTACACACAATAAAAAAATTTTTTTTATATACATTTTCATTTAAACATTTGTACATTTGTAATTTATTACTAAAAAAAATGATTCTTGCTAGGTGGAGAGTTTTAGAACGAATCAAATTCGAATAATACACTATTCAATTCGTATTCATTTTTGAATATGCCTACTTAGAAAGAAACAAAAAAGTGATAAGAAAATTTTAAAAAACTGAAGAAAAACAGGGAAACACAAGAGATGCCACTATTAAAAAAAAATTACAATGATCTAAAAAAAATTAGCCATTTTAACTATAAATTAACATTTATAAAAGGTTAATATATTTTATAAGAAAGTAAATTTTTTTAAGTGACACTTTAAAAAAATTTAATATTGGTCCGTGGTAGAGGTACATCAGCCTATGACGATACCAGCTAATATTTTGACGAGTGTGCAGGTATCGGCATTTATAATACAAACTTTTAACCTATGTGAAAATTAATATTTAATGGCGATCCATTCTCACGAATCTTAGTGAGTGGCGTTCATTTTAATTTGTAAAATTATTTAGAATAAAATTTAAATATTTTTTATGATTATCTATTTAATTTATAGGGCATGTAAACCCCTTTAAGATTTTTAAATTAAGACTATCAAATTATTCTCTCTTTATATAACTGTATGTTCAAATTTGATAGTTCTTCTTTGTTTAATATCGATTTCCAGGTTTACCCAGGTGGTCAGTTTCCCTTCTGATTTTTCTTTTCTATTTTTGACGGTCCTCCTGAGAATCAATATTTGCACGATTCATTTTTCTGATATTAGCTGTATCACCTTTTGTCATCTTGGGCCTTCTTCTAGGTGTTGATCCTCATACTTCCATCTAGATCTCTTAATCCAGTCATCTTTTATCTTACGTCCATATGCCCAAACCATCTTAGCCTATTTCTTTGCATTACCATTCCAATAACTTCTATTCCCATTATTGCTTGCAATTCCTTGCTAGTCTCTCTCCCCCACACATCAATCTAATCATCCTCATCTCTGTTCTTCCAATTTGGTTTCGTGGGCCGCTTCATTGCCCATATTTCTCCGCGATAAACTAAATAACTCCTAACACAGCTTACGTAAACTTTTCTCTTTAACTTCAGAGAGATGTTTTTATTTGTTAGAATAGATGACATCTTTCTGAACTTCTTCCATGCTTGTCTAACCCTTACAACGACAGCAGAATCTAAACCACCATCTGCGTTTAGAATATAACCCAAACTTTTCTACTTTTTCCAGGGTTAAACCCTTGCCAATATCCAAACCAACATTTTCTATGTTATCAGTATTATGTACCCCTTTTATGCACAAATAAAGATCATTCTTGCAAACTTCGGACTTCCTTTTTTCCCGCTACATCTTTTATGTACCCATTTCTGGCATCTGGTGCATTTTGAATTTCTAGTAACTCCTCCCACATACACCACAAAGGCAGTTGCCCGATACCTCCATCTTCAGATTATCTCCACGAATCATCACCTTTGTCTTTGCTACATTCATTTTAGGCCCTTTGCCCATATAACCATCTTCCATCTACTAATTATATCCCTCAAAGGCCATCTGCATATACCTCCAATCTATGCCATAACTCTTACTCTATTCCCTGTAAACTGATTTACCCATTTATTATCAGGTCGTTTATAGCCGTCATATGTTTCATTTTTACGAATCATGTTTCAACCTTCCCATCCCTCTTTTTGTCGTAGGCGGATAAGGAAGCCAACGGGGTACTTTGAGATATACCTCGCCCATGCCTTGTTATAATCATTAGGAATTTTGGAGCATGGTTTTTACAACCAAATTCCCTATGACATCAATCACTTCAGGTGGTTTTTACCCCCTGTCGAGGAAGGTGACCCTAATCTAGACCCAGACCACAGAGAACCTTTAAACCATTATTAGTTGCCAATAGACGTTGCTACTCCCCCGCCACGATGAGGCTAAAGGTAGGATTTTGGGAGAGTAAAATTTGATAATTATGAGAATTAAATATATGGCGATCTATGATTTGGGGTTATATTGAAAGATAGTATATATAAATCTTGACGAGTTAGGCAATTTTTGTAATATAGTTCAATTACTATGTTTCTGTTCTGAAAAGAATTCCCAAGAAGAATAAATATAATTTGGGAGTTTTGGTATTATGTATATTTTGTAAGAGAATGATTAAAAAAAGTAAATGAGAATTTTATTATAAAAGAAATGAGAGGAAGAAAGAGGAGAAGGAAGTAAAAACTAGGCTAAATTCCTTTTTTTAATTAGAAAAATAATAATAGCCATGGTCCAGTTAATAACATATCAAGAATACTTACCGCTCATATTGGGATTAGAAGCAGCCAAGAAAAATGGATTTCTGTTGGTAGAAAATAAAGGATACTTTAAAGGTTATGACCCCAGAATGAATCCTACCACCAGAAATGAGTTTGTTTCCGCTGCGTTTAGGTTGGTTAGATATTTCCTCCTTCTCATTTTTGTTTCACTCTTTTTATTTGGTATGAAATAAATATTTATTTCTAGCATAAAATTCTCTAAATCATGGGCCTGAAATGTGAACGAAACTTTAAATTAAACTTGTAGAACGAGTATGGAATTAGTAATAATGGAAAACAAAAGATTTAGCGAGCCTCGAAAACAGAGATTCGTTACAAGGTAAAAAACAGAAGTAGGTAAATTTCAGGTTCAGTTTAGGGGAATATTTTTGAACCCAGGTTTTGTCCCGGGTTCAACTAGGGTTTAGGAATTTTTGAATTGATAAAAAAATAATTCTATATTTAAATCATAATCAAAAAACTAAAAGATAGTCATGCATCAGTTTTAACAATTTTATTTAGACGTATTAGCATAATATCTTGCAAGAGTTGTTAGTGAAAGAAAGAATGAATTTCATATGTGAAAAAAATCTTTCAACGCTAACCTCTATTAAATATATTATATGAAAATATGAAAAATTAACTTGGGTTGCAGGAATAGCAAATAAGATTTTGAATAAATATATAAATCAGGGTACTGCAGCTTAGCAGGCGCCCAAAAATGCAAAATATTTTCCTTTTTTTCCAATCATTTAAAATTGCCAAATTCAATAATTATCGTTCCAATACTTTACTCTGCAATCGTTGATTCTCTTTTAAGCATTTTCTCCTGCATTTCTTTAAGTTGTATCAATTTCAATCATTTTAATAACTCCATCCGAATTATTATCATCAGATAAATTGGGCGTAGATATGGGTTTAATCTTATTTTTTATATTAACAAGATGGCTTTTCGCACAAATCTATTCATTATCATTATGTAATATTTATAAAATTAATGATTTATACCGTTTATATTTAAATAAATTAAAATATTAAAAAATTCCATTAAATTATTAATATTTATATTTACAATTTTACGAATATCTTAATATTTGATTTTAGACAATATTTATTGAGCCTGGTTGAACCCTGGTTCAAAAAAATTTCTCGGTTAGGTTTGGGGTTTTCGAAATTTTATAAACGGGGTTCAGATTCGGTTCAGGTTCAGAAATTATTTTTGGAATTAAGGAGGAGCTGGTGTGATATGAGAAGTTAGAATTAAAAATTGATCGCAAATAAAAATTATATATTATTTGCCAAAGATTTATTTATTTTAAATAATATATTTATAATCATAATTTTTGGTCATATTAAAATTTATAAAATTGGTATGTAAATTGCTAGTGCCAACATCAAAATATAGCTCTAAACCATCATGAGGTAATTTTATCATTTCAAATATGGTTGTTTTCTTATATTTATAGTTATAGTTTATAAATTGAGATACTTATAAATTGAGGAGCTTGCGTTTTATTTAAAATGATGTATTTCAAGTGGTTAAATGCAAATTGGTAAACATTTTTTTGCTTAATAATTTCTTTTTTTTTCAAAATAATACCAGTCATATTCTTTTTCTATTAGCCAAGATATTTATTTTATATTTAATTCCTAGATCAAAATGTTAATATAATATGATCTAACAATTAAATATTATATTTTTTACTATATATTTTTTTATAAGTATCTTGAACTTTAGAAACACCATTCTATTCTATCTGTCTGAATTTGAGGAGCAGCCTAGCTATAGGTATAGCCAAGATTTTTTTAAACGCAGGAAACACTATTAGGTAAGTTTATCAAAGAAAAAGAGATTTAGGCCCATTGATATAAAAAAAAATTCCTATTTTTAAAATGAAATTTTTATTTCTGAAAATTTTGAATAATGTTTTGATAATGTTATTTTTCTTTAGTTTACTAATGGTTTTTGAGGGTTGTATAACTATCAGTATCTTTTTGAAATAAACATATAGCCAGACAATACTACATCCCTCCTCTCCAAATCAATGATGATATTATCCCTTTCCCTAAATACCCTTTCTCACCCCCTAAATATTTTACCCCTCTAAATATAGCTAAAAAAATGGCTAGAAGAAATCTTAAACCTAACATTTCCTCCTCTCTCCAATTTTGGTCAAGCCTCCTTACCCATTAAGTTTGGAGATATTGGTGTTCGTCTTCTGTTTCTCTCTTCCTGGCTTTATACATTTAAACTGACATGTTCTAACTTGAACCAAGTTCTTTTTCAATATAATTCATTAGAGGCTTTCATGGCTTTGAATTTAAATTCACTTACCAATCTAAAAGTCTGTAACTTACCAATAGCCTATTCTGTTGAATATATATTATCAAATGAGCAATTTTTGATATTGAACAGCTTGTAATTCGTAAAAAAACATGGACTATAAATAGCTGGAGGCCACCAAATTAAGGCTTGGGCTGTGTTTGTCCTTAGAAAAACTATGGAACTTCCTTTCAATGCTCGCTTTATAACATACATATTGCATCTAAAGGAAACCACTCTATTAAATACTCGGATGGATGACTAATTAAACACAACATTGTAAATAACATAATTCAGCATACCTTAACAAAAGCAAACATATTTTCGATTATCCCAACATGAATAAACCGGAGGGTGGGGACAAAACGCCCTTATCAAATACTCACCACTTAGAAATTGGAAAGGCCCCTCGCTTTGGACTACTCATGTATAGACATAATCTCAGCATCAAATAATAACAACCGTTTCCCAGAAATATCAGAAATTTCAAAACATAATTTTATCTCGTAAATTAGCACTACTTTGGGGAGATGAGGCCTTGAAATAATAGTCGATAAAAAAACATTTCCCATGAAATTTGGGTAGCTGCTGAGAATTATTATATTGACAAAAAACGGATTAGACGTATGTCAGTCATATGTTATTTCTATACATGAATGCATGCCCTTTAAATGATTTTTCTTTTACATATTATTTTATATGTTTTTTTAAAAAATTTGAACCCTATATATATTTTATAAAATGATACATGAAAAAAATTGGCAAATATGCGAAATCAAAAGGAAATAAAATCGATCCTATCTCCTTTCCACTCATACTTTTCAGTGACGACATGCGTCATCCTCCCTCCTGCAGTGGAAGTGCCTGCATATGGTTACGATTTTATCAATAAACTCTCATGGACGCATGTATGCATTAAAATAGATTATCGATTACCGCGATATTAAGCTATGTTAAAATATTTAAAATTAAAAAAAAAAATTATCAGGGCCAGGCCTTACAATTATTATTTTGGAAAATTATTATTATATCCTTTAAATTATTGTTTATAAAGACATATTGTATAAATTTATTAGGAAAGGGAGGGGAGTGGGTGGAGAGAGCTTAAGGGTATGATTTTTATAGTTTACAATGATATTTACTAAAAGTGGTAAATTATGAGTATAGCTAATACTATATTTACCAAATGAAAAGACCAGATTTTTATAAAAATAAAATCATTTTATCATATTACCCATTCCATACAGCCGAGTATAGAAAAGTGCTACTAGTTTTTAATTACACCTACAATTATAAAAAATAGTCTTTTCGATAACACATTGATATTACGAATTTAATAATAAATTCAATCATAAAAATGTGTTGGTCAATAAAATAAATTTTATTCTACGGTTTTGTGCAAGAACATACTATTCCAGTTCCACTCGTTCTATTAGTCTAATCAAGTATCGTTCCCAAAACGTTTTAGGTTGTGATACAAAATCGCTCTATTTAAGCCAATTTTTACTAGCTCAATATTTTAGCCAGAAAAATATTGCCCTAAGCCTCGAGATTTCGCTAATAGATGTCCAAAGCTTTGTGAAATCTATGAACAAAATTTTCCGGGCTTAATATTTTTCTGAATAAAATATTGAGTTAGCCGTTTTTAAAAATCGACTCAAATGGAGCGATTTTGGAACACCAGTTCTAGGGATATTTAAAAATAAATCTTCTCCCTTTTTATCCTAATCTATCATTTTGAATATTAAAACAGGGTCGAATTGATAATACTTTATTATATCAGCTTCAATGTTTTTTCCGCCTGAGCCCGGCCCTAAAATTTATTAATTTTTACCCGAGGCCCTAAAATTTTTTTAAGGTTCGAGCTTGGCCAAGCCCAAATTTTATTCCCCGAGCCCAGTCTGACCCATTTTAATTTTTTTCTAAATTCCTAACACGGCCGATCCAAAAGTCGATGGCAGGGCTTTAACATATTATGGCAATATAACAACACTTACTATATAGAAATTGATAGATTATGAAACATGTATAAATTTCCTAGCCAAAATCAGATATTAAAATTGATTGAGTAAGAAAGTGATTGATCAAGGTTTCGAATTGAACCAAACCGCTACAGCAGATATGAATCGTTAGAAATACTTACGAACCCGGTTAAACTAGTGTTCAAAACGGGTGAAATTATATTTATTCATCATAAATGATTGACTTCATGTCCCATGATAAAATAAAATAAAAATTCTTATTTTCTATAATTTTTGTTTGGTTTTATTTTTAAAATACAATATTTTTGTTTAGTTCTTATTTCATATTTTTAAATATTATTATCTGATTAATTTGGGAAATATATTATGATTTTAAAAACCAAAACTTTTAAAAGCAGGATCTAACTGAAAAGAACCGATATGAATTTCTAAACCAAAATGAACTGATATAAATATGTTCAAATAAAACCGAAATTTGAATTAAATCGTTTAAAAAATTTCTCCTAAAAATAGGAATGGAAGGGAATCGTCATATATCTATGGGTTCAACACGTACTTTTAATACTTGTTACAATTAAAAAAAAATATTTTTCCATAAATTAATTTTCTTTTTTTAAAAAATAATTATGTAATTATTGTCTATTCTGGATTTAGATTTGGGCACAGCATGATCACAACTAATTACGATTGTTTGGATAAAAATTTCAACGGATTCAAATCTATCCCGCCTATCCCTTTAAGAACAGTTAATTACGATTTTTTTAAATAAAGTTTCACATGTAGTTACCAACTGTCCTCGATAATATCTAATGTTTAATGACAATTGAAGTCATGAAAATAAATGGTTTTATCTACATATTATTATTAAGGAATTTTTATTTTATAGAAATTTTAAAATTATTTTTAATAACTAAGCTGTTGCACTGTTTAGCCCAGTAAAATATTTAGTTCCAGGTGAAAGTAATATGTTCTTCGAACAATTTGGAATTTGCTCAAAAGGTTTTATATATATAAAATAATGTAAATTTATTTTTTATAATATATTTATTTTCTAATATATCTCCATTACGTTGGCATATCTGAAGGGTGGGAAGATCCCCCTCTTAAATTTGTCAGTTGTTAAATATTATTTTGAGATACTAAAAATTATCCCATTAAATCCCCCCCCCCCACCCCCATGAGTATAAATATGTCATTATAAATTTTTAGAGAATAAAATAAGTAGGAGTTAATTAATATTTACAAATGACATAATTATAATAGAAATTTTTGAAAGAAAAGCTTCTTTTAAAAAAAATTTTTTTTAAATAAAATGTAATCCGAATAAAGGCTTTCAAAAAACTGGCTTAAAACTTTCCAGTAAATATTTATGGAAGAAAGATTCACTAAAAAGCCCCCCCCCTCCCTCCCGTTACGGAAATATTGGATACGCCTAAGATATATTACAGATGCGTCGCCTTTACAATCTCAGGAGGCTCAACTAATTCTTTATTTGCCCCGCTTTGCAGGGCCTTCGACCGAACTTTATAAGAATATATTATACTTTTTTAATTGAAATTTGCAAACTCTTAACAATTATTCTGGATTCCATTCTTGTTCTTCTCCGTTTTATGGCGATTTCCAGGTTTACCCGGGTAGGCCAGTTTTCCCACTAATTCTTCTTTTTCATTTTTAACGGTCCTGAGCATCAATATTTGTAAGATTCATGCTTCTCATATCCGCCGCTATCACATTTGTCCACGTCATCTTGGGTCTTCCTCTAGGTCTTGATCCTCCTACTTCCATCATTGTGCATCTCTTTACCCAGTCATCTTTTGTCATACGTTCCACATGTCTATTTCTTCGCATTACCACTCCAATCATTTCCATACCTAATCTTGCCTGCAATTCCTTCCTAGTTTTTCTCTCTCTCAGAGATACCCCACACATCCATCTAATCATCCTCATCTCTGTTCTTTCTAATTTGGCTTCGTGAGTGGCTTTCATTGCCCATGTTTCGCCGCCACAAACTAAACAACTCCTCACACAGCTTTCGTAAACATTCCCCTTTACCTTCAGAGAGACTTTTATATTTGTAAGAATAGACGACATCTTTCTAGACTCTTTCCAAGCTTGTCTGACCTTTACAACAACGACAGATAAAAAACTTATCCACTTTTTCTAAGGTTAACCCATTGCCAATATCCAGACTACCATTTTCTACGTTATCATTATTATATATCTCTTTCATGCTAGTTCTACAAATAAAGGTCATTCTTGCTAATCAAACTTCCTATTTTCCCTTTACATCTATTATGTACCCATTTCTGGCATCTGGTGCATTGGATTAAATTTCTAGCAACTCCTTTTCCACATACACCACAAGGCCACTTACCAGATTCCTACCATCTTTAGATTTTCCCCACCAATCATCACCTTTGTCTTTGATGCATTTATTTTCAGGCCCTTTGCTTCCATAGTCATCTTCCACTTACTAATTTTATCCTTCAATTCCTCCTCACTGTTTGCCATTAATACAAGGTCATCTGCATATAATAACTCCCAGGGAAGTCCTTCACGCATTTCTCTAGCCACCACATCCATTACTAAGATAAATAATAATGGACTCAGCAGGGATCCTTGATGAAGTCCTACCTTCACCTTAAAGCTCTCACTATCACCATAATCCGTTCCTACTGCTGTTTGTGCTCCCACATTTTTCATCACTTCGATAATCAACCATTCCTCCATATCTAATTTTCTAAAGGCCCATCTAGTAACGTCACGCGGCGCCCTATCAGATGCTTTCTCCAAATCAACAAACGCGTAATACAGTTTCTTTTCCTTCGCAAGATACTACTCCTGTATTTGTCTCGCCACAAAAATTGCATCTGTCATGCCTTTCCCCGATGTAAAACCAAACCTCATTTCATCAATTTTAGTTTGTTCCTTTATCCGCTTCTCTAACACCATCTCAAATACTTTCATTGCATGTTCAAGTTTATAATAGCTCTAGACCCGCAATCTAAAAAATCACCTTTCCCCTTGTATACTGGGATAATTATACCGCGTCGCCAGTCCTCGGGAATAGTTCCTTCTGTGACAATTTGATTGGGATCTCCTATAACTAGTCGATGCTGATTTTTTCTTTCTTTAGGAAGGAAGGAAGGAAGGAAGGAAGGAAGGAAGGAAGGAAGGAAGGAAGGAAGGAAGGAAGGAAGGAAGGAAGGAAGGAAGGAAGGAAGGAAGGAAGGAAGAGAAGAGAAGAGAAGAGAAGAGAAGAAGAGAAGAGAAGAAAAGGACTTTCTTTTTTTTACATTCCTCTCCCGGTATCACTTTCACATTTTTTACTATCCATCTATCACATCTCCTTAATAACAAATAATCCACTGCACTTTTGATACTACCAGACTTATAAGTCACCAGCTTTTCTGATTCTTTCTTAAACATTGTATTACAGGCTATGTTATCCATAGGATCACTAAAATCTAAAATCCTCTCCTTTCCCAGATTTCTCATGCTGTAACTGAACCCTCCATGAACTCCGTCATAACCCTCACTACTCGCTGCCAGGATAATTCCCTCTTCATTTGCCAGTCTCGATGTCACCCCCAATAGACTGTCCCAAAATATATCTTTCTCTTCTTCACTTCTTCCAACCTGAGGAACATTTGCCGAAATAATATTATATAGCTTTCTACCAAAAATCATCTTGATAACCATTATCTGGTTATCTTTAGCCTTCTCACTTCGACTACTTTGTCTAACAATTTCTCCGCAACCAATACCCCAACTCCAGCCTTACCATTATTACTTCCTTGCCCAAAAGAATTAACACTTTTCACTAGTCTTGTCAATTATTCTTGCACCATTTCCTTTCCATCTGGTCTCCTGTATGCAGCACACATCTATATGCCTTCTATGCAATACATGGACCACTTCTCCCGCTCTTCCTGTCATACTCCCAACATTCCATGTCGCGACCCTTACTCGATCCCCCGTAAACTGGTTTCTCCACTTATTATCAGGTCGTTTATGGCCGTTATAAATTTCATTTTCATGAATCGTGGTTCCACCATTTCCCATCCTTCTTTTAGTCGTAGGCGGATGAGGAGACCCACGGCGTATTTTGGGCTATACCCTGCCAATAATTTGTTGTAACCATAGGGAAATTTTATAGCAAGACTTTTACAATCGGATGCCCTTCCTAACATCAACCCCTTTAAGTGGTTTTTACACCCCATAGAGGAGACGGTGATCCTATTCTAGACCCGGATCACAGGAAACCTTTAGACTTGCATTAGCCGCAAAGACGTTGCCACTACCCCGCCACGATGAGGCTAAAGATAGGATTTTGGGAGAGACATTTATTATGTATACAAATAATGAAAGTAAAATAATGCAAGACATTTCTAATAATATTTTTTAATACAAAATATTTATCCATTTATCACAATATTAAATAGTTTCGATTTGGATATAAAAAAAATTTGCATCTAAAGAATTACAAGTGATAAAAAGGTTAATTAATTCATATACTCCCTCAATTGAAATGGTTTTTAAAAACCACACAAGGTAATGCATAAAACTAATATAACGTTGTGTTACCATTTTAGACAATGTTTTATAGAATGGACTAATAAGGAAAAATTTGTAGGCCTAACCAAATTAATAATTCTTGAAGAAGAGAATATAAACGACTAAAATCATAAAACTATATGGTTGTTAGAGCTTCTTCTTTGATGACATTATGGAAGCTAGATAAGTAATCGAGAAAATTATTGTGAGATATTAAATTTCTAAAAGATTATTTCCCATTTCTAATGATATATAAACGACTAGATAGTTGACCGTTATTGCTCATTTGAATTATGCAATCAAATGCTCTCAGCAGCATAATAATGCCACACAAATAATAGATACTGGTAATTTGCAGTCATAGCCATGACACTCACAATGTAAACTTATATCGGAATTTATTATATTAGATATATTGATAAAATTAAAACACTAAAAATTTTTAGAAGAAATAATTATGCAAATATATTGAAGCCTTGAGTTATTTACACGGTAAGGAAGGATGCCATATTAGTGAATCATTTAATAACTAGAAAATAAGAACCAGAGATGATAGAAATTAAGATTTGAAATATTATTGTCGCATCACCTTTGGTTATTTTATTTCATAAAATATTAGTAGTTTGTAATAATATCAAAACATTAACGTATTAAAAATTTCAAAACTGTTTTTCAAAGAAGAAAAAATAGCTTTGCTAAAATCACGTAAAAAAAGAGAAGGAAAAAAAGGGTCCATCGATAATAAAAATAAATTTCAGCGAATGTATTCGATATCAACACATTAAAAATATACATTTCAGATACAATTTAGCTTAAAAAAAATTTTGGATCGGAGTTTATTAATCAATAACAATTATATATCATATTAAAAACACATATTATAAGAATAAAATTAATATTAAATATTTTTATTTGATTTTAACAATAATACATGTTCAAAGTCTTTATCAAGTAGACATACCCTTCTAACAGTATAGACATTATGGGCAACACTTAAATGCCTTCTAGTGCGCTAGAAGTAAGTAGTTTTATATTTAAAATAGTTGTTTAATATTTGAAAAATTATTAAAATCAGTGAAATCTTATGTCTGTGCAAGAATCAAGGTATTCTACATTTACATTTTATCATTGTATTTTTTACTCTTACTGAAGATTGAATATTGGAAACTGGGAAAGCTAATAGTCGCTAAATTAGTACTTGCAGCTCTTTACATTTCTCTTCTGTCTTTTCTTTGGATCTTGCAATTACTATTAAACTTTGAATGGGTGAAACATAACAGATATTATGCATTCATCATTATATATTTATGTAAATCTATATAAATAAAAAATTAAATTAAAACATAAATTCTAAATAACTCTTGGCAAAACATATAAGGAGATACTATTTAATATTATAGTTAATTAAAATTTATAATGATCATATATAATATAATTTTAGGATTATCTCAAGATATTTGAATTTCCAAAAATTAAAAAAGTAATAAATGTGGTTGGTAAAATAACTCCGGTTATATCGCAATAAGAATAAGATACATCTTTTAAATTAATATTTGAAGATTTTAAAACTGATATAATACTTTTTGGGCACATTTTACATTTGGTAAGTATTGAATTAGTTGCTTTAATATAGGATGTTACTGTAAAATATTTATCATAATTGGGCCATGGTAATGCCAATTCATCTGATTTTGAATTTTCAGAATCAAATTATGATGATGAAATAATAATATCCATGTTTATGCTAATCTATTAAAGTAAAATATAAACAATAAAATTTAAATAAATAAATTATAATGATGGCGTGTTAAAAAAAATTGAAATGTGATAAAAGAAAAACAGCTTATTAAATATAAAACTTTTTTCTTAAAAATTCGGATTAAATTTCGATATAAATAAAGATAAATATTGTTTTTAAAATTGAACGAATGTTAAATTCGAACGCATGCGTCAAAAAAGGAACATGCTCACTTTCAAAGTTCGTCAGAAATAAAAGAAATGCCGTTCATAATTTTTTTCAAAAAAACGAACTTCGTTCACGAACGCCGTTTATCATTTCTTTCAAAAAAATCGTTCAAAAACAAAATTTATTTACGAACGCATTCTTTTACAATACTACACTAGCAATATAAATTTATTTATCCATATAATAAAATCTTATACAGTATATAAGATGATTTTAAAGTAAAAAGAAATGAATATCCTTCATAATTCGAGATATTTTGGGACAATATAAACATTTTATGTATAAAAAGATAATTGAGAAAAATAAAGGTATTTTTAAGATATTTTTAATTTAGTTTATGCCCCCTCCCCTGTATTAAAGTCGTTGGTCAAACCCTAAAGAAAATTTAAATTTGGATTAAGGTTATTAGTTTAATAAACTCAAAGCCCTATTGACCCTCCCGATCCAGTAACGCTGAGGCCCTCTTGATCTAATATTAATTATTTATGTATATTAACTTAGAGAGTTATCACCCCATCCTCTTAAAATTTTAATGATGCAATTGCAACTCTTCCACCATATTAGAGGGCTCTAATTAATGTTGTTAAACCCCCGATTTGATTCAATTTCTAAAAAATGGTCCAATTAAGATTTTAACCAAAATAATATTATTTTTAGCAACACTAGCTCTGAATGTTGATTTTTATAAATATTTTCTTTACTTTATTATATGATAAAAACAAAATACAAAATAATATAATATATATAACAAATTAAAGGTATTTCTAGCCAATTTCTTTTACCATAACCCCCCTACGTCAATATTTATCAATAGTAATACCGTTAATATAGCCGATTGCTTGCTAAGAGGACTAGTATCGAAACCTGCGAAAATTGTCGATCAGATATTATCGGAAGAAGTTAGGCAACATTTGTTTCAATCAACGACACAATCATTTGGTTAGTTTTTTTTAAATATTGCGAAATCAAATGAATCATTTATCTATGTTTTTGAAAAAAAAGAGAAGATAATCAAAAATTTTTATTTTTATATTGAGCTATTTATAATCATTAACATATATAATTGAAATAAAAATAATAAAAAAAAATTATTTCAATAAAACTCACGAAATTAATCGATGCGTTGCTATAATAAATCTCAATATCTTTCATATTATTTAACCTATTGTGGTCAAAGTTAAACGATCATTGCCGAGGAAATATTTAATATATAAAAAGTGACATATCGGAAGTGGTTAGCTACCGAAAAAAGGGCTCCATTTTGAATTAACCATTTGCTTCTAAAAAGCACTAATTTTTTGTATTTGTCCAACTTTATTTCAAGTATAAATTTTTGACTTTTTTCATGGCGATTCCCTTGGATTTATTTCAATGAAACTCGATATATGCCGTTACCATTGAATTTTAGATTTTGATTTAGCTCGTGGACGGAATATGACCAATAAAATTTTTTACAAAAATAAACAATTTTGATCATTAAAATCTCAAATATAAATAAATATTATAGAAATACAAACGTCATTAAACGTCTTATTTAGCTTTCATATAATATTTAAAATAATTTCTTTTTTTAATGGTGTCAAACCGGAAAAATGGAAATCGATCTATCTCAACTAACCAACTTGAATTTATGATCTCAAGAAGTTTTTGAGATATTTAAAAATATAGAAGGATTTATTAAATTTTACTTTCAAATTGCCTAAAGATAAGAATATTTACCAGTTCAAAGTTAAATTTAGTGGGGCCTTACCTCTTAAAGAAACTTTTTTCTAACCTGTCCACAATCCTAGGTTATTGACTTTGTTTCTGAATTCAATGCTTCCTGTTATATGCTACTTCCTGCCAAAAAAGATAATTAAATCAAATGGCATTTTATTCACGACAAATATGAAATCGCGAAGAATTTATCCCTTTCTGATATAAAAAAATTCATAATTCTGATGAAAATTGAAGAATTATATCTGGAATGCGGGCTTTTATATTAATAAGATGTTCCTGTCCATTAACCAAACGCTTAATATTTAGCAAAAAGAATCGTATTCAAATATTAAAAATCGGAACACACAATAGGTTTTAGAAAATTTGCTTCATTAAACTCCTCAGTTGTATTTTATAAAAGTACTGCCTGTTTGTAGCGGTGCAGTCTTTTTTTCTTTTTCATAATAATATTAAATCAGTATGAAATTTATTGATTATAATATAAATCAATTTGCATATTTAATGAGTTTTTGTTATAATAATATGCGACAATTTGGTTATAAAATAAATGATTTATATATAACTATTCTAATTATCTTCCAAAAAGTCAAAAATAATTCCAATTTTTCCATGATTCAAGTGTCATTAGAGAGTGAACCATCTTTATTCATTCTTTTCCGTTTTATAGATATTTTATCACTAAATTTAGAAGAGATTCGCTTACATACTCTACTAAATTATACTGCATATGACTTTATTGCCTGCTATGGAAAATAGTCCATTGCTATTTTGACCAGAATTGAGAATCGATATTGATTCCCTTCCCACCAATCTAATTGGAATTAATAGAATATAAAATATAGGATAAATGGCTTTGGATTTCATTTATTTAATCTTTCTCAATTTATTCTGATATCCCAGTCCAGATGAGCTTATTCCTGGCTTTACTCTTTCTCAGGGATATTTCCTTAAATAAATAAATATTTATATACTTTGTTTCCCTTTATAAAACTTGATAAAGTCCTAGCATGTTATTCATATATTTCCTTAAACTGAATAATACTTTAAAGGGTATATAATAAATTATACATGTGAACCTAAATAAAAGGAAGTTTTGTAATACATTTTAAAGAATTAGGAAATGTTAACTTTTTTAAATTCTGGTCTATAATAGATTAACAATAAAACACTCCATATTTAGAAATTTATAAATGTAGTGGTCAACATTTTTAACGACTTTCATTGCAAAAGGCACAACATTAAAAAAGGGGAAAGCATTTTTGTTTTTTTCTATCAGCATAAGCCATATGCCTAAATAAGAGACATTTAAATATATTAGATGAATTTGTTCTTCTATTTTTTTATCATCATTTGTTTAATGAAATTCAAAAAACATATTACTGTAAGACCTACACCAACATCAAATATGCTGAATTTCAGTGGGTTTCAACATTGGATTTTTTGCTCCCATCCCATTAACATTATATTTAAATAGTATCCACTATTTTTGAAGTAATAATGGACTTAAGATATATTTGTTGTAACCGTCCTTACTTTCACAATAACTTCCTTAATATTCTTTAGAATACTGTCAAATAATGTTTAACATGTGCCAGACATCCATCAAATAAGTTTGGACTCATAATAGACATTAGTCTCTGAGTTTTAAGAATATTTGCAGCCTTATCAGTTGTTAAACTTATAATTTTTTCTTTCAAATTGTATTCAACATCATAGAGGCATTTTTTGGATGTCTTCTGCTTTGCGAGGATGGGGTACATAATTAATATCTAATAGTAGTTCTCTCTTTTTTCACTATTCATTAATAAAGTGGCTACTTATAGGTATATAAATGGCAGTTCTTGAACAGAAATCCAATCTGTTGTGATAGACAGTTTTCTTGGCAATTTTGCAATGGATATAACATGATTATTTTGAATATTTATATTAAATGTATAATGTAAGAAAACGTTAATGTTAAGATTTAAGCATTTAAATAAATTTTATGTTAGTAATCAGTGCCTGTAGGGGGATAGTAGTTATAATTATTTCTGCTATAAACTCATTAATTTTTATTGTGACAATATTAATAATAGACAGCCAAGCATTCATGAACAGGGTTGCCATGTCTCCCCCCATCAGTGGGAGTCTCCCACAATTTTTTAGTTTACCCACATACATCTCACTCCCACAAAACTCCCAAAATTAGAAATCTCCCACAAAAAGCTCCCACAATTTTTTAATTTCTCCCACAATTTTTTTTTTAGCATTTTAATGTTTTTAATATATAAATAATAATTTTGAGAGACAGTATTTGATTATTTTAATATTTTTAAAATAAATTTTAAATATTTATTCGAAAAATATGTCTAGTTCTTTTATTTTATTTTTCCGCTCTAAAATATATTTTTTATAAAATTCTCCAATTCTCCACTCGACATTTTCAAAATTTTTGTGTTAGAAAGAATAGAAGTTAGAACAGTATGTATAATTATTATAAATATATTTTAAATTACTTAATATATTTTATATCGTTATCTAGAATAGTGTTCCACTCGACATTTTCAAAATTTTTGTGTTAGAAGAATAAAACTTTTAGAAGTGGATATTATTCTAATCTCAAATTCTTTTAAATAAAGTTAGTGGATGAATAATATTGATTAAATAATATTTTTCACTACTTACTTTTATACTATTCCATAAAGTATATGTCAAGCAAAAGATTATAAATATAATTGATATATTATTCAACAATAGCTCAGTTATAACAAACGACAATCTACCAAATATTATCATTTTAAAAATATGCGTACCATCATGCAAAATGCATATGCACACCAAATAACGATTAATTATGATATAAATAAGGCCACACGACTTGAACGATTAGCAAAGCTAAAAATTTGATTGGTCAAAATTTGAAAAAAATGAAATCTCTTTTATAAACCTTACTTGCAAGATTCTTGGACTGTAAACATCTATACAGCATTTATAAATGAATAAAAAACAGAAATAATACGTAATTCAGGATTCAATATCCCATATACCAAACAGATTTAAGTAATAAAATGTTCTATTTTGCTAATAATTTTATCTTACTGTAAAATTAAAATAATATATTAAGCACTAAACATTGATAAAATTTTCAGAATAAATGATTTCAAATGGCTGTTCTGGCCAAATTAATAGATAATTAATATAACTTTGCAAGAATATATTCCCAGGGCATACTTTTTAAATAATTTTTTACTTTATCAAAATTTCGATTTAAATCAAAGATATTATTTTGGACACTAAATATAATCACATATGGTTTTTATGATTATCATGTCATCTTATACAAACATCCTTTTTATATCACACATTTCTCATCATTTTATAATAAAACCAAACAAAATCTTACTTTATAACATGCTACAATTTGAATTATTCTCTTACAAATAAAAATGTACATTGATATTTTTTAGCTTCATATTAGTTTATAAAATCTATTTCAAATTAGATTGAAATGGTAAATATAGCTGATTCAGGGTTATCAATGAGTTGCATGTCAGCTTTCTGCGCTGATAATGCCTCTGTTAATTTTGGCAAAAATCAAAGTGTATTTACCGAATTGAGGCAGCGCAATAATGAATTAATACCAATTGGCTGTATATGCCATATACTGCATAATTCTTGCAAGAAGGTAATGAATGTACTATCTGTAGATGTCGAAGTAATTGTGATGAAATGTTTTAACGAATTTAGTTCATCAACTAAAAGAGTCACTGAATTAAAAGAATTGGTGGAGTGGTCTGATTTGGAATGGTGTGAGTTGTTGCGATATGTACCTATCAGGTGGTTATCATTAATACCTGCCATGGAGAGAATTTTAAAATTTTACGAACCCTTGAAGAAATACTTCTTAAATAAAGATTTTAAAAGCTGTCCTAAAATTTTGAAAAATTATTTCGAGGATGAAATGTCAGAAGCATATTTGGGATTAGTTTCACATGTAGGAAATCTACTTCATGTAGTTAATATTCAGTTGCAATCAGAAGATTCTTTATTGATAAAGATTAACAAAATCATGCTACAGCTCTGTTCATCTCTACAGTTAAAAATAGATAATAAATTTTATGGCGTTATTGCAAAAAATATCATATTAAAATGTTCAAATATTACTATAATTAACGTATTATTAAATGAAGCAAATATTTTTATTAAGACAATTTTGGAATATTTTACAATCAAGATTTGATTTTAATAACTCTATTTACAAGTGTATAATTATTATGATTTGGAACAGAAACCATCATTTGATGGTTTTTGTAATTTAATAAATATATTAAAATTACCGATAGACATTGAAGCCTTGTTTGAAGAGATTGTAATTTTTTCCATTTTTTATGATTCGCCAGAATACTTAAAGTTAGATGGTCTAAAAGCAGAGGAGAAATGGGTAGAATTATTTCGTAAGAACGATAACTCCTTATGCTTGGAAAAAATTTGCGAGTATCTTTTCTCCTTACCTCATTCTAATGCCTCATCGGAGCGCATTTTTAGCCTGATGAGGACTACCTGGAGAAAGGAGAGAAATCGAATTGCTTTAACAACATTAGAGGCCGAGTTAATGGTTAAACAAAATTATAAAATTTCATGCCAGGAATTTTATAAATATCTTAATAACGACGGTAAACGTTTAGTTCCATTATTTAAATCTCAAATAAAATATAATTAACTATAACTATTTGACTTTCTATATTTTATAAAATCTTATTTATACATTTGCATAAAATCAAATAAATTTATTTTTTACATTGTAAAATTAATATTTTGAATATTTTGGCAAATCATAAAAATAAAGAAGCATTACAATCTCCTCAAACATGACATCATATTAAATCTTATTAATAATTATCCGATAATAGTAATAATATTCTTACTTTGGTATTTCTGCAGCATAATTTAGTGAACCTTTATTCTGATTGCAACTGCATATTTACAGCATATAGTAGATTTCCTATATGTAAAATTCCTAAATATACTTCTGCCATTTATTTTTGAAAATTTTTTTCAAAATATTAGAGGACAGCTTTTATAATCTATTTATTTTTTATAGGTTTGTAAAATTTTAAAATTCTACGAGGGCGCGTAAGGAACCTGTCAACCAACATTATGCTGACTCAATTCTGTAAATACACTCTGGTTTTTGCCAAATTCACTGAGGAATTATCAGATCAGAAAGCTGCCATGCAATTCATTGGTAGTGCCAAATCTGCCATATTTACCATTATATATGGTTAGCTATGTCTTTGGATATTTCATAACTGGAGAAAAAATTTTTAATAGTTTTATTGAAATAACATTAATTTTGTTGAAATAGGGGAGGATCAAGGGAAATGTTTTGATATCTCCTTATTAGATGCATCTGTTAGAATTGATGTAATAGCTAGATTAAAAAAAAATTTTTTTTAACACTAATAATTTCCAGTTTAATTAACATCCTCACTTAACACACCTAAATATTTTATATTTTTGCTAGTTTTAAAAAGCAAAAACTATTTTTTTAGCACACAAATAATAGCTAGATTTTAAAAAAAATTTTAGTCCCTCGAGTGGCATTTTTTTCCTTCGTTTTTTAAAATATTTTATCAATTTTTTTTGTTGTTTTTATTTTTAAAAAAATCGTGTTTACCTTTGTTAAAAAAAACTTCTTTTTAATTTTATATTTTTCCATACCTAGACCTCCACCGTTAAAAAGGTTTATACTTAAAAAAATTAATAAATACGCCTCCTATAATCTTTAAATATCCACAAATTATTTTTTGCATGCCTTAAAATGCTGAATTTATCATCTGAAAGCTAAAATTATGAGACAGACATCCTATGCTGTTTGTAATTTTCGATGTTTCTTTATATTTAAATTAATGCTCAAAAATGTCAATGTTTCATATTTTCTTGAAAGGGCATATCTCCGACAACGTGCTAAATCAAAATTTGCTTAATTAATACCCAATAATTGTATACTCTCCGGTAGGGGGGTCGTCCCTTAACAATCTCAGAAGGCTAAAAAATTTTATTACCCCTTTTTAGCTAACTTTATCCAAAATTGCCTTTTTTAGCTAACTTATTAAAATTTAAGAAGGCACTTTAAATTATTGAGGGGGCTCGAGCCCCCCTCTACGGACGCTATTGCTACCGGGTGGTCAAAATCTAACACTAAGGTAAATTAATATCCATTAATGGTACACTGCACACATCTATTTTCATTGAAATCTAAAGGGTGGCCACAATCCCACAATCACTTGTTGATTTGGCATTAAATTGACCATATACTAAGAATTTCTTTTGTAGTCTCAAACTGTAAATAACATTTCTCAATATGTTCGATTATAGGAATAGATTTGGGTTCCATGAACATTATGAGAGGCCGGGACCATGGCTTACAGTCCTATGTTAACTTTAGGAAGCTCTGTCAACTTTCTACCCCAAGAACCTTCGACGATTTAATCAACATAATACCCAACAATTCTATCGATGCCTTCAAATTACTCTACAAAAGGTTTGATATGTTAATTTTAATTACAGATTAGTTATTCGGAGGATATCACCTTGAGCTAAATGTTAACCTTGCAGACAAAGCCTTTTGATAACTAATATTTTTAGAGTTAAAATCTATATTTTATAAAAATAATAATTAGTATTTAAAAAAAGTTAGAACTTTTTTTTCCCCTTTATTTCATGTAAAGTACTTTAGATCTTGATTTGTTTCCTGTTGGATTAGCTGAATTTCCTTTAAAAGGTTCCTTGTTAGGCCCAACTTTCACTTGTTTGTTGGCTAAACAATTCAAGGCACTGAGATCTGGTGATTCTTATTGGTTCGAAAATGATATCCCTAAAGCTCTGTTCACTTTGGGTAAAAATGTTTATTTAAACGTGGGAAATAAGAAATAGGAGGAAGGAAAGAGGTATTAATAATAATAGTAAAAATAGGATAAAATTATAAAGAGATTTCCCGTTATGACTTATATAATATATGTTCTAGATAATCTATTAGTCAACACTTTTAGGCCCTAATACCGTGTTGATAATAATTCCTTTATGAAACTACAAATTGTGTCATTTACTATTATAAAAAACATAAATATTTTAGAGCAACTTTTAGAAATTCGTAAAGTAACTCTCGCTAAATTAGTTTGTGGCAATGCTGACGATATGCCGGAGATACAAGCTCGTCCACTTATGACCATTCATCCTAATTGGTAAGAAGAAAAAAATTAAATATATCGTTTTTTATATAATTTTGACCTATAATGGGTTTAGAAAATATTAGATTTAGGGAAGTCTAAAATGCGAAGGGGATTAAAGGCGTTAAAATATATTCCATTTCTGAATAAATCATTAGGTCAATTTGTGAATTCCATAAGAATATAATTCTGTGGTATCGCAAGCTCTTACGTCTAGGGGTGTTAATTAGTCATTTTGTTTCTTATTTAAGCATGCCAAAATAACGTTTAGCGCATAATATATTTATTAAACCATGTTAATTAATAACATGAGTTTTAAATACAACTTAATAATCAATTTACTCATTATAGTCCTCGTTCATGCACCCCACTTACTTCCATACACTCAGCCTTTTTTGATGCTTCAATTCACTTACCCTCCACCGCCAATTAATAGTTCTGTGTGTTATAAGTATTATCAACAAAATAGTCCTGACCACTCGTTTTAGTGTTCGAACTGTATTCTGCAAAATCCTTCTATAGAATCGAATAGAATTATTCGTATTTTCAAATCGAATAATAAAATCATTGGATTTGATTCGACGAGTATTCGATTCGAAAATTAAAATATTTACTGATAATTTCAAATAAGAGTATAAAATTTTCAAAAATTTTTTTAAAAAAAAATTGAGATTTCTTATATATAAAAATGATAGAATATTAATTAGATTATTAGAATTTAAAAAGTAGTTTATAAATGTGGAAAACTAAGTAAAAAAATAAAAGTTTAATAAGGAACAATAATTTTAAATATTTATGAATAAATAATATTTAAGGATAGTTTCGAATATTTACGATAAATTTTAACCGAATAATTTGTTTTAGGTAAACCTCTAACCATGATTCTCTTCTCAAAATCCACAGCCTCACCTCGAGTAGATTCTTTGCCCCCACCTGTCAACACAGCGTTTACATGATAGAAAATTTGTTAGAGGAAAACCCTCGTGTTAAACCCATCCCTACTTCCCTAAAAACTATAGTAATCGATCCCTAGATGACAATGAAATTTTTCTTGGTGATAATCAACTAGTTGTTACTAACTGTAATGCTTAAAAATTTTCCTGCATTATAATAATTGGAATCATTTTACCAATCAATTAATATATACTAAATCTACAAATATTGTTTTAACCCCCCCCCCCCCTTCAAATAAATTGAAGGCAAATGACCCCTGTCCTAGCCGCTCATGTAAATGTACCTTACACTTGAAAAAAAATCCCAGAACTCCTTCCTCCTTAAGCAGACATTCAAAAGCCTGTATCTCGGATTCCAAACCTGTCTTGCAAAGATATACTCCTTATTTCCCAACTTTGGGGAAACTTTACTGTAGGTAAAAAGGTTTTCAGAATTCTTGCAATTCCTTAAAACTTTCTTTAACACTGTAAAGGATGCACAAAAATTGGTCAATCATTTTTCCCCTAATTTGATGGTCATGGTCTGTTCTAACGATGTCTTCCCTTAATTTTAAACTAAGGCCAGATTAGTTTCAAAAAGATTGACAATATAAACATTAAAGATCGATCCGCATTGCATTGTCCTCTGATATTGTGAATCTACTTGCCAAACACCTCTCATTTAAATATTCAACCAATACCTTCATTTTTTTTCTGTATACCCAGAGATCCAAATCAAATATATTGACAAAACTTAAACCAAATCGTTAAAAAATTTGTCAAGAAATCCTAACTATTTTAAGATTATTAATCAGTTTTGATTTATAAATACCAGTAAATTTTGTAGTAATTTAATGAAGTCAGCATATAGAAGTGTTCTCAGCCATCGAATTTATTCTCTCATTTAGATATAGGATAATCTTGTCTCATTATTATTTTTTAAAGAACATTGGTAAAATTTTCAAAAATGTTCTTCTCCTTGCTTAATTTTGTATGCAAAAAGGTTAGAAGTTCAAACATCGATATTATTTTTTAAACCAACCTGAGCCTTTATTCTTATATAAATCTAAACCGATATTCATTCAGTTCGGATCCCTTACAACATATCAAATTTACCCTCTTGATGTCAGAAAAAATATCTTATCATTCCAAAATGAAGTCTCCAGTGAGCTCTAGAAATAGACCCAATATATGTTGCATTGGTCGTATTTTGTAAGAACTTTCATTAGCGAATTTCTCAGATAAATTAATTTTGGGATCCACTGCTATGCGAATCCCTTCCTATACTACAATTTGGGAATTTAGTTCAGCATATACATTAGTAAGATTTATTCCCTAAAGTAATTTTTACTCACTACTCTTTTAACTTATCCTCCTGCAATATGCATAAATATAAACGTTTATATACATTGATTTCGCGCAGGTCATAATAGGGTATACAACAAGGGGACTTGGCTCCATCTTATTTTGCTATGGGATCCAACCTACAATTAAATATAGCTATATTTTAACCGATACATCATGACTCATTCCAACTAAAATTTTATTTTATAAGGAATCCATTGTTAAGCTGTTCTTTCTTCCCTCAAATGGATTTCAATGCTTGGAAAGAAAATTAACAAAAACGCACATATAACCAAAAAATATATAAATATTTGCGATAAATATATATTTTATCATGAATTCGTTTTGTATTATTAATATTTAAATTTACTAGTAATAAAAAAAATTTACAAAATTTTGCGTTAATTTGTGGCAAATATTTTTAAAAAATGTAGCATATAAAGTAAAAAAAATATATATTATTAATGGGCAATAATTCACAAACTATTCTTAATAGAAAAACTTGGCTCCATATATAACTAGCTTATTTGATGTTTTCACCATATATTTTCTTTCCTTTAATTTATTCCTCTCATTTATAAATATATAATCTAATATGGACATTTTTTTAAATATAATTTATTCTCCCTTTTTTATAGATATTACAGAACTTTTATCACACATTCACCAACAACTAAAATGATATGAAAAAAAGGTATAGATTCTCATATGTAAGAAAGAATGTACAATGTTAAAAATTAATATAACAGCGATGAATTTTATAATAAGATCCTATGATAAGAATGTAAAGAAATGAATATACAATAAACTAAAAGAAATAAAAGTATAAGATATTTTTAAAAAATTTAATTGAAAAATGGACGATTTCAGAACTTATTTTTAAAAAAAATAAAGAAAAATGGTATTAAATAAATTAAATAAATATTCAAATTAAGAAATATATTTAAAAAATATTAACAATTTTTTGTATAATTCTGTCGTGTCGAAAAAAGGTTAAATTGTTTAGAAAACTAAGCTATTTGGCTTTTGAGAGAAAGTGTGTATCTCCCAAAAAAAGAACTTTTTAATTAACTTAAGCATATGAAACGGATAAATGTTGAAATTTCGCAATTTATTGAGCTCTTTATATAAAAATTAATAAACAAGGAAAAATTGAAATAATTTAATGGAATTATAGCTTTTATAATAATTTGTTTGATAAATTTTAAGGATTTACTAATATGACAAATTCTATCTTCCTTTTTTTTATTAAAAGGAATAAGTTACAATTCATTTCCCTAAAGCTTGTTGTTTGATAAGCATATCTATGGCGGCATTGACGTCTCCAAAAGTTGCTACTAACGCTATAAAAATAATATTTTTTATTTCTTTGCTAATATAGTCAAATTTAAAAATATATAATATAAAAAAACAAAAATTAATATTTAAAAAATAGAAAAAGGTGAATTATTTTAAAAAAAATAGAAAATTGATTAAAAATACCCCTAAGGTTAGCCTCCCTATTGATGAATCCCATAGAGGTCAATTGTTCAAGCTGTGATCTGTAAGTATCCTCTTCCCCTCTGTTATTAATTATGGGTTGCTGAGGGCTCGGTAGCTTTTTGTATTCCATATTAATTTATATAATTTAATCTTTATTTTAAAAAAAAAATTTTAATGCACTATTTTGTTAAATTTGATACCAAAAATAGGTTATTATAACTGAAGTAATTATTTAAACCTTATATTCACTTATTTTACTTTCTCAATTAATAACTTTTCAAATTCACATATTTTTTAACCTAACTTATAAAATATGCTTACAAATCATTTCCTTTTATTCTTCTTTTTCAATGTCTGTAAAAAAAAAAGATAAAAGGAAAAACTTACACTTCCTTGAGACAGATTGAAGAAATCTGGTTGGCCTAACATGTTAGAAAGTGAATCGCTAATGGAATTCTGTGATGGGTTTTGATTGCTGGCCTCACCTGAGTTATTCGATGCCATCATAGTCATGATGAAACGCGTAACAGCGTCATCGTTCGCCTCTGTTTTAGGATGATCGGAAGTTTGTCCAGAATTCGCTGATTGGCTGGGATCCGCCGATTGGCTAACAGATGTAGGGAGACCAAACGAATGAGGCTGGATGCCCAAGCTAAAAGGAAAAAATATTTATTAGAATTGAACAAAAAAAGAGAAGGAATCCGAAAAATATTGGTGTTGTTAAAGCGAATAGTTTTTGAAAGATTTACCTAGTCACATGTTTTCTAACCAATTATATCACTCATTATCTATATATGATATGCGATTAACATTTTATTAAATATAAATCATGTGCTCGACTGTAACACGCTTGTTTAGTAGGGAAGGCCTAGGCTAAGGTAAAAATTTTATTTAAATTGTATTTTAATTCTTTTGATTAAAATTATACAAAAATGATGAGTTATATAAATATTATATAAAGTAACTTATGATTTTTAAAATATAAATATAACTGAAATAGTTTCCTTTTTAAGAATATAACTTGTAGCTAGTTACTTTAAAAAACGTTAAACAACCCAAAATATATTATATTATGAAAAAAATATCAAATGTCTCCTGGCACTTTAAAACTTAAAGAAAGACTACACTTATTAATAAAGCCATAGATTATTATAACATTTAAACAATGGTTGGTGGCTGACCATACTACACTCGAAACTTAAACAATGGTTGGTGGCTGACCATACTGCACTCGAAACTTTAACAAAGTCAGCCAACGAATTTGTGGAGTATTTGATTAAAAAATCAAATATTTTAATTCTTCATGCATTTATTTCTTCGGAACAATCTTCATTTTTTGAGTCAATAAAATCGAATTTGAAGGATGGTATCTAATAATATCCGATTTTGCAGAGAACTATGCTTTTGTAGTTCAAGATCATGCTCAAGATTTCCATTGGACTAATAATCAGGCAACACTTCATCCATTTATGATTTATTACCGCGAAGGCGATATCATCATCAGATTGTCTCAAACATAATACTTGTTTGTTCCTTTCATTTATTTCAAATAAAATTAATTCTATTCTTGAAAGAAAGATTTGATAAGATTTCAATAATATTTTATTTTTCTGATGGAGCTGTTACCCAGTATAAAAACAAAAAAAAACTTTGTAAACCTCTACAACCATTATAATGATTTTGGGATCAAGGCAGAATGGCACTTTTTTGCAACTGCAGATGGCAAAACTCCTTGCGATAGTTTAGGGGGAATTACTAAGAGGTTAGCAGCTAGAGCAAGCCTGCAACGTCCTCATGAAAATCATATAACTCCTATTGACTTATATAATTATGCGAGATTCAATATTTCGGGAATTAATTATATAATTGTTAGTAAAGTAGAATATTTAAGAATGGAAATCAATCTTGAAAATAGATTTTTAATGGCCAAACGAATTCCCGGTACACAAAAATATCATTCATTTATTCCAATGGAAGGAAAAATGATAGTTTAATTTTATTCTAATTCATTAGATTATTTCATTAATTAGCTAAATAAAGTTATAAATATTTTTACAATTATTTTTCTTCTAAAATAAAATAGCTAAACTTATGTGCTAAATATGACACAATGTCTACTAGTGATCAGCATAGGGCCTAATTTTTCTAATACGGCCAGAAAGATTTATAAAAAAATATATCCAACTATCCCAAACGAATTTTCTTTTTATTTGTTTCGTAAATTACTATACATTTGGTATAATATAGGATTTAAGCCATACTACTTATATTTAAAGTGTAGTAACTTTTGGCCCATTACTCGTCCCAATCTAGGATTTAATACAGATATTAGTATAATGTCTATCTGTAAAAAAAATTAAAAGAAAAAAAAGAGCAATTTTTATTTTATAGCCATATCCGGTTTTCTATTTCCGGTTTTTGGTTAAAGACTTTTTTCAATAAATAAAATAAATTTTATATCATAATAAAGAGCTATTTAATAAAATTAAAATCATGTCTTTAGCTTGATTACTTTTTGAGATATTTAAAATTAAATATAGTGTATTTTGGAATTTCCGCCTTTCTAAAGATGGCCATATCTCATGAAGTAAGGCGATTTGAGAAGTAAAATTTTATATTTTTATTAGTTAGTGTATATACTACCAACATGCAAATTTTTAAAAGGGGTCGGAGTTGAGAATCGACTTTTTTTGGTTAATTTAATATGAAATACAACATATAAAAATGGAAATTTAAATATAATTATTTTTATAAAAGCTTTTATGGAAAAGAGAATAAAAAAAAGAATTATAACTTTGGAAGGAGGGAGGGTGCTTCAGTTTGCAATACGGCCAAACCTTCTTGGATTTGAACCAAAGCCTTCATAACTTTTGGGTTGCTCAATACCGCTTGAAAGTTGGGATTCTGCATCTAGTGAATGTTAGAATAAATTTAAAAATATAATTTTTATAACTATATCTAACAATCGTTTAAAATATTATTTATGAAAAAAATTTATTTATTGCAGTAAGAATCACTACCGTTACTTTCTTCTATGTAACACGATTTTTATAGGAATTTTCATAGGACTCCTTGTGGAGTTCCATTCCAAGACTATACAAATCATTTTCATTTAGAATTATGGCCAGAATACTTACATGATGGCCTATTCAATGATTACGTCAGAAATAATAAGACAAACTGTGCATTCTTTACCCCTCCTAAATTAAAAAGGTAACTGATTAAAGATGCCAAAACAAGTAAAGAAAATGCCTGCAGCATCTAGGAAGGTATTATTCCTTAACAGTTGAAAATTTCTGATTTGATTAGAGAGAGAATCACGAATTTTTTTTGGCCTATTAAAAAGGGGCAAATTATATTTTTGCGCCCTGTCACACCCCTATAATTTTTATAAAAATATTATTTATTTCAGGGTTTAATGAAAAAGGAAATTAAAAAATTTTTATTCACCAATGCGAGAATTATATATATATATCTATTTTTAAAGTTTCAAAAGTATTTAAAAGAAAAATGCGTAGAAAAAAAGATATAAAAGCAAAAAAATTATCGGGAGGGATGATATAAAAATAGCTCAATATGGATAGAAAATAAGTTTAAATTAAAGGAAATCATAAATAAAATCGAAAATGGGTTATTGATAAAAATAAATAAATATTTATAAGAGCAAAAATCAATAATTTAAAACAGAGAAAAGTTTTAAATAATTCCAAAAAATACGAAATGTATATTAGCTAGCTGATAAATATTCTAAGCTTCTAACTAGTATGTATATTTCCGTAACATATTATCATCATGCAATATTTTTTAAAAAAGGGAGTTATATCTTCAGTTGATTTGATATGGAATTCAACTAATAAAATTTAAATTTGCATAAAACATTTGAAAATTCGTATAAATTTTATCCAAAAACAGAGATGGGAGACCATGATCATATGGGGACGATTTGGTAAATAAAAATCATATTTTTTCCTTTAATCTTTACTATATACATATTATTTTTTTCAACCTGTTGAGTGAACATCGGTAGTTGGCTTTTGATTTGTTCAGCCAATTGTGGGTTGTTGGCGAATAGAGGATTCGACATTATAATCTAATTTTTATAGGTAAAATATATATTTAATAAAACATTTTAAGTAACCCAAAGGCGTGAATTTTGTTAAACTTTAATCAACGTTTTTATAAAAGTTGTGTCATAAATTTAAACACCCAGTTTCATGTCATAAACACATTTGTAGGTTTAAAAAAGCATGAAAGAAGAACATACGGTAAGACAACGAATTTGATTAAAACAGGACTTGACTTAAACTTACTAATATAAAGATGGGAACGTTCCCAGGAATTCAATTAAGAATTCCTTTAAAAATTACGAGGAATATCCAAACATTCATAATATGAAAATATTATCCATAAAACAATATTTTGATTTTCCTCAAGACATTATGATATTAGTTGAATTATTTGGTCTCCTATTATGATTGTAATGAATATACTTAAAATCTAACAATAAATATATCACAATGCATACATTAAGATTGGTATTCTAATTTGTTCATTTCAAATGTATCAATAATATTCATGGGAGATAAATATGGCTTGCTTATTATAGGTCTAAAAATTGAAGTTTCTTTATTTTGGGATAATTTGAGAAATCATACTTAACCTCATATAGCAAAAACTAGGGTTGTGCCGATCCTTATATTTTTAATCAATTCGATCCAACATTTGTTCAAGCCCAATCCAATACCGATATTTATATTGATTTTTTCACCAAATTATGCGTTTAATTTAAATATTTTCTACAATTAAGACTATTATTTAAAAATTACATTATAATAGATATCAAAATTTTAAACATATAATGTCGTATTGTGATATTGAATATTTTATCATTTACTGAGGGAGTTATTTTAATTTGATAAATATAATTTGACCGGAAATGTATTCAAACATGTGTAGAACACCTATTCTGTAAATTTTCGTCATAAATTTAATTTATATAAAAATAATAAATTAAGAATATTTCCAAAGTTTTCTGGAGAAATTCAGTGGAGATGCTCCATGCATATTGGAATACATTTCTGGTAAAACATATTTTGCCAATTAAAATTGCTCTCAGTAAATAATTTAAAATTGAAATTCTGAATCCCAATGGGTTCCATATCACAATACGACGTATATGTGTTGGTATAAATATTAAAATAGTTATATTTAATATATAAAACTAAATTATTTTAGATTTTTTAAAATAAAAATGAGCTCTATATTTTCTGGCACTAAAATTCTACGATGTGGAATCCCCTAAAAATCCTCTATCTTTTGTAAAAAATTTCCATAATTCAGATGACATCTTAAAAATATTTATAATAAAGAGTTATTATTTATAAATATAAAATCTTTTGAAATATTAAAATATTGTAAAATAAACAATATATAAAATATACAAACATAAAATAACAAAAACAATAAACGGATTGATTTTTTAAAGGTATTGGCTGGATCCGATATTTTTTATAAAACGCTAAATATCAGTCTCATATAGTATTTAATATCTTTCCCTAGCAAAAACTTACATAAATTTTTTATATTAAATTTAAGAAAAAGAAACCTCAACAATATAGTTTTTAAATATCAAAATTAAGAAAAAAAAAGCCTAACAAAAATATTTAGAAATATTTTAATTAAATTAGAATATATTTGTTAATTTTAAATAATTATAATATTAAAATTACTATAGATTTTATGATATAATTCCTTTTTTGATATAACCAAAATGGGAAAATAGAAAATACTAACTTTTTGGTACATATCAGGATTCTGAGAAAGTGTTTGAAGTGTAGTTTTCATATAAGGGCTGTTCATAAGGTTTTGCATTAGGGTAGGGTTAGAGGCCATTTGTTGCATGAGGCTTTGCATCGAGGGTGAATTGAAAGCGGCTTAGTGATAGGACACAAAAGAATTATTCACTTGATTTTTGTTATCTATATCTATCTAACTTCTCTTATTAGTTAATAATATTTCCTTTTCCAACTAACTTCCCTTAATTTTTCAAAATAATAAAATTATTAGGTATATTAATTACGCAGTGTTTTGTTAGATCCACCTGATCCTGAACCGGTTTTTGAAGTATCCATTGAGTGAGACATTTCGTTATCAGCTTGTGGGTTATTGCTAGACCAAGGGTTAGGCATGGGTCCCTTATTTTCTTCTCCTTCTTTAGTATTCGTGGAAGTTTGCTTGTTTTCATCACCTTATATCAGAAGATATAAAAAATTTAATTTATTGATTGTTCATAGTTAAAATTTCCTACTTTGTGATATTTCAACTTAAGACATTAAAGAGTAACTTAAAGAAGACAATGAAAAAAGAACTAATCAGGCAAAAGTTTAAAATACTTCTAAGGGCAGCAAAGGGATTGCTAACAAGTTGGTCAGTGGCGGCGTTAAGAAAAGGTTCCTGTATATCAGTGTACATTCGTCTGAGCAAGTTATAACCCCCTGGGATACTCTGTATTTTATATATTTAGTATATAATTTTTTTCGAAAAAATTTATACCCAATTTAGGTATTAGTTTTTCCTTATTTCCCTATCCTTACGTTTTATTCCCTGCTGTCATCAGAGATTCAATTGATTAAAAATTAAACTACCAACAGGGTCCATGGACACTTTTGCAGTTTTCGCTTATAAAAACATTTATAGATATTTATTATCGAAAAATATTTGAAAAAAAAATTCCACCATGAAAATTGCCCGAAATTTCAGTTATTACAAGCCTGTTGTAAGAAAACTTAAACTATTTTGATAGATTTGGATTAGAAAATTAGATATGTCAGTGGTGCATCTTCAAAAAAAATAAGCGGAAAGCATAAAAATTGACCATAAAAAGCTCATTCTTGATCATCACATATAAAAAAAAATCTATTTGATTAATTTTAAAATATTAATTCTCATTATCTATATTTAACATTTGCCTAATTAGTTCTTATTTTAATTTAACAAATATTTTATTTTTTATATCAATCTAGAATTAAAAGTAAAATCATTATAAGCCATAATTAAAACTTTTATATAAAATGTATGAAAATTCTTAGTATTAAAGTATTGATATTTATTTAAATATAGGAAAAATTGAAATATAGAGATTTTTCCTTATATTTAAATAATTAAAATATTTTTTATATTAAAAAATTTGTTTCAGGAAAACCCAGGATATAAAAACTATTTAAAAAATTTAGCAATTAATTACTACTTATGTGGAAAATATATAATAAACATTTTTATTTAAAAATTAACATTTAATTACAAGCAAAAAGGGAAAATTGATTTAAATCGTGATTCATAAAATATTCATTTTAATCATCATTTAAATCAATTTGAATAAATAATGCCAACTCTAATAAATAAATATGTAAAATAAAATCATTTAAATCTCTTATTTTAAAAACAAAGGATCTATAGGAACATGTTGGTAAAAGATGCTATAATTAATTTCTGGTAAGCTGTTTAAACTTTAAAGTGCACCCACCATTTTTTGGAATTTATATCTTTTGATTGAAAATAGTGGAGTTAGTTAAGTTTCATAAATTCATTTTCATTCCTATTACTTTTTTTTCACAAATTATAAAAAAATAATAATATACATTTTGAACTTAAGCAAAAAAAGTAGAAACACGATTTATTCCTAATCAAAGTTACAATATGGCACTTTATAATTGGCTCAAAACATAAATGAACAAAGCAATTCAAGCATCATTTTGAAAATGATGTTTATAAAACTCCGATATAATCATATTCTTGTGTTGTAAAGGAAACGAATAACATCGTTATTAGTAGGGCTGGGCCAATTCACATATTTTTCACCAATCCGATCCGATATTTATATTAATTTTTCACAACCCCCCTTTGAACCAAATGTAATTAAGAAATAAATATTTTTTTTGCAAAAAATGGAATTATGCATTTAATTTAATTTTTTTATTTCTACAATAATTAAAAAAAGTTTACGGATATTGGTAGCATTAAATGAATTTTTCATTATTCTCCCCATGAAATTAGAATCCCGCAGATAAGCATTTTGCAAAATTATCTTTATCCTTTGTAAAATATTTCCATAATTCAGATACCATATTTAAAAAAATTCTTTTATTTAAAGTATAAATAATAAAATTGGCGCTATTATTTAAAAAGAATGTAAACGTTACTACAAAAAAGAAACGCGTTATCGTTACTCGTTATATTATAAATAAAATTATACAAAATTAATATATTATAGGATAACATCTTTATGTATCTTTATTTATTTTTAGCAACAATTGATTTCAAAATTTTGATCAGACAAACAAGAACGCTTAGTGCTCAACACAGCTGATAATGGGATGTTATATATATTATTTTAATAATAAATAAAATCTATAATGAAATTCTCTGTAAAATTTTGTTATTGGATAAATCCTGGCTACGCCACTATTTCATATATATATATGGTGAATTCCATATCAAATCAACCAAGGTTTCAACCCGACCCCCTTCAATTTTTCTTAAATTTTGTATACTGGTAGTATATACTATAACTAAGAAAAAAATGAAATTTTACCTTCCAACACTGTTTACCCGCTAAGATATGGCCGTTTAAAGAAAATTCACCTCATTTATTTTCAAAAATCTCGAGAAATAATTAAGTTAGAAAAATAATTTAAATTTTATTTTGTAGCTTAATAAAAGTTCTTTAAAATGACATAAAAATAAATATGATGGATATTTTATTAATATCGAAAACTGGATGTGTAAAACCGGAAATGGCCATAGAAAAAAGGTATTTTTTTCAAAATTTTTTTCCTCTAGATAGATATCACACTAAATTTTATTTTGTAGCTTAATAAAAGTTATTTAAAATGACATAAAAATAAATATGATGGATATTTTATTAATATCGAAAACTGGATGTGTAAAACCGGAAATGGCCATAGATAAAAGGTATTTTTTTCAAAATTTTTTTTCTCTAGATAGATATCACACTGCTTTATATTTGTACAAAATCCTAGACTGGGATGAACATGGGTTTAGGAGTTATCACTCTTTATATGGCTAAAATTGAACAAATTTAACATTAATATCATCATATTTTAATTTAATGAATAGTTATGAAATAATGTTAATTTAAAATTGAGAAGTGACTGGAATAATGAGTTTTGTTTAACCCTTTAGTTAAATTTTGTTGCGAAGTTACTTGATAAAATAATTCTAAACATATTTATAACTTTATTTGCCTCAAATTGCATTACATATAATACAATAAAATTTATAATTAAAATATATCATATATTATAATCATCCAAGGAATTTTAATAAATTATGACTTTTGTTTTCATCTAGGGGAATAAAAGCTTGGAATTTTGTTTTCCAGAAATTCTCTTTGCTCTTAAAAATCAGCTTTCAAGATGACTTTCTATGTTCATACATTCATTATTGCTCACAAATATATAATTTACCCCATAGATATTATTTCTTGCATAGTTAAATAAATCTATTGTTGTCAATATGTGATGTTCATATGGACGTTGCAAGCTTGCTCGAGCTGCTAACAGTTTAGTAACGGCTCCCAAAATGTTGCATGGACGTTTACCTTGTGCGGTTTCAAAAAATGTCACTCAGCCTTTAAATGAAATCTTTTATTTTTATATTGGTTACTCCTCCATCAGAAAAATAATAAATTTTAGCCACTCTATTAAATCTTTCCTTCAAGAATACGATCAATTTTTAAAATTTATAAAATGCACATGCGTTATGCTTTAAACAATCTGATATAACCACTAAATTTACATGTTTTATTATTGTCCTCACGGTAATAAGTTATAAAAGAGTTGATAGTGGCTTGATTATTGGTCTGATTAAATCCTTGTGCATGGTTCTGCCCTACAAATGCATAGTTTTCTTAACTAAGAATTCGCCAACATTTAAATTGAATTTTAAAAAGTTTCGAATTAATGATTATCGTGAAGCTATAAACAAATGAGGAATTAAATTGTTTAATTATTCAATTAAATAATCTACAATTTCGTCAGTTGATTTTGTCAGTGTTTCGAGGGTAGTTCGATCAACTGCTATCCATTGTTTGAATATTTTATAAGCCTTTCTTTTAATTTTGAATATATGGGGGAAAATTTTTTGTTGAATTTCAATTTTGGTAGATTATTTTATGCTAAATAAAATATTTAAAATTATTTTGTCAAGTAATTTTAATTCGAGATAAAATTTCACTAAAGTTTTAAACAGCTCATTATCCCAGCAACCTCTCAATTTTTTTTTATAAAGATAAAAAAAATAAAAGCCTATCATTTAGACATAATTTATAAATTAACATTATTTCATAACTATTTATTAAATTAAAATATGATGATATTAATGTTAAATTTGTTCAATTTTAGCCATATAAAGTATGATAACTCCTAAACCCATGTTCATCCCAGTCTAGGATTTTGTACAAATATAAAGCAGTGTGATATCTATATACAAAAAAATACCTTTTTTTTCTAGGGCCATTTCCGGTTTTACACATCCGGTTTCCGATATTAATCAAATGTCCATCATATTTATTTTTATGTCATTTTAAAGAACTTTTATTAAGCTACAAAATAAAATTTAAATTATTTTTCTAACTTAATTATTTTTCGAGATATTTGAAAATAAATGAGGTACATTTAAAATTTCATTTTTTTCTTAGTTATAGTATATACTACCAGTATACAAAATTTAAGAAAAATTAAAGGGGGTCGGGTTGAAAATCGACTTTTTTTTGTTGATTTGATATGGAATTCACCATATATATATTAAACTAAGTTTTTTAAAATCACTATTTTTTATTCTTTAAATTGATTAACATTTATAGTCAAACCAATAGCAATACTAAAACAAGAAATAGAAGATATAAAAAACTTGTCATAATTGGCGTTTTTTAAAAATATTGTATTGGTAAAAAAACTTGTCATAATTGGCATTTTTTTAAAATTATTGTATTGGTATATATTTTGTTTTTTTGTAAATTTATTATATGTATTTTTATCACGCGAACAATCCAATTTGTTAACCTTAGCGCATTGATTTGTTTTTGGTATTGTGACACTCATCATGAGTCAGTTTTTTATATTTTTTTGGAAAAAAGAAATTTTGTAAAATTAATAACATTTTTTTTTGTTCTTGTTTATAAAAGAAAATTTTGTAAAATTAATTAATATTTTGTTTTGTGTTCTTGTTGGAAAAATAAATTATTTAGGACGGTCATTCCAAAGGGCACAATGTAAACAAAACTTAATATAATACTTTGAACCAATACCAATATTTTGTTAATCTTGGATTTTTAATGTTGGTTCCCAGCCCAATACTATAGTATAATTTATATGCTTACATTTAGGGCTGTGCCGATCCACATTTTTCACCGATCCCATCCGATATTGCTTCAAAACCGATTTGATATTTATATTGATTTTTCAATACCCCCCTTTGAACCAAAT